GTCGCAGACCGTGTTCGGCGAGCGGAAGGGGCGGTTTGGCCATCTGAGGGAGGTGGGCGTCGGCGGGTTCGTGCCTGCTGTTGAACAGGAGGAGCGGGGGACGTGGGTGGTCGTCCATTTATACGATCCAGTGAGCCCTGGTTGTTTTTCTAGTCGCGCTTGACTAGCTAACCTTTGCGATCTTAGTCGGTGGATAGGTGCTACACCCTGGACGATACCCTTTCCCGCCTTGCACGCCGATACCCGGACACGAAGTTCATCCGCGTACGCGCTTCTGCCCTTGGCTTCGCGACTAAGCAGCCCTCCTCGTCCTCAACTCGCGCAAAGCCATCTGGGATCAGGCGCGCGACACGCACCATCCGAGAAGACGACGACGACGACGACCCATTCGGAGACGAAAAGAGCGGATTCGTCGGCCGCCACGAGGACGACGAGAGTGAGCGCAGCTCCGACGAGGACGACGACAACGTCGATACGGACATGCTACCCACGATGCTGGTTTACCGCGATGGAGAGCTCGTCTTCAACTGGGTCCGCGTCGACTTTGAGGCTGGACAGGCCGGCATCGAAGAGCTGCTGCTGAGGTGTGCAACCATTTCTCAACTTCGAGGTCATCGGGACGTGCTAACTCTTACGATGCAGGCATCATGTCCTTCCGACCTCAGGAGCCCAGAACAACTGTGGCCTGCCATCGGATGACGAGCTTTTCGACGACGATTGAACTACTTTAAAGTACTCCGATGCTGTATGAAGATTTGTTTTCTCTTGTTGGGCACGTTTCGGGTTCGAGGATCGGTGGTCTGTAGCATTATGTATGATAGGCATCCGAACAATGAAAAGCGGTCAGAAGGTCTCATCTTTCAACTTCAACATGAAACAGGTCAGATCTGTTGAATACTGCCGTGCATGCAAAGACAACATTATGGGGTCTAGGCTATAAGTAGAAACAACACTGACAAACAGTACAAACAACAGCTTCACTTCAATCGCGTCTATTGACGTGAGGAGCAAAACGATCAATCGTCTTCTCCAATGACGTGCACGTCCTCCGCGTCCGCGTCGTTCGGTACTCGGGAGTAGCCTTTCCATTTACTCGTGGTGGGCGTCGGAGCGAGCTCGATCGCGCCATCCTGGAGCGAGATGGGCGCGCCAGAGGCGTCCTTGGATGAGGAGCCGGCGTTGCGGCCGCTCGTGGCGTATAGATGGATCAGCGAAACGATGAGGGTGTATATTACGAAGGCGAGGCTACAGGAAGAAGCGGCGTGAGTGAAAGTGCGAAGGAACCAAGATAGGAACTTTGGCGGACCTGACGATGATCAGGATGTACGTGACGTGGTCCATGCCTTTGTCGTGGACGAACTCGAGCTCTTCGTCCGTAGCTGACATGAACAGGAGACCGCCGGTTACGAGGAGCTGTGCGAGGCGGAGACCCTCTTTCAGGCACTATACGTGATGGAGGCAAGCGCAGAAGACTCACGAAGGGAGGGAGATGCCGGAAGGCACGCCCGGCCGCCGTCTTCGAGCTGTGCGCCTCGTCCCTGCCCGGGATGTCGGCAAGCGTGTGTTCGCTGCTGCTGTCGTGCTCGAGGACGGAGTCCGTTGGTAGGGGAGCGTAAAATGGCATGAAGGAGCAGATCTCGATGATCCGGGTGAGACCCGCGAGCATAAGCACACCACCAAACGCTGCATGAACCTAGTTTCTTCATTAGCTAGCGCGTGACGATCACGGGGGGAGAAGCTTACCTTGGTGGAGATCATCAGAGCTTGGGCGTGCTCGGACATGGCCCAACCGGTGAGGATGACGCTGGACGGGAATGTCAGAAAAATCAAAACAAAACAGCGACAACGACGCACATGAGCGACGGTACGACGCTTCGCTTCGAGTCGGGGTGAGCGCGCGCGATAGTTGGCATATTATATCAGAGACAGTACCTGGTTGTTGCGCGACAAGAAGATGCCGAGCATGCCTCCGGCCCACCCTACAGGATCTTCAGTACGATAGGCGCTAATGAAGCTGGTCAGCTGAACGTACATAGCACGCCGAGGATGCTGCGACACAATCCGCGTCAGCACGGAACATATTAGGGGTTTGTAACCAATAACGCACGTATGCTGCATATCCTTGACGGACCAGCTTCCTCCCCAGTGCTCTGTAAATGTATTCACGATACCCTGTCAAACCGAATTCAGGACTGTCTGTAACGAGGTGCACCAAGGCTTCGACTTACCCAGAGGAATATCACCCACGAATCCCACCATTCTGGGCTTCTACCACTTCTCCGCACCCATGTTTCGCCGACGAGGAATATGATCGCCATGATAACCGCATATGCGACAAACCCGCTTCCCTGGGCCCCGTACAGTGTCAGTAGAACGCAAGGGATAGGTTGAGCTGGTTATTCGCACCATGATGTAGTGCGCTAGGCACTGGTTTATGTGTCCCCCTCGGCAATACCCACCGAACGTGATCGCGCCGAAGAGCATCTGCACCCATCCGAGGATAGGATACGACTTCCCAACGACGCCGTGAGCCTTAACAGCCCACCGCCGCAACGTCTTCTCGTGTATGTGCAGCTTCAGGTAAACCCCCAGACCGAGTTGGATCGCCATCGGCCAGATGAGGATGTTGGCGAATATACCATGGGCGCCGGCGTAGAACTGGCGGCCTTTGTGGGAATGTCCGAGGATGATCCCGCCAGCCGTGAGCAGGAATCCGACGCTCTAATCGAGCAAACGTGAACAGGGCAGGGCACGGATGGTCATGATCAGCGTTTCGCTCGCGAGGCCGATCCTTCCGAATGAACGCACCTGTAGTGGGACATGCCATCGACTCCGGGTGATTCCAAGCACCATCCCCACCGGAAACAGTATCCCCCAGACCGCTGCCTGGAGGAACATGTGCAGCCATAGTATGGTGTCTACAGGGGCGTCCAGCTGCTCTTCCTCTAGCTCGTCGTGATGTTCGTGCGCGCGCACGGCAAGTGCAGCGCAGGCGAAGAGCCAGAGCGCGTAGGTTCGCCGACCCATTTTAGCGGCGGGTCGCAAAGCTAAAGAGGGCGCCCGATGCGTGCAGTAAATAAGATGCACGGACCGGAGGAGGAGGATGCCAATGGCCAAGGGTGATTCCGTGAGCAACGTCGACTTCGGCACAGCAGCTCGGCAACCGGCGAAGCTTTCGTGATAGCACTGATGCGAGCAGGCTACAGCGCTGACTGCCGCTGACGACAGCCCTTCAGTGGCCTCCTTTGGCCGTACGCATGTTTATCATTTTCTTCTGTCCAATACCCCCTAATTTTAACTTAGTACGATGGTACCGCTTGACCGCTGTGCGATGCACGTTCTTGCGCCCCGCACGTCAACTCGGCTCTCAACTGGCCAGCGGGACGCTGCTATAGATGACGTCGATCAGCCCACGGTCTCTCGCTAGCTCTACCGCCGAAGGCTTCTCCCCAACCCGCCATAACAACTATACGACCACGAGCAGACGATCTGGAAGCAATGTCGTCCGTGGGCATTGCAGATTATCGCATGGACCATGGTCCGATGTGATTGCCAGCACGCGGACGCAGGTTTAAATCGACGACATCTCTTCCTTTTTTTTACTACGGCCGCATGACTATACCTGGGGCCTGCTTCCGCGTTGAACGCGTATAAGTGTCCGATTATATAACTGGTGAAGGGGAGAAAGACGACTTCAGCAAGCTCCGGAACACCTTGGTCCGCTCGAGCTCTTTTTGTGCCGCTATGGTCTCCTCGCATCTGTTCATGCCCGCCGTCGCTGTGAATTGCAGCTGCCCCGACTCTTTACGACACGCCTCACGAGCCAGATCGAAATTGTCAAGCCGTTCATGTTCCTTCTCAACACCGGGTAACGACGTTCACGCAGGACTGCGGGTCGGACTATCACTACGATGATATGCCAAGTCCAGGTGAGCTCTCTGTTTCCGCGCCCCTGCACGCTCAGCACATTTTGTCCTTTATTACTGTATTCCAATGCCAAGTGCGTCTATTGGTCGCCGTCGGAACAGCATTTGTCATCGTCGCCCACGACAGATATACGTTCAACAGTGCTCCCTTCCCATTCTCCCTCCGTAGACATCGGCACGCACGCAGAACAGATCCAACGCTTGCCGCACGACACCGACCTGCAATCGACATGCCATCCGGTACTCTCGTATATGATATGCAGAGAAAAGCTCCTATTGGGGAAGGAGCTTACGTGAGCCGAATATCAACCTGCCTGGCTGTAGTACATGCCGTTCTCACTCTGCGCGCCTAGAGTCGCGTATATCGAGTCATGGACTCAAGCAGCCAAAAATATGTCGCCTTGAAGAAGTCTCGTGCCTCTTTACGTGTACGGAGGACCTTACTGCAACACGAAAGCCGAGTGCTGCAACTGCTTCAAGGGCATCCCGCGATTCCGATGCTGTACGGCTACGGACGTGAGCCGCACTTCGAGTACATCGGCATGGAACTTCTCGGACCCAGCATCCGGGAGCTGCAGAAAGCACCGCACGGAACTCCAGCGAAAACCTATTCTCGAGTTATGGACCAGATGGTAAGCCTCGGGTTCTCTGCCGAACGTCTGCGGCAATCTTATCGTTTGTTTTGGCTAGCTATCAGCGCTTGAACACCTGCATTCGTTTGGCATCGTGCATCGTGATGTTAAACCTGCGAACATTCTTACCTGCTTGGACGATCCATCACGCCTGAAACTAATCGACTTCGGCATTGCCAAACCCTTCCAACGGAGTGGTCCACCCAGCCAATATGACCCTATCAAAGAAGATAGACTGCTCGTCGGTACGTTCCATTGGGCCAGCCTGAACTCTCACAGGGGATTCGGTGAGTGACGTAACGCGTAGATGACTTGTTTCGAGGCTGATCAGCCTCGTGCAGACCTCTCTCGTCGAGATGATCTTGAATCTCTGGCCTACGTTGGCCTTTTCCTTCTTCGCGGTGATCTGCCCTGGCGAGCCGACCACACCGAATCTCAGGCGTACTTGTACGAGAGCGACAAGCACGCAATGATGCGCATACAAGCTGCCAAGGAGGTGTGCAAAGGCTCGGTGCTCGTAGACGCTGGCTTTCCCGAAATCGGCGGCTTCTTGGACTACAGTCGATCCCTTGGCTTTTGTGAAGCCCCCGACTACCGCACCTGGAGGCAACGATTTGCAAGCCTTGCCCGGAGGTCTGGTTACCGGTTGTCCAGCGAACCCCTCGACTGGACGCCATGTGATGTAGAGCGGGTCAAGAGAATTATGCCTACGGACCACACACCCCCTCGAGCGGATGATGAAACAGGTCCATCGGGTCCTAAGGATCCGGCATACACTAACAGCTACTACGCGATCGATCCTTGGGGTGGTATCCAATACTGGGATGACAGACAGTATGAACGGGATAGTGACCTCACTCTGCCCGCAGGGTATGATGCAAAGCGACTGGATGCATGCCTTCCCAGCATAGTAGTTCACCCTGTACCACTGACCAACACTGCGGCTAGTGCATTCAATCAGACATCGTGACCCGGTCACTCACTCCAGGATATGAGTGAATTTTGAGTGACGAACTCACTGGAAATGGAAATGGCCGCTGAGTGAGTTACTCAATTAAGCAGATATATCCCAGACTGAGTGATCGCTCGATCTGGCCCATGACTGAGTTATTCATTTAAGCGGGTATATTCCCAAAACGAGTGCCTTTCAAGTTACATAAAACCGACCCTGAAGCAGATCTTGTCACGTGCGATGCTACGTCGTCGCCGTCATTTGAGCTCATCCTTCACCACCATCCTGCACCATCGCCGTCTTCGTCTAACTTTCCTGCTTCCTCTTCTGTCTGGCTTCCGTTAGCCACTGGGAGACCCAGTCACCATCATTCTTTGGCGAGTATCAGTTTAGCACTGAGCATCTCTGCCAAGATAAGAAAGACCCCTATTTCGCTCTCAATCTCCCTCAGCACGTCAAAAGAGCCTGATACTGCACATGCCGCGGAAATACATGTAGCCGGATGTGTATAGAACAAAGGGGCTGCATGTATGCGCGGTATTTAGCAGTGATCAATCCTGCGCGCTCCACTTAAGGAAAGGAAATATCAGTACGTCCGCCATGCTGATGTGCATTCTAAGTCTCAATGGTCGCATATAGGCTCCTTTTTTCTATGTATGCATGCGGGCATCAGACTGTCATAAGCCATGTTTCTTCGTGTCACATAGAATCCACGGTAAGCATTCTCTTGGCCCCCTATCTTCCTTCACAGCAGATTGATTATTGACATTCAACTACCTCGAGGACGCAACCCATCCTTCAACAGATAATCGTCTCGAGTAAAGGTCACTCTGTATCGTGCCTCCTCGAGAAGGTCTCGAGCCCGAAACCAGTGCATATATGCATACCCACCGACATTCCCTCGGGTCTCAAGCCCTCACGGAATGGACCTCTCACCACGAACTACGTCGCGGGCGTTCACTCTATAGTACATACTACGCTTGCCTGCCGCCCATATACCTGCCTCTGACTCCCGCTTTGCAGACCCACACTCCCGATGATGACACCCGTCGAGTAAGTGCATCGCCTTCGCCACTGGCCGCCTGGGTGCTCATCACCCTTTTTGTACTCATAATGCACAACGATGAAGGATCTGGTCTCGAAGTATTTCGTCTCGTGCGGCGACGAAGCATCTTCTATTTATCACAACATCGCGCGGCGCGTGAAGACGCGATCTGGGAGCAGCATCAACGTGACGATTAGGCGGGCTCCGGGACTTCGGACTGTCCAATCATATGTGTGTCCGTTTCATTCGCGGTATCTTCTGAAAACACTATACATTGAGTTATTCACGTGCTATACCCGAGTCTGTGGTGGAGTGTGTCCTATCTTGTGGCCAACATCAGTCAGAGACTTTGACATCTACCTAATGTATTGTAATCATCATGAAATACATATCTATGACGCAAATCCAGTGGTTGCAAGGATTAGAATACAGACCTATCGCGGTGAGACAGTCCGTCTCTGCTACCGAACGACTCATTTTTGTGGAGGGAGTGGGATACTCGCCCCGAGCGACCGACTCACTAAAAATGGCCGTTTTGACTGATTAAATCCTTTATCGGCTCAATTCCTGCGACGGACAGGTTCACCACTGCGAGATGATCGATTCACTCCTTGGGATTGAAGTGTTCACTCATCTGCAATGAGTCATAAATGACTTTCTCTTTGTGATTCGATGAATTGCTCGGTAGTCCCGAATGAACCATTCACTCGGGTTCAGTGAATTTTCTTTCCGCAGTGCAAAGAGCGGTCTTGAAGTAGGTTTTGCGGCTTGTGACCCTGGGTATTCGTGAGTAGTTGCATACGCTTGGCATCTTTGGAAATGGAAGATTACTTACCTTGACTGAGAGCTCTGAGCCCTATGGTACTGTACCTGCCGAGCAGTGCTGAAGGGACGACCAGCAATCCGATTCATGCCAACAAGTTCGAGCAATCGGAACGAGATCGTGCTCGTCCCATAGCAATCCAATACAGTGGACGCTATATAGATCTACTTATCCAATCATTGGTACAGAAAAAATCCGGCTTTCCTGAAGTGAATCGCTCGTGAGCAACGTCTGTACGACGGGAGGGTGGATCATGCGCGGTATATGCGGTCGATTTCAGTCGCAGAGCATGTGGAGGTACATAAAATCTTTGGTGGAAGAGATAAATCACCACCGCGGGTCCTACCGTGTGGTCGACGGCGCGTCTCCGATGGCCGAGCCCCACGACCGAAACGTCGGGCACATTCGACTCGACATGTCCGTTTTGTCATGCGTGTTGATGATATCTCGACAAGGAAAGATGCTGCTTTTGGCTGCCTTGCTGTGCTATTCAGGCTCCGGTGAATGAGGTACAAACCACAAATCCTCGGGTAGATGGGGATCTGAGTTGGGGCACGTACCGTATCTGATGCGCTTGGACTGTGCGCATACACCGTCCACCACCTGACGCAGAATGCCGCAGGTTTTGAACCAATTGCAGGATCCTCCTTGTGCTCCGTCCGCAGCTGATGTTATTCTAGCATCACAATGCCCGAGTTATACGTCGCCAGTAAACCGGGGAGAGCGGACTGCCGTCGTGGATCGTGATGAATGAGGTTGCAATTGAATGGATGCCGTCAGGTGACTACTTGACCGGCGGTGGCGCGTGCGCTCTTCGGTTCGGCAGAGGTCGGCAGCCTGGTGATATAGCGTTACGTAAGGCGTTGAGTTGCCCACATTGACTTTGAGCTCATCCTTCGGCGTGTTGCGACAACGAGACGTGGTCACGATGTCTGTATATCCTCAACGTACGCTGGTATCCTGCCACGATGTCCGAGGTCCACCAGGATTAAGTCGACATCATCACCTGCGTTCCGGGCACCGGTGATCTACTGGGATAATCGCTCCTTGTTGTCGTACTTCTCCCCGCCCGCTCAGCACGTGGACCTACGCTGTTCCGCCCGTTCTGAACGTCCACTAGAACATCACCAGACCTGCCCCTGCGCCGCCAGAGACAACACAACTGCAATAATCGGGACGGCGACACCCACAGGCGCGCCGTTAATGCTCGTCGAAGCGGACGCGTGTTGTGCTCGTTCGAAGTCGAAGCATGGCGCAGGTGATATATAACATGGAACCCATACCTTCGCGTCGCCGCTTCTTTTCGCACGATCTTAACCAGATCTCGTTTGACGTCGAATGTGAAACCGTGTTATAAAGTCGACAGGTGCTTTGACGTCGGGCCTGCCAAGGTCTCGTTCGTTCGCCCACTCGTGCTCGTGCTCGCGTGCCCAACCGGCTGCACACTATGTCGTTCTTTACCACCACACTCGTTCTATTTATTCTATGCTTGCAGAACGTGCTAGCCGGCGCACCGAGCAAAATCTACGGCGTCAACCTGGGTTCATGGTGCGCACCGCCACCCCGGCTATGTTCCAGCATAGTTCATGAGTTGACATGTATACCGCACGATAGGCTTGTGCTTGAATCATGGATGCTGCCCCAAGGTTTGTCCTTCGACGATGTCGGTACAATTCGTCACTTGACCTCGTTGTCCGTCGTGCAGAGTGGCTCGACATGGGTGGCGAACTTAACTGCGACTGCTCGACGTGCATCGGTTCCGAGTTGTGAGCAAGCCCCACCCTCCCGTTCTGACGAAAAGATCCGGCACACTGATCAGGAGCGCATATATCCAGCAACTTCGTCAAGGCGTACCCGGACACGGCCGACGCCATCTTCGACAAGCACTGGTCGACCTGGTTCACGCAGGACGACGTCAACATCCTCGCTGGCGCCGGTATAAACACCGTGCGAATCCCCGTGAGATTGCACTTCCGTTCATATTTTCGTTACCTCGCGTGACTCCATGAATCGGCTCTCGCAGCTCGGATACTGGATCGTCGAGCCCCTCGTGAACAGGCAAACCGAGTTCTACCCACGCGGCGGGATCAAGCAGCTGGTGCGCAAAATCGATCTGTGAAGAGCGCATCCCACGTTTATGATGTGTTTCTGCTGTAGAAACGAGGTCTGAGACAGCTGCAAGATGCCGGAATCATGGCCATCCTCGACCACCACGCACCCCCCGGAGCCCAATCCGTCAACCAGATGTTCGCTGGACAGTGAGTTACACTCTTCCAGCGCATATATGCCACCCTCTTTCTCTCGATGGCTAAACACGATCGCAGATGCACGCCCACTCCCCAATTCTACGTGAGCCACCCCTGGTCGCCTTCAGGAGTATATCGTCTAATATGCAAATATTTGACTATGCCAGACCGACTACAACTACCACCGTGCGCTCGTCTGGACCGCCGTCATGACGTCCCTCTCGCACCTCGACCCCGACTTCGCCAACGTCTTCTCCATCGAGGCCGTCAACGAACCGATCATGGACGCCGCCCAGACACCCGGCTACGGTGACTGTACGCCCCCTCCCTCACACCATGCATACACCCCAACTCACTTTTTCTACTTTCGATGATAAACAGTCCAACAGAACTTCGTTCGCACCGTTCGCGCGATCGAGCTCGTCCTCGGCATCCCCGTCCCCGGCGCCTCGCCCATCACCTCCTCCCTCTCCTCCTCGAACTTCACCTCCGCCCTCACCTCCGCCTCCAAACTGACCCCTTCCTCCTCATCCCCTTCCTCCATTGCCAACATCTTCACCCCGGAAGTCCAAGCCGCCCTGACCGAGGCCATCCCGATCCTGATCCAGATGGGCATCGAGCTCGCCATCCCCGCCATCTTCGATCTCCACGCCGGTTCCGCTCCGTTCCACTCGATCCGCGACCCGCTCGTGACGAACTTTATGGACGTGAACTGGCAGTCCGATAGCCCGCCGAACCCGGCCGATGCTGCGATCGGCCCGCAGGGATACGACAACCACCTTTACTACGTCTTCGGCGTGCGTATACTCCATCCCTCGACCCTCGCGGTTTCCTCGCATAGATGCTAACCTCTGGATGACCTGCAGGGCGTGGCAGACCCGACTCCAGAAGCCTACATGACCTCGATCTGCAACCTCGACCGCGTGCAAACCGACGCCGCCGTGGGCAACTCGCCTCTCTGGTTCGGCGAGTGGGGTTTACCCACCCAATTCGACGCCACGGACGAGTTCTTGGTCGACTGGGCGGATGCGCAGAAGCTCGCTTACGCGAAAGGCGCCGGCTGGATCTTCTGGAACTTCAAGGTCGAGATCTCGGACCTCGCCGGAGACCTCGCGCGCGAATGGTATGTGTCCACTGCTACCCTTTTGTATGCTGGTCGGGATAAGGGCTGACGGGCTTGAAATCTCATCTCTAGGTCCTACGAGGAAGGACTCCGCCGCGGATACATGACCCAGAACCCGGCGCAGGTGCACAACCCGCACGTGTGCGACCCGTACATCGCCAACGGCACGAGTACCTCTTGATCATGATCGCGCGAGCCGCTTCAGAGACTATCCTGACACTTTCTCGAGTCACCAACACCCTACCGACCGTCATTCGCTCTCTTTTTCTTTGCCATCCCTCTTGTCGATGTCTCGTGCTGTCTGTCGCCCGAGAACGTTGGAAAAGTGCTGTTCGCCGCAGTCTACTCTGTCGTATCCTTCTTTATACGTAATCGAGAATTACCCAGTTTTTGGTATCGCGAGAGCTGAGTGACGCGCCGCATGAGGGACAAGGGTCCCCCAGAATTGCGTACCACTTTCCCTGATCATCGATGACCGGAACCCCAGGTGAACAAAGTTGCGAACCATTCCATTAAGATTAAGTCATCTTTATTACAGTATTACACGGACGTGTTACAGTATTAAACAGACGCGACATTTCAAATAGGCAGATACAAACAGCAAGATGGATAGCGATACAGCATGGCATGTGGGATGTAACAAGGAGAAGAATCCATGGAATATCGATACATCGGAACTCTTGCGGTATGGTATAACGGGAATATTGATGGATTGCATGGGCGACTCACGCCTTGACTCTGCGCAGCAGCTTCCACACGGACGGTTTGTGCGAGACGACCTTGGCCGCCTTCGCGGCGTCCGCCTGCTGCGCGCGCACGACCGGCAGAGGCGCGGTCGCAGGCACAGGTGGCATGGGCTCGAACACGTCCTCGAGAAAGATCCGGCGCGCGTCCTGGCCGTTCACGGCACGTTTGCGGGCAGGACTCGGTGGCGCGAGCGCGAGAGGCGCGGGGCGTCTCCGCCCGCGGCCCTTCGCTTGCTTGGGCAACTTGGGCGACCGCGGGGACTTGGGCGAAGAGGGGAGCGCGACGAACGCGTCATGCAGCAGTGCCGGACGACGGAGGTGCGTCGCGATGCGTCGAGGGCGCGCGGGGAGGGCGAGCACCGACCGTCCGTGATCGGACGGTGTGACGGAGTCCGTGGAGGCGAAGCCGAACAGCGCCAGGTCGTCGACGGAGCCCTCGGGCGCGGGGAGGACGCGGTACTGCGGATCGAGCTCGGAATCGGCGGAGGAGGGTGTGGTTCCGGACGACGACGGGCTCTCGCGGCGCGGGTCGGCAACTTTGGTGGGGCTTGTGAACTCAACCCACTGCGCGCCGGGGCTCGCGTCCTCGTCCGCCCCGTCGAGCAAGTGCGCGAACTCCTCCCGCTCTTCCACGTCCTCCCACCACACTCCGTACTCGTCCTTCGCGGCCATCGCAACGCCTTCGATCGTCCCGTCCTTCCGTACGTGCGCACCGCGCGCGACGGCCTTGTCGCGCATGACGCGCTGCACGTTCACGCGCGTCGACCCGCCGTCAAGCAGCTGCGCTATCTCGGCCTCTTGCGCCAAAGTGAGAGGTAAAGGGGCGGGGAGCTTCGGATACTTCTTGCGCTTCTTCGCGGCGATGGATGCGGCGCGCTGGGATTGAGTCGCTCCTGACGCCTTCTTGGCGGTTTTGGCGGGCGAGAGCAGCGGGGTGGACCCGGTTCCGCAGGTCGCGCCCGTGACCGACTTGGATCGGCCGCGCTTGAAGAAGGAGAGCGAGCGGAGGCGCATACCTTTGCTCTTCGCCTGAGATTTGGCTGGGCTGGAGGGGATAGGAGGGATGGGGATGTCCTTGAAGTCGGCGTTGTTGGAGGACGGGATGGCGGGCGTCACGGGTGTGGGAGGGACTGGGATTCGGACGAAGGCGGCGGAATAGCCCGCGCAGATGAGGAAGTCGAACCCTTCCGCGGTCGAAGGGGTCTTGATGCTGCGTCCGCCTGGGGTAAGATTGATGCTGTGCGTCTGCGCGCTGCTGGGTGTAAGGCTCAGGAAAGAGGCAGAGGGGACGCGGCGCGAGGTGATCGAAGACCTGCGCCCGCGAGTGATGGAGGGGCGCCGATGCGTCGGGGTGCAACGGGCAGGAGGAGAGCAAGGCGAGGGAGAACCGGGCTGGACGGCGGCGGCCCAGGCGCTGATTGCGGAGGTAGTGTTGGAGCGCCGGCGCAGGGGAGGTTGGACAGGCGTAAGTCGTGGGCGGACGTTGTCGTGTGTCGTGAGAGGGGCCTGCCCTTGAGGAGGAGAGGGAAGTGGCTGGTTGGGAGCCGGACGTTTCTTCTGTGGCGGCGGTTGAGAGAGAAACTGGTATGCGGGGGCGGAGCCTTGAGTAGACATGACGACGTCTTATGTTTTCACGATACGGGTCGGTCGGGATCGCGTGATGGGACAATCAAGAGGATCTGACGAAGCGCATGGGTCAGTTGGAGGACGGGGTCGAAAACAACAGGATACTGACAGGTGCGGGGTATAACACAGTGTCGGAGAGCCTAAGAAAGCAAAGACAATAGAGACACGAGACACGAGACACGAGAGACAACTTGAGTTGCAATTACAGAGAGGATCGTGAATTACGAGGCCGATAGATGTGGTTGCGATGCAGACGAGAGATAACGAGGAGGACGTAGACGAGCTCAGCTCAGTGAAGAGGAGCAGCGTCAAGCCATGTCCTTATGTCCACTAGGGCGAACAAAACAGTGTCAGTTCGCAATTGTCGGAGGTGTTACGTCCACTGCTACAGCGACGCATAATGAGGACGGTGGCGGCACGAGGTCGACAATGGTGTAATTAGTCGGGGAATTCTCACGCCTCCCTACTCTCATTGTCTTGCTCCCGTCTCCGGGTACTGCAACTATATTGCACCGGGTTGCTATTGGATCGCCGGGGGCGTCACGCGGTGCTGGGTTATATGCTGTAAACGGGTTCATATCAATTGTATGCTGCTTCTTGGCCAGTTGCGCAACCATTCCGAACGCTATCCGTTGTGGAGACGCGCCGTGATGTTTTTTTTTTCGACTTTCGCGAAATTAGACTTATGTGATGGATATCCTGGTACTACGCTACGAAGTATGGAATGAACTATGCGACATCGTGAGTACGGAGATGTGCTTCGGGGATGAGGGCAGGACGCAAAGCGATCAAGGTGAATGCCGGACCCAGGCCAGGTATAGCGTGCGTGCCGAAGCCTATTCTTGAATCTCTGAACCTCCATGGAAAACGTGCATTGATACTCCCTCAGCAACCGTGAAAAACATTGAAGCAAGAAAGAACTCGCAGACAACTCTGCATTTGCCACTGATATTCACACCTTTCCGACTCGGAGTGGCTATGTTTCTGCGGCCTTGGAGTGTCTTCTCTGCCAGTTGATCTGATTTCAATCTTCACATCGCGTTGGAGCATGGCACCAAACATCGATCATATGGGCTGTAATGGCACTAAAGGGAATCTCAGCGTATCTAAAACTATGAGAGGTGACAACCGGACAATCTGAAGCTCCGAGAAACCCTGCAGACATTTATGGATCCTGTGCTGGCTGATTCCCTTATAACCGTCGGGGGGATAGCTCCATCCCCTTCCTTTGCCATTCAATATCCGACGCAGTATAAGTAATCATGAATTCTGAAGGTTCCCCCGTGGAAAATGCCCGTGATTCGTGAGCTACCGTTCTCTTCCGTCTGATTGGTTTGCAATCTGACGAAACCCTACGTTCCACGCAGGTTAATCGAAGCATGGATGTCAGTTTCAATGATTGCGTTGTTCGCTTATGAGTATCGTAAGCTCGTTATTCTTGAGGAGATTAGAGGGAGTTGATCATCTCTCATATTGGGGTCCATACGGTTTTGCGGTAGTGATAACCCTGGACGATGAAGTTAGTCATTCTATTGATCATGATCATACGATATCCGCACCACTAACTAGTTTTTTGAAGATTGACAAAGTCTGGCAACATCCGGGGTCATTTGCGTCTATTCTTTTCTTGATGAACCGGTACTGTACTATGGTCAATCTACTCGTAGTTGGATGGGCGACTCTCGATACCGCACGGATTTCAAAGGTCAGTTACGTTTTGGTATTCTCGGATATTGTATGACCAACTCATCAGTCTATAGATGTAAGCGCTGTCGTAAAATCAACGATTTTGGTACTATAAAACGCCTCTACAGCTGCCCACACTTGGTACTGATACAAGGTGTTGGCGCGGTTATAATTGTTTCAATTTGCGAAGGTTGTGAGCCTTAGTAACTCCTTCGCGTGCTCTTAAGGATCTCATGTTCTGCAGCTATCATGATTCTGCGAGTCTATGCACTGTGTGGCCGCCGCGTGCTATTACCCGTGGCACTATGTATCTGCCTCGGTGTCCAGATCACGCTTCAAGGGACAGCACTCGCGAAATTGCACGGTAATCTAAGCTAGCGCTCAATCACAGCTTGATATCTTAACATCGCCTGAACCGTTGCAGCTGTTCCCACCCCGTTAGGTTTCAAGTGCATGTTAATCGGAGACGATCCATTATTTGTAGCGTTCTGGACTTCTCCGCTATTCCTGGAGTCAGCCGTCCTCATCATAACAATATGGCAATCGAGATATCATTTCCGCCAGAAATCGACGATCCCGTATGTACTACAGTTTTACAGCGGCCTCGAATGCTCAACAATATCCAGGGCAAGGAGAATATTTCTTCGGGTGTGTGAGCGAGTCATCCTAAGGTACCCAGCGTCTGACATGGCCTGTTTATAGGATGGCGCTGCATATTTCCTGGTGGTTCTCACAATCAATACGATAAACGCAATCACGTTCACCGTGAGTGGATGAACATTTAGTAATTGCATGATAAAGAATGCTCATCGTGCCGTTAGCATGCACGAAGTAGTCGCAAGCAATGGTTCGCCGCTCTGAGTGAAGTACTCGGTTCCATTGTTGTCTCTCGGTAAGTTGGCCTGGCCTTTTCTTGCTACCAGACGCAACTGAGTTAACGATGAATTTATCAGGCTGGTATTGAACCTCAAAGGGCTGAGTGTCTCAACTCAAGACTTCTCCTCCACTTCGGCCGCGGAGAATATATACGACACTCATGGACCGTCGCGCGTCCGGTCAGCATGTCGGATCACGTCTCATAATCAGGATTGAAAGTAATCTGATCGCAGACATGGAAACGATACAAGATGCGAACAAGATATCATGCTCTTTCCTCTCAATCGCTCCGGGCAAGCCCGGAGTAATTCTGAGCAGTAAGCCAGGCCGTCGAAACTGCTGTACTCGCGTAAAATGGCGGCGGAATGCACGTATAATTTGCTACGTCCGTGACCCTTGTAAACGTGGTCTGTGTTGCATGGATTATGGCGAGAAAGGGGATGAGAAATGGCCTCGGAAGTATCCGCCCTCGCTTCAGTGGTGTAGGAGGCTACTTTATCTGAGCGTACAGCTTGAGCATTAGCGAGGCGGCATAGTCATGGTATTATTAGTACATGCCCTGAGTAATCACGGAGGACTGAGCGCAATACAGAGCATAATGCATATGTATCATATGTGCAGCAAGCTAAGCAATTGAGCCCTACAGTGTAATGGCATTCCTTGATGCAGTCAAAACTGCACGGGCTCGCGCAATCGCCACACATCATTTTTCACTCTTTTAACTACCTACAAGGGTACTATAAAGCTCTAGAGTACTCGTCAATTTTTTTCAGAGCTTGAATGTGTATTTAGGAGGAATGAGACGGGCTCCATCCTCAGCGCAGGATAACGGCAATATTCGTTCGTTGATGCAGCACGTGACCCGCACTTGCGCTGCACCTCCGTCGCCGCCGCCTTATCATCTCGCTCGATCTTCGACCTCGATGTACCATGCTTGCACGCTACAACACACTGGGAAGCCATGCATTATCTATTCCTCGTCGTATTCATCTAGATCGTCGCTTTCTGAGTCCTCTGGGTCCTCCTGTTCCCTCTGGTAGTCGGCTCTCTTGGGTCTCTGGGGTGCTTTCGGTATGTCCTTCTGCTTGACCCCTTCGCTCCGCAGTTTCTTCTTCAACTCCTCATATTCTGCCCTGTCTCTCTCGTGCTTCTCCTTGGCCTGCCTCCACCATTCTTCGAAAGCCTCCTTTGCATCCCTCTTGGACTTTCTTGCCTCCTCTCTCTGCTCTTTCTGTGCCTCCCTTTCCTTCGCCTCCGCTGCCAACCTCTCCTCTTCGGCAATGAAACTCTCATTAGTGTAATGCCTTGCCATTCCTCCGACCAAGAACTTATTCTTCTTTGCCGCTTTTTTGGCCTCGTCCTGAGATTGCAGTGACTGGTTCAGTTTCATGGTGTGCATGCTGCTCACCACCAGTTGGGCATTCGCACCCTCAATCATCCCATGTAGTGCTTGCACATACTGATTTGCATGCAGAAGTTCCGTCCTGAGCTCCTCGACCCGCAAATTCAAGCTGCTGATGGTCTGATCCGCCCGATTCGCCATCGCACGAGCCATCTCCCATCGCGGCTCCGAAAGAACAGGCCGGTACTGGATTGTGGGTGGTGCGAGCACGTTTTGAGCCGTCACGCGCGCATGGCCAACCAGAAAGCTGCCGGACTCGGTAGATGCAAGATTTGCGTGCATGATACGCATCCGCTTCGATGGTGTGTCCGCAAATGATGAGGACAGGAGCCGCTTATGCCGTACCATAGCTGGACTCTGAGCCAGAGATTCGCGTGCATGTAACTGCTGACTAGATCCAGTACTCGGTAACGAGGAGGCGGACCGTAATGTAGGGTCGATCACATCGTCAGATGTTGCGGTCGGGTGTACCTGGTGGGTGCCGGTTGAGATGTCTTGCTCGGTGCGCTGACAACTTCGAAAGGCGTCGACAATGGCCCGCGCTGGGCTTGGGAGGACCAGAGGGGGACCGGCTCTGATTGATGTAGCCTCACTCGGCTTCATCTGTGCCGCGGTGATGATATCTGGGTTGAACGGGACGATTCCCGTTGCGGAAAATGCGGCTTTCACCGTCTCCTCTGTGAAGGCAGCTAGATATGCATTTCCAAATAGACCTGTAATGTCTTCTTTTTTGACTTTCTGCTGATACAGCTCGTGATAACGGCTGAGCTCCGCTCGCCATGCTAGCTTGAATTTCGCGAAGCAGACCACGTCAAGGCCCTGGAGGGCATGAGTGCAGTGTGGAGGGTAGCCAAGAAGTTCGATGTTATGCTCTTTGGCGAACTGGAGGACAGGTAGCGCATAGTGTGAGCTATGTCCATCAAGGAAGATGAACCGCGTCCGTCCTGCAGCCATCTGGTGTGTCTGCTCCTCGAAGCCTTCGATCCATGTCCGTGCCGTGACCTTGTCCGTCCATCCATTCGTCGAATATGTGATTCTGATGAGATGCAGTCAGGCAACTGCTTGGTTATCGACTGCAAGCTTACGATGCATCCGCGACATTATTCTTCAACCAATCACGGTTAAACCTCTGACCCTTGTAGATGAGCATGGCACGAAGGCACTCGCCATTAGCACATATGGTCACAACTGCTGTTGTATTCTGACCCCGATCACCTCCTCCTTGCTTGTGCTGAGTCTTGGTGCCTCGAGCACCGATGACACGCTGCCTGCCCTGTTCGCCATCGATGATCGCAGTCTCATCCATTGCGAACTGAAGCTCCGCAGGGGTCATCGTATCCACAACAAGTGGCTTCAAGATTTTTTCAAACCAATGGAGCTTCGCCGCTGGATTCAAGGACTGAGCACGTTGCATATCCAGAGGCTTACTCCAGTGTTGTTGGAGCTCGTCGCTGTGACGTGTAATGAAGCGGTCTACCCAGTTCAATGATACTGGTTCTGCCGCTTCCCCAAGACGTGCTTTCCGGATCTCATTTGCTACATCCATGGTATTCTGCAAGCTCCTGGGCAGGCCCCGGTCAGCGGACTCCTTCAGGAAGTCGACCAAGACCCGCTCCTCTGAGACAGTGAGCTTCTGCTTCCCTGTGTTGAATACAGCTATCGGGGTTCCACCTTTGATGTGCCGGCCTAGTGTATTGTTGTCAACCTCCCACTGCTTGGCAATGGCACGGATGCTCTGCCGTTTTACACCAGGAGGACGAAGCATCTCATGCTGCCACTGCACAAGAGCATTTGCGTATCGCTGCTGTTTGTCTAGGCTAATCTTCCTCTTTTTAGCCCGTTCTGAGAGTGAATGGCGTGTCATGATGTTGTGTGAGATTGTCGATAAGATGCAGCAAAGTGTGTGAGGGGTGCCAGCTGTTCGATCACGAAGGCAAGAAGTCGGGGCGAAGGTTCAGCGCTTCGTAGACACGTGGCACCACTTGTGTCATGTCATTCTCGGTACATCCTCTTGATTCAGCTGTCAGCACTGCATTCTTGCCCGCACACTCTTCATCCCTTGATAGAATATGCTGCTAACATATGTATCTTTACAGCCTAGTAGACAGAACTGCAATAGAAATGAGTTTCGACACTATGGTTCCTGTACACCTAGTGGGTTACACCCATAAGACTGATTCCCAGGGTTTCCTCGATTTTTTAAAAATCAACCAGGACACCGATTCACTAGATATTTCGGATCTATGGAACTCGATAGTATTTCTATACACTGATTTTTTATTGAAGCTTCAAAGTGCATTGAGCGAGTGGAATCCCTGTTTGCATCAAGGAGTGAGGGTGCATCAAGGAATGCCATTACACTGTATAGGACTGTCGATCCAACGTTGCTGAGGTGAAGCACATCTAGTCATGTCAGGACAGTTGGGTACGTGATGAGGTTTCCGTATGCATAGCCATGCATATCCTCAGAAAACGGGAGAATGGTATATCTTCGTCCGACTCGGAGATTGCCAACACCAGATCACACGTCTGATCCGATTCGGAGTTGATGGGGTCTCGGCAGCCATCAAACCTCTTCATCGACATTCTTCTCACATCACCACTGCAGTATGACGGCACCGACCACAAAACCGTACCACACCAGTGCCTACTCTGCTCAGACTCTCAGAGCATCCGCGACATTATGCGCCGACATATACGGTGTGCCTGAGATCAATCCCACCCCAAAAAGACGCCGGCAGGGTGAGCTGGCCTCGGCCGCAACATACTTCCGAGAGCGCGGCACCAAAGAAGAGACGTGGTCTGGTTCCATCATTTCCACTCGAGGGGCGGCTCGGAGCAATAAAACGCGTGTCAAGGCCCAGAGGATAAAACAAAGGCCATGGGCTCGACATTGGGTACCGTCGCGACGACCTCTTGAACACCTCGCGCTCAGCACATCGTCAGCATGATCGATGGCCACATCCTTCTCTTCTGCCATGCTGCCTGGGGTGTGTTACAATGCTTAGATCCCCATCTTTTCATTACTCACCCAGCTTGCCTGTGTTAGGCCACACCCGCCCGATTTGCACCTTCGCCTCGCGCCTCGTCAAGTTGCAGCCCTTCCACGTCACACTGATCACCTCACCCTCCCTCGTTGACAAGGTGCACCTTGAGATCTCCCGTAGCTTCGACGCGCACGAGCACGCCAGGCACGACCTGATCAGGCGCGTTGTTAGCTGTCCATACATTCCGCACTTGCTGATTATAACGTAGGGTCGTCTCACTCTCATTCGAAGCAGTTCCTTTTGCCCTTGAAGCTGTAGAAGTGCCCTTCCGCGAGATCTACGAAAGGTTGCTGAACAAGGAGCCCATCAGCTGCGCCGTCAAGGGTACCTCATTCCCACCTGTACCGCCTCCAACGTGCGCCATCCTCGATGTATGTCCCGTTCCCACCATGCAATCTTTTCAGATTTCCCTCAACATCTATGACATCTCGCTCAGTTCTTCGCTGTACATCCGTTCCGCACGATCCGGTCCCTCAGCCCGCAAACCAAGATCCTTGCCTGGCAAAGCGGCTCCTCGTCCTACCTCTTCCGAGAGTATGGTCCTGCAGAGCAGGGCGGGCATATGGCCTCGCTCGCAGGGAAGAGGTTTGAGGAGACCCTGGCTGGCGTGCGTGCTCTGGCCTGCCCCATGGCGTTCTGCACAATAATGATTATTGCGCAAACAGCTATTCACGAATATCACCGGGGAGCTCGTTACGCTCCCTGGCCTCCCTCCCATGTATGATCATGAATTCTTCCCGCAGCCGGTAAGATGTCTCTCGCTCTCGTCATCGTTGCTATACAAATACCACTTCACAGTCCCCGCCCGGCTTCGAGGCCCCCCTGACTCTCATGCACCTTGCAGGCTTCGAGTAATGTTTTTGTTTTTCGTTCTTGTTCTGATGTAAAGCTCAATTACCCCGTTGACAGAGTGATAAACAACTGCGACGGCATCGTTCAGACCACCGACGCCTCGTACGACACCCCAGGCATCAGGGCCATTGATGCCTGGATGTCGTCTCTTTCCCCGCCGCGGCCGCTGTACAACATCGGTCCTCAGCTGCCGCACTCGCATCCGTCCGAGGCGCGGAGTGGCGAGCTTGAGCAGACTCGCGGCGCGGGCGACGTACTCGCGTTCCTCGACAAGACGCTCGCGTCGCATGGTGCCGAGTCCTTGGTCTACGTAAGCGCATCAACGGAAAACGAGAGCGTAGCGCTGACGCGCACGCCCCTCATAGATCGCATTTGGCTCCATTTTTGGCCCTTGGATGCAGCCTGACAGGTTATGGACAATTCTCGACGTCCTCATGGAGCACAACGTCCCCTTCGTACGCTCCTTGCTGATGTCCGCGCATCGCTGCTCATGGACCGGTTGGTGACAGATCCTGAGCCACGCCGCGCCGTTCGCCGTCATCCCCGATGACGTCGCCGCTAAAGTGAAGGAGTTCGACCTCGGTTTCCTGTCGTCCTGGACCCCGCAGCAGACCATTCTCAACCACCCGGTAACGTCTTTGCACACAAGAAGTGCTACTGCGAGGCTGAACATATGGGCTATAGGTTACCGGCTGGTTCATCACACATTGCGGCCAGAACAGTGCATCCGAGAGTCTCGCCGCCGGAGTTCCTCTGTAAGTTGTCACTTCACGATCCTTCACTTTCACAGAGCCATCATAACGGCATCTATCGATAGGATTGCCTGGGACTTCGCTGCCGACCAGCCCGTGACCGCTCTCGGGCTGACCGTGCTCGGCGTCGCTTACCAGCTTTTCGAGGTACGCGCGCCTCCCCACGGGCTCAAGCCCATCCATCGCCTCGGCACCGACAAACATCTGACTGGCACTGTCGACGCCGTCCGCACGGAGATCACGGAGCTCCTTACGAAGATGAAGGGTGACGACGGCGCGGAGAAGCGACGCAACGCGCGGCGGGTGCGAGCAGAGCTGGAGGCGAGCATGGCCGAAGGTGGTCGGGCTCGTGGGGAGATGCACCGGCTCATCGCAGACCTGGCAGCTTGATACACATCCTGCGACATGTGACATCGCTATATAGATATACAATTGACAACACGCTCATGCATCTGCTAATATCTCAAGCGGATAGATACAACACGGTTTACTTGCTTTCCGATACAAACAACGGCCCAGCATTGCATCAAACGTGGTCCAGCTCCGACGTCATGCTCAGGAAGTTGGCTGGTGTTCCGTCAGGCTGCTTCTTAGAGAACGTCGCGCTCGCAGGCGAGTCTTCCGGTGTCTCCCCTCCGACTGACCGCTCAACCCTGAACCTATCTCAGGTAGTGATCTTCGGGAGCGTGAGTGTAATGACATACCGCTGGAATACTTCAAGAGGGATCACTGTCGGAAGGCCGCGTGCGGAAACCTCCGAATCGCCAGTGCTGCCACTTGATTTCCCTAAACCGACCGGTTTGAACCGGATTTGCGCTGTGAATGCGGACGAGGTCCTAACAGAGAGTAATGACGGTGAGACGACACGGGAATGATCAGAGGGGCGCTGTACGCACTGAACCAAACCGGGAGAAAATTCTGAGAGATCGCGGTACATGCGTGCTACCGCCATACACCTAGGCGTGGCCGACCCGATACATCACAGGCTGTTCGAGCAGAGATTCTGCGGGTTCTCTCACAATGTAATGCCGTATACGGGAAGAAGAATCTATGTTGCTTCAGACAGCGGACGCTGGAATTAGACATGTAACTGACAATGTTCATGATATCTGGAATTCATGATGCGTGAGCGTGTGCATGAACAGCAGAGTCGGCATTCACTAACCGTTGAGGTTTAGGAACACAAGAACCTAGTAGCGGCTGTGATCTGCAACGGCTGAAATAATGACAATGAGAAGACCTACCACCGCGGGGACGAACAAGATAATAGGGATGGCAACCCAGATGATCCCCTTCGAGCGAGCGATTCAGCCTACATTCATGGTCGTCCTTCAGGTCACCGACCTGTTTGTAGATTACCGACCACAACATTCCGATGTTCTTTGTCCTCCATACTCCAGCCATCATGACGATCAGCAAAGCTGCATGTACGATGATGCTGACGAGCAGCGTGAAGCGATTCCTGTGCGTATTCACTAAGTGGCACTGTCCTATGAATAATCCAGGATCATTGACACTCTCTTTCGGAGCCTATGCACATGCCGAGGAGTAAACGCGTGAATGGGATACCGCGATACCGGTGCGAACATACCACGATTATTCCTATGCTGATCAGCGCTCAGTTGACTAGTATGAATGTAACGCTGGGCTTACCGAAGATCGTGAACCCGACATCCACGAGCCAAATCAAGATCACACCAATTGCGATATCGATACGGCACCCCCAAAGAGCAATCCTGTGCGAGAACAATGGAGTTCCATTTCAGAGTTTCTAGTTCTGAACAGGTAACGTGCTCACGCGCGGACCGCGAGTAGCAGCATTGCCAGTGTATCGCCGGATACGTATCCCAAAGCCTGCGAACCTCGGTTTATGCAATGATATACCCACTAACATGCGGTACCTACCAGGTTGAATCCCATCCATACCTGAGATGAGGCGCGGGATATGTATCAATAATTGCTAGGCACGGCGCAACACGGCGCAAACATCGGTAGCTTACAGAGCAGTTCAATGAAGCACCAGGGGCAGCATCCAGGTTAATCCCGATGATGAAGCAGAAACATGTAGCGAGCCCCATCAAGCGGATAGCAAGATAGAGCTGGCCTCAGCATGTTACGTCAAAGCGACCCTTGATGGTCATGTCAAGACTCACCGGCATGGTCCATTTCCACGGTCTCTTCCGCTTATATATGCTCCAGTCGTATGAGAACGTTTGTATGAAGTCCCAGCTACATGAAGTGGCTATATCGCACCTAATAGAGCAGAAGATCGACAGGCGTACCAGTATACTCCGGAGATGAAGTGCATCAGTCTCGACAACCCCTCTGGAATAGCGAATGAGCTTGTGAAGGTATTCATCGATCCAGCTCACATACGCAGTTGATAAAACATGGTAATGGGGTCTTGCCAATTGACCATCGTGAAGCGAGGCTGTCTCAGCCTGAGGGAGGCAACTCGGGGCGACGATCGACCAAGTAGCTGCCACTCCTGCTTGTTATAACCCTTATAGCTCTATATAGCTGTGTTAGACGTCCGCATGCCCCACGGAGATGTACTGTTCTGATAGCAGGGAGCTGAATGTACACGAAATCGTCTATATGGGGTAACTCACCTTCTGACAGCATCACCACGACAGTGCCATTCGCTGAACGAAACTCTCCTCCTCTGCATTCCGCCATATACGAGATGCCTGATTTGGAACATTTCTTCTGATAGCTTTGACAGCAAGAGAGTTCTGTGCAGAAGCCGCGCTAGTGGGGATACTACGTACGAGGCTCTGGGCGCCTCACAAAGCGCAGCGAATGTGATCGGCATCAGCATAGATTAAACGTATAGAAATTCACCAGATGGGTTGGCTTCTTCCAGCGCTAAGCACATTGCATATGCACAGCCATACGGACCACGGATATCTATCCCCGTACGTCTAAAGTGAAAACAAAATAGATAAAAGCAGCGTTCAGATGGCCGAGTTCCGGTGTGGATGCATCGGTGTCAATGCGTTGGACATGAGAGAAAGATGCGCAGGAACACAAGTGTCAACCAGCATCGCATGAGTAAGGGAAGCGAGCGAGCGACATCCGGAGCCCTAGCAGGAGATTTGATACCGCTCTTGTCAATCAACGACTAGACTAGATAGTCGGCGTTTTCCATCGTAGATGCTCACGTTATTGAACACGAGCAGGCCAAGCTCCATGAGCAGCGAAGCTTGCGATAGACAGTCTGAACGCGAATGCGTTTCGGCGGCACGGAGGCGCAGAAAAGGAGACGCGCGTCAACAAATACTCACCTCGTTGTTTGACCGTGTTTATCTCAGCACTCCCGTCTGAAGAAATCAATCATTGCACTCGGCCATCATCTTGGGGGGCCAGCACATCCCACGAGCATGCTCTCCGCCTTACCAAACCGAACCACAGAATTAGATAATGGGCAATCAGTGCCATCCGGAGATTCTATCGCCGAAGAACATAACGCGGTCAAATCTTCAGGGAGGGCGAGAATCCTAGCCCTATCGCCTTGTATTCTCCCCCCTGGAATCATCTCTCCTCCGCGACCGAGTTCATCCAGTCACAAATCCGTTACATTATCTCGTTGCATCATACACGGTCTGATCTGGCGGGACAACCGGAGTGAGGAAGTTGAAGCGCACGATTTCCCGTGACCCCCACGATAGTCTGGCCAATATATGGCGTATTGTATATAATCTAGCACCAGGGCGTTTATAATCCTGGCGAGCCATGTGAGAACTTCGAGAGATATCAAATTTCTCCTGATCTTTCCAGGTTATCAGGATTGATGGTGAATGAAGGCCACGGAATCCGTGGTCTGAACCGCATTTGCGTCACGAGAGATGTAGTTGTTCTGGGAAGGTCATTAATCGGAGAAAGCCGCTAAAATACTCCGACACGAATGAATTGACTCATACAAGCCGGGAGAGTAGTCCAATAGTCCGCGATACATGTGAGCAACAGCCATGCACCTGTCAAAGACATATTATAATGTGAGTAGGCGGTTTTTCTCCAGTTGCATAGTCGTGTTCACATTGTGATACCGTATAGTGGCAGGATCATCTAGGTTGTTCGTGGTTATTCGTACAAAACCCGGATCATGACACTCACGATATTCATGACATCTGGCGTCAATACAAGGCGTCAACGTCGCCGAGAATAGGGCAGCATATTCGACGGCTTACCGTTCAGATTTAGGAATGCAAGTATCTGAAAGCGCGTTAGCGTTTCAATGCTAGGAGGCTGAGCGAATTGATCGACTTACCACGGCTGGTACAAATAGCACGATTGGGATCGCGATCCACACCAGTCCCTGCCTCTTGTGTCAGCTGAAAATTGCTGCATGTCGGCGACACTGATATCAAATGGCTTGCCTGCCGATATATGAGCGACCACAGTCGCCCAGGGTTTTTCATCCTCCACACACCGACCATCATGACTGCCAGGAGAACACTGTGCACTGTGATACTGACAAGCAATGTGTATCGATTGCTGCTTGTGTGTATGAATTGGCACTGCCCTGAGAACGGCTCCGGATTATTGATACTCTCCTTCGTTGCCTGATTCTCATTCTTTAGATTCAAGCAACTCAGGTTTCAGCAATAACAATCACCTCGAAAGTACCTATATCGGAAATGATGTGTCAGTTCGGATGACATACGAATGCAGCTTCGCCATACCGTAAACCGTGAATCCAACGTCTATCAAGCTGACTAAAGTGAGAGCAATTGCGACATTCATTCGGCATTCCCATAGCGCAACACTGATTGGAGGGTGTTATGTCCGGTGCATTCCCTAGCACGTGTTTTTCTACGCACGCCCGAACCAATAAAAGAAACATTGCTAAGATATCCCCCGAAATAAAGCCTAGTTGCTGCACAAGGTCGATGATGAGAATGGTCCGACCGGCTCCTGAGGTACGCACCAGGGTAAAACCCATCCACACCTTAACGCATCAGCCAGTTATGCAGTGCAAAGAGGGCGACGTCACTCACTGAGCAATTCAAGGGAGCAACAGGGCTGGCGTCCATATTGATGCCTATGACAAAACACAGGCAGGTAGCTAAACCCATCCATCGAATGCAGAGGTACGGCTAGCGAACGGTACAGTTCAGCAGCGAATCGTACGACGGTCAGGTTGCATCATGAACGTACAGCCATAGTCCATCTCCATAGCTTCTTGCGCGTGTATATACTCCAGTCGTACGGAAATGTTTGGATGAAGTCCCAGCTGTGCGATTCAGACGAGTTTCATACTAACGTCGTGTTGAGAACCCACCAATATGCACCCGAGATGAAATGCATCAACCTAGATAGGCCCTCTGAGAGTAGCAATCAGCCGTTGTCCTTGACTTCGTCATCTTGACACGTACGGAGCTGATAAAATATTGTAATTGGGTCATGCCAATTCACCATCGTGTGTGATCTAGTGTGGAGCGAGAATCACAATGCCACGAGTCGAGGAAGAGAAACACAGGTGTTCCGTTTTGTTGACCAGGAATTATATACTTCCCGGGCTCATAGCAATTGTCGTGCTCCGATCAACTAGGTACAAGCTGAAACTGCTGAATAAATGCGCCATGCCCACATGGGGTGATTTAACTATACAAACCAGTACGTGGCTTCGCGACATAAGTGCGATCTTGCCTCATCCCAGTGAGCACACACGGTGTTGTAACAAAGTTGAATCTTGCTGAATCAAGTGCGCACCTCAAGCACACGTGCGAGCATAAATGCACACATGCGGAAGTCTTGAGAGAGATTATTGGTAATGAAATTGCACGATTGGTATCTGTTGTGGGCATGACTCGTCAGCGTGCACTCTACTCAGTCGGGGTCAAAATGTATATGTCTTAACCCGGAAATGGCGGCCTATACGCAGGGTACGTGGCGAAGCAGATGGCAAGGTTGATGACAGACTTGACGGGGATTCACCGGTATGCATGCCGCCGGGCGGCAGCTCCCACGTGAATACAGAAGTGAGCAGGGCCATCAAGGTAGAGAATGGTAGAAAACAGCACTGATACCAAGTGCAGCCTTGGGGATCCCCGTAACTGGGGTGACTTCCTCATGGGCACGGCAATAATCTATAAACACGTCGCGATTGAAGGTAGGCGGACATTGCAAGACATGTGAGCACACGAGTGATATAAATGGAAGTGATGGAGAAAACACCGCAAGGGAGCCAATCAAGGACCGAGGTGCTCAGAACCCGAACGGTGAGTACCCGCCCTGCGTCCGGCCCGCACCTCCATATCGTCCTCCATACCCTCCGCCTCCGCCAAAGCCACCGTGGCTATGACTATGGCTGTGACTGTGGAAACCGCCGCCGCCCATGCCGCCTCCGTGGAACTGAGCGAACAGCTCTGAAAGGTCGACGCCGCCGCCCATGCCACCGCCCATGCCGTCGTTTTGGCCGTCCTCGTCCTCGCCGAGGTCGTACCGCTGGCGTCTGCGCGGGTCTGAGAGCACGCTGTGCGCTTCGACCACGAGCTTGAATTTTTCCTCGTCACCGCCCTTCACAAGGTCAGCGATAGCAGCAGAACAGCGAGGATAGATATGCTACCTTGTCAGGGTGGTGGATCAGACTCTCCCGCCTGTATGCCTTCTTGATCTCCACCTCCGTACAGTCCCTCGCGAGGCCGAGGATTTTGTAGTAGTCCTTGGTCTTGCTCCGCTTGAGAGCCGCCTCCGCCTTCTTGACATCGTCTCGCAAACTCCGGACATCCTGGTCCGTCCCATCCATACCTGCCTGCTCTAAGGCACTCTTGAAATCAGCCACGGCATTCTCGTATTTCTCCATGTGTAGGTGGATCCGCGCGCGGGTGCGGAGGGCTTTAAACGATGTAGGCAGCAGGACGAGTGAAGCGTCCGTGTCTGCGAGTGCCTCCTCGTGTCGTTGTAGCTGTAGGGCTATTTCAGTACCTCATGGTCATAGCTGAATGGATGTTTGACTATACCTTCAACAGCGTCGTTGCCCTATTGCTTAGTAATGTCGCCCTTATCTGACCTCCGGAGCCCTCGTTCTCGTTCTCGCCGACTCTCTCAAGCGCCTCCGTGTATTTCTCGGTCGCCTCGTCCAGCTTCCCGGTCTTAAAGGCATTGTTCCCCTCTTCCTTCAGCCTCTCAACATCTTTGACGCGCTTGCGCAGCTTGTGCGCGGGTTCGTAACCAGGGTCGAGGCGGAGGGCAGACTGAGCATGTTGAAGGGCTTGAGACAGCTTGGCCGTAAGGAAGAGAACGAGACCGCGCATGGTGAGTACGTCCGGGGAATTGCTGAATAACCGCATTGCGTCGCTGCGAAATCACCCAGCCGTCACCGAAGATCGCGAGAAAGGGCGCGTGGAAGAACATACTTGGCGGCGATGTTGGCAGCTTCCCAGTTACTCCTAGCCAGCTCCAGCTCGATCCTCCACAGCCGCCACTCGACGGGAACCTCCCCGCCCTCGCCCTCGATCCCGCTCAAACACCGGTCGAGGGCGAGACGCGCCATACCCCAGTCCCGCCTGCTCCGCGCCCCTTCGAAGTTGCGGAGGTGACCCTCGAGGTCGCGCACTTGACGCTGCAAGGCCTTGGCGGCCGCGTTGTTCGGCTCAAGGTCGAGCGCGGCGGAGAGTGTGGAGAGGGCCGGGGTGGGCTGGCCGAGCGCAAGCTGGCAGCGGGCGAGGCGGACAAGGGTCTTCGCGGAGGGTGCGGTCGACTGGAGCGCCTGTGCGGATTGGCAGTCTTGCAATGCGGGGCGGAAGCGCTTGAGGGCCATGTATGCGGCCGCACGGTTGGTGAGGTAGGCGGGTTCACTGGGGTTAAGCTCTGCACGGGTATATTTTTTGCGTCGGCGGATCACGAGGACAAAAGAGAGATCTATGAAGGCGCACCGATCGCTTTGGTGTAGAGATCGACGGCCTCGCCGAACCTCTTCGCCTTGAACGCCACATTGCCCGCCTCCTTGGTCTGCTCCGCCAGTACGATCAGATCAACCTTTTGTTCCGGCTCTGGCTCCGTGCCTCGGGCAGGTGTTTCCGGAGGAGCAGGCGAGGAATCCTTCACAGGCGAGGTTGGAGACTCGGCGTCAACTGACAAGCGCCCTTCGTGATCTGACCTGATATTTCGATCAAACGTTGACACAAGGGGATTGAGCGCTCTGTATCGGATTACTCAATGAGAGTAGACTGACTGGTCTGCTCCATTCCCATTCAAAGTGGCAGGGGCAGTCGCCGCGGATGCCTGCTGCTTCTTCTTGGCTTGCTTGGACTTTTTATTGTTTCCCATAGTGATTACAAAAAGTTGTTAATCCTCCAAGACAGACGTCCCAGAGATCTGTCAAGGCACTGCTGAGCAGCAGGCAGGCAATAGGAGGTTTGGTCGGGGAGAGCGGAAGGAAACAGACAAGAGAGCTTGACCAGTAAGGCAGACAATGGTGGCTGTGCGATCTGCCGCGCCCTTTACAGCCACCTACTGAGACGCCGGGCAGGGTCGGCATTCTGTTTCGTCCTTTTCGTTGGAACGTCGAAACAAGTTGCTACGCGCAAGAAAATTCAGTGTGCGATGTATTTCAATACGATTATCGTCGGTGTTCACACTTCACTGATTTATTCTTGAGTAGCTGTGCGCGTGATCATGTGAACTTCGAATATGCACAGTACCCGCCCATCACAACGCCGTTCTCTGAGCTCTCTGCCAAGCATTGTAGAGATTTCCAGGGCGCGGGAGAGCTATCGCATCGTTGACTGTCTCAGAGACAGACAATGACATTGTGTTGGAAAGCATCGCCACCAGGAAGCTTCAGACACCCTGGCGCTGGCTGTCATCGTATGACATTGTTGGCCCTCATTTTCTCGTATTTTATCCCACTGTGATGGACGAAAAAAGTTCGCCGCCATAAAAGACAGCTCATGACTCTTGGCATATGATGAAAGTAGGACAATATAAAGCTCGTCTCTCTCAAGAGAGGTGAAGCCTGAACACTCCTTAAGCTTCAACGTCTTCGACTCCTTGAATCCGGACTCGCCCAACAGCAAGTACGCCAATATGAAATGACAAACAAGAACTGATCATTCAAGCCCGGTCAAAAGTCGCACGGCGGCCAGCGGCGTGGAAGGGCAAGGAGCAGCGCCAGCTGTCCGCGCCATAGAGCGCCCTCAGGAGCCCGCGACCGCCGCAAAAGCGAAATAAGGACTCTCGATGGATGGCGCAGCGTGGCGCGATATGGCACAGAGCAGTGCACAACGGCGATAGAGCAGGTTGTCGACCCACGCCTACGCGCTCCTTTCTGCGCCGCTTGTATTGATCCCGCATTTATTATATATTGTATTATTTTGTACATCGAGTTATACAGACAACATTGTATGGCGCGCGATGTGTAGCAAGAAGAACAACATGAGCTTAACTGCAAGAGTCGCATTTCTGAACGACTGATACGGCATCCTCTTCATCGAGTTACGGTGCCGAAGTAGTCTGCACAAGACGGCGATCAGCTGGACACGATATGCGAAACAATTGGGGCACTCACTTTCGCATTTTTGGCCTTCTGGTTCCACTCCTGCGATACGGTGAGATCGAACACTCTCCGCACCACGTTAACCAGCTCACCTTTCTCTCTGCATCCGACAGACTTGTCCAAGCGAGTTCGTATTCGTCGTTGAGAACGACTGTACCAGGTCGCTCGTTGAGATAAGCCTTCTTGTAAAAGTTTCTGTGCGAAAGGAAATCAGTAATCCCATCGCTTCGTCGCAGAGAACACGCATACCTGCCGGTAAACGCTGTGGTCACTGCACAGACGGCGGATTTTTTTGGCTTCGCGACTTTCGGCTCATTGTCGGTGCGTGATTGTTTGGGCGGTGCGACGACGTCGGGCTTGTTCCATGGGGCGCTGACCTCGAACGCAGCACGAGTCACGGCAGTCGATGAAGCGCTGAAGACCTTGAGGTCCTCATGCGCGGTTGCGGTGGCTGCATCAAAACTTTTCGCTTCGGAACGTCTATACGTCAGTAATGGCCAGTGCTGAAAAATGAACATTACCGTTATCGACCTCTTGAGCCAAGAGACGAGTGAAGGAATCACCGCCATCTGTGAGAATGTCCCTAGTAAGCTATTAGCGATGGGGATCCATGCGGCGCAGCTCTGATAGGACTCACAACGGATTCGCTACCTTGGGGTGAGCAAACGGTACAGGTGAGCCAAAACACAACCTATGAGCAACGTGGACTCACTGTGAGGCTCTTTGCTTCAGTGCCGAAGCTGCGTGGGATAGATGCCGACACGAACGGGTCAGGGGATGCTACGGTACCCGGCGACGGCAACGACGGAGATTCTGCGTCATTTTTGTCGAGGTCCTGATCCAGTAGAACGTGAGACGATGGGTGAGAGCTGGGCGGAGATACAGGCTGTGTGATGGTCGACCGCGCAAGAGGCGACGAGACGGCGGAGCGCGTGATGGCCCTGGGCTTCTTCGCGGGCGACGGGATTGATGCAGACCCAAGAGATACGGACGAAGGCCGTGGGCGCTTTTGCATGCCAGATAGAGGGAGCGAGTCAGGAGACTCCGCTTTTATCAGCGTTCCCTTTGAGCGGATGTTATGACGATGCCAGGAGGCGTAGACGTCAGAGGCGGCCTTGTCGAGCTTCCAACCATGCGAGCAATAGCAAAACAGCGGGAAAGCTCTGCACAAGTGATAGTGAAGGAAGTCGAGCTGCGGGAGTGTTGCCCCAGTATACGTAGCTGGCCCGTTCCCAGAGGAGTGCCAGTGGAAGAAGACACCCTTCATGCGGCCAGTGATAGCCTCCGTCGTCGCGTCGTCGATAGGTGATCCGTCCAGAAGCTCCAGCCAAGGAAAACGGCCGGAGGGAGCAACTTCGTCCGCCTTCTTCTTCTCTTCGCTGGGCTCGGTCTCACCTTTCTCGCACTGTCCTCGGGACTTCCAGGCCGTCTTGGTCCAATATTTGATGCGAGAATAGCAAGGATTGCCGGGATCAAGCTCTTCTGGCCGTGAGACGTGCAAGGCTGATATTGACCCGCTCGGCGCTACAGTCGGATGCGGGCTGTCCGGAACTGCTGGGGCAGCCGACAGGCTGGCTATATGCTGATGCAAAAGGGCGACTTGCCGTTCAAGGCCGTTCTTGCTTTCGATGACCCGCATATATGCAGCGTTACCATAGCAAAGCAGCATCGTGTCCGATGCCGATCGAATAAGCTGTGAAATATCCGCCTCCTGCCAAGGCTGGCACCGATAATGAGCGCATATAACCGGTCTGAGATACATTTGAACAAGGCTGCAACAAACCTTGGTCTCCTGCGTGCTATCATAGGTTGCAGCAAGATTCGTGAGTGGTATTGAGCCGAATCCCGGGGCGTCGGCGGGCGAAACACTTCCTGCGTGCGATCCATCCTGAATAAGGTTCATGTGCGCCGGAATGGCGGACGGTCGCATCAGCCGGGAGAAATCCATGCTGATGGGAAGCCTAATACGAGAGAAAAATCATGATATCAGGATGGGCAAGGAAGAAGAAAAAACAGACCTTAGTGTGGTATGGATGGGATAGAGACACGGGGACACCACTTTTTGGACTTAGCAAGCCACAGAATGTAGAGCACGTGATTTCCACGTGATTGTCCCGCCACGTAGATTCCGCGTACACCATTGAATTTCCTATTTTCTTTCCATTCCCCTCAAACGCAGGATCGTGGAGTCCCCGAAATGCGTTTGAGGCAGCTTTTATAACCAACGCTATGTGATTGCCTGGCTTGAATGATTCATAAGGGATTGATTATGTGAGTACCTACCTCATTATGTTCTGACTGACTGGAGTTACGTTGGGTTTTGCTCTGAATAGATACTGTGAAGTTCAATCCTCCGTCGACGAAACTGTTGAAACGGGCCCAACACATGCACGAAGACAAAAACGGGCCAGGTTCGTTGGGCCTTCCAATACCTCGGGATTAGCTTGTGCCTATGTCTCCCACGCACTCCGTGCTTCCACCGTGCCCCGTTCCACGCCTTCTACACGGCTTATTCCATCTACATCTGCGCCTCGGATGGCTTTTGCTCCGCCTGCGACTCGGCTTACATGTCCCACAGTTCTGTCCTGGCTAGCATCCGCTACGGATTCAAGGGCAAAGCTTGCATCCACGCTACAATGCCGATTGGGTGCGCACGCGCTATACGACGTGGACTGGCCCGCGCTCTGACATTACCCGTGCAGTGCGGTTGACCAGCTAACACTGTAACCCCCCTAGGCAGCGCGACGACTAGTCAACACAGCAACGTCGACTGGCCAGCGCGACAACATCGACGGACGCGCGCAACGACGTTGACTGGCCAGCGTGGCAACGTCGACGGGCCAGCACGGCAACGTCGACGGGATAGCACGGCAATATCGAGGGACTAGCACGACGACGTCGCCGTGTGAGCGCGACGACATCGACAGACGTGTGTGACGACATCGACGGACTGGCACGACGACGTCGCCGTGCGAGCGCGACGACATCGACGGACTAGCACGACAACATCGACGGACGCGCGCGACAACATCGACTGGCTAGCACGACAACATTGACGGGCTACCGCGACGACATCGATGGGCTGGCACGGCAACGTCGACATCGACGGACGCGCGCGACAACATCGACTGGCTAGCAAGACAACATCGACGGGCTAGCGCGATGATATCGACGGGCTGGCACGGCAACGTCGACATCGACGGACGCGCGCGATGACATCGACTGGCCAGTGCCAGTACTCCGGTTGCGCTGCGCGCTGTCAAACATCCGTGTGTTGTATTAGACTCACTCACTGAGTAGCTCAACATCATGTATATTGCGTAGCTTGTGGAATAAAACATAAAGTTGCATGTCCATCATGTGAGATCTAATAATCGACTATACATCACTGTGCGACACATCAGACCGCGGTTAGGGCTTCAATCTGGTCAGACATAAGATCCCATTCCATTCCTGGTTTCTCCGCAACAAAGAACCGTTGGACTTCGCACTCCTCGCCCAACAGTTCCATCATCGGGATGACGGCAACAACAGACCGGATGGACTTAACACAGGTGACAATCAGTGAGTCCTGTCCACCGTGCGTGCATGCGTACAATGTCCCATGCGAGCGGGTCAAAAGCTCGGCATCTGGTGGCGATAGGAGGGAAATCATAGCGAGGCCGATGGTCTCTCCACCGCTTTTCATCATGATGTAGTACTGCACTTCGCCGTATCGAAAGCAGCCATCCAGATAAACCTATCGAACAGACATCAATGTGAGGCAGAATACCATGGAGTGGTAGTACCTTGACATTCCGGGACATGCGCACGTCGCTTAATGGTTTCTTGCCTTCTTTCCACAGGGATCGTGCAGTTTGACCACAGGGGAGGCGCAACCTAGCCCATCGATGCACCCGTATGCCCCGACAGTCACTGATCCCAGACCCAGCAGTCCTCTCATCGATGAAGATTTGGAGGGCTCGTTCTTCACTGGACGTGATAGAGCGTGCAGTGTGGTCCAATGCGCGAAGGAGAATATAACCATTGCCGAGATCTATAGCTCCGCGAGGAAGGCAATATGAATCGGGGGCGAGCTCCGGAAGAATGGCCTTCATCGTGTTAGCCTGGCATCGATACAGCGCCCGCTCAGAGAGATTCGCATATGCACGGGAATCTTGCTTGATCTCTTCTCCTAGATTGCCGATCGTCCGCTCCATAACGTATTGCGAGTGTCCGGGCAGAGGTCCTTTGAGGGTGACTTGTTCTGGTAAGTGTATGAGACCGTGTACGACAGGGCGAACGAAATGAATTCGATCCGCTCGGCGCCGACAGTAAAGCAGTTCGAATTCGACAACATATTCAAGTACGAGACGGCGGGCCTGTAGTAGCTGAAGCCGAGAGATCTTTCGCTGGAAAAAGCGCCGCATCACTGCAACTAGTTTGCAAAAGTGTGTCCAGTATTTAGCCGGAACCCAGGGTCGGAATACGGCTGGACCAAGGACGAAGACATAGATAAGGTACTCCCAAGACTTGTAGCCGCTGTTGATCTTCTCAGCAGGATTTCTTGGAGCACGGTCATAGCAACCAGGAAGATAGGGATGAGCACCAGCGACCAATGACCCATGGGCCTCCCAGGCATCACCAACGAGCATGGCCCAATCCCACTTGGCCCGATCATCAGTTGCTGCACACTGTATTGTACCACGGAAGAGTTCCAAGAGGAGCGCTGTGAGATTGAGAGTACCAAGATGCATGATATCTTGACCAAAGAGTCGTGGAGCACCGAGCGAATGTGGAAGCCCGCTGAGAATGGTAGGCTTCACAAGTCCTGTAGCGAGACGACGTCGGGCAAATTCACGATTGTTCCTCGATGCTTGCAGATACGCGAGCTTGTTGCGGTATTCTTCCACACTTCCCGTAACCAGGCACACCGGGTTGATGTCGGCATGATCGCACCCAGAGACCGCATAGCCATTTGGCTTCAGGAGCACCGGAAAGTACTGCGGCTTGCCTGGCTGATGCCTCCCACGCATCCCACAGGAGACTTGGCATCCGTAGGCTCCACTATGTCCAACTGAGCCATCAAGATGAACAATTCCCATACGGTCAGCGGTCCCCATCGCCAGGTACGGATGGTCATAGAAGAACTCGTTTGTTGCAGCATTCCAGCACCGGAGACCCTCTTTTTGCAGTGCGGCAAGGTGGTACAGTCCAGGATAAAGGAATGAGTCATGGCTTTTTGGTGCGTTTGGACCAGGGATTACGCCGCCGACCAGAACATGTTTCTTTTTGTAGCGTAGCTCCGGCGGGAGGCTTAGAATGACCCAGATGTAAATCCAGCAGTCTGATTGTTTGCTCCGATAGAGTTGACAGCCATCCATAGAAATGAGAAGTATGGAGTTTCCGAGGCGAATGTCCTCATTCGCAAGAAAGTCGGAGCCACAGCAGAAGTCATCGTACTCATCGATGATGATGTTGCCGTTTGCGTCCCGTTGCGAACGCAGCTGAATAACCCGCCTGAGAAGGTACTCTAAGTTACGGGCACCATCGGGCGTACACCAGAGAGCTTGCAGCTGTGGGCCAAGGAGCATAGTATAGAACATTTGCCGAGATGATCGCTTCCTCCCGAGGTACGTGTAGCGATCCTCATTGCAGAATGGGCAGACCACCAAGGCCTCATACGGGCCAGTAAATGCGGCGCAAGAGTTCGGGCACATATCATGTTTGACTGCAGATACCCCAGTAAGCTCTGCGACCTGGCGTCTGATCTGATCAAACGAGAGAAACATATCTTCAGGGTGTCGCCGCATTGCCGCATCCCGAGCGCAGTTGTATGTATCGCGCGAGCCTTTGCTGACAGAGAAGTACGTGTCAATGGCATGCCGCACACCAGGATCCTGGCATGTTGTCTGAGCGATGCCTTGACACGGTTCACGAAGTCGTTCCAAGGCCGAGTCGCTGAGACCACTGCCAGAAAGAGTCGCGTGTCTCAATCCCTCGATGAAGAGCTGACTGGTATGAATGTGGTGTATAGCGGAAGGCTGCGCGGAATCCCCAGTTACAGACGGAGCATGTTCAAGGTCCTCCTGGTGAAGACTATCGGCCTCTTCCTCGTGCTCGAGATTGGGTTCCTCAGGATTTTCGGATTCGTCGAGACCCTCCTGAGTATCTTCATCATCATGCAAGATCCGCGAGAGGCTTCCCGGATCTGGTTCAATATCTTCGTCCTCCTCAGTGTCCTGGGGTAGCAGAGCAGGCAATATCAACGAAGGAGCACTGCTGCCCTCTCCATTGTAAAACTGCTCGGATGCTTCACCCCCTTCTGCGTCTGTCTAATGTTCCATTTGGCATGTTCAACGAGCAAGATATCTATATTACATAGGTATCTTACAAAAGAATCTTGTGGAGAATCTATGCTAATGTTCGCGGCAGCCGGCTTGTTTCGCTTCACGGACCCAGAGTCGCGCTGAAGACCATTTCGTCTCCGCTTGGTGGTCTGTCGCCGCGGCTTGTAGAGCTCTTTACGCCCGTCTTCATGCTGTATATATGCCGTTGTTGTGGATTGAACTCGGTAGCTGTGATGGGCATAGAAAGTCGTCTGGCTGACGAGCTGTAGCCGCTTGCACCGTGTTGGGCAGTCACAATAGTATTCCATAGGGTGAGGAGGCAAAAGGCGGGAGCGGTGACTAGAATATATGCGCAAACTTCCGCAGACAGAAGACGATCAAGCTGCAAGAGAGCTACAGACCTACCGAAAGCGCATTGTCGATCGCTCGATGTCCTAATTGGGAACACCTCGAGAACCGCCACGCCGCCGCCTCATCTAGCGCCGCCTTGCCCCAGTGAAATAACTGTCCCGCCCCTCCACGCTGCTCATCGCTGTTTCCCGCCGTGCGACTTTTGACCGGGATTCAAGCCTCAGGCTCAGGGACGCTTCATATGCTGCCCGCCGTATCGTTCTTGTTGGCCTGCGCAGGCACATTCGTCGCAGCTATGGGCGACAGCACGAACTTCGACTGTCTTCCTGTTGATCAATCTTGCAATAGCACCGTAACCTCCCTGGCGTGCTGCCTAGATACCGTCTGCGCGCCGGTCAACCCATGCAAGCCCGCGGACGCAATAGCAAATTCGGAGGTGAGCCCTTCGCGATTACAGGCCGACCGAATCTTTTTCATCTGACTTGTCTTGCAGCGTTGTACCGGAGCATTCACCAACGTCGTGTGCACCGAACCCATCTCGGACGCTTGACTCCCGAACACAATTACTTGATTCATACCCCCCAAGTCCCAATGCCTCCATTACCCCAAGCCCAAGGAAAATATAACAGCTGGTTTTGCGATTACGCGTACAATCTGCTTTACGATGGGCTCATCAAAGCGGGCAGCCGTTGCCAGCCATAATGATGTCGCTCCTGAAGTACGGGCCTACGTGTCGTCGTCGTTAGCCATACGCGTACTGCATATTCTGCTAGAGATGTCACACACCCTCATGGTTGCCGACATCGACGTCCAAGATACTGTTTCCGGCTGCGCAGTTCTGCCAAGAAGCGAGAGTCAGAAAAAGCAATGCCTTATAACGGAAAGCGGGTTCGTTTACCTCGTTCTCGGTTCCGGGGCAGTTGACGATGTCCTCGGGCGTGCCCTCGTCCGAGGCTGCCGCAATGTGGATCTCGCCCGTGGGGTGGACGTACTCAAGGAATTGCGGAGGCACGGTCGGGACGGGGTCGTGCTGGTTAGAGATGTGCGCGAATTGCGGAGCGAGCTGGGGGAAAAAATATTCCGCGTTAGCGATCCGATCGCAGAACGTTCGTTTATCAAGCACGCACCGTCTTGTCGACCAGGTTAGCCCAGTTCGAGTTGCCGCCGCGGGGCAGGCCGAAGACGATCGTGTTGATGTTGACGTCCGAATCGAGGTTCTGCGACAGCATGATCGCGTCCATGGTGGCGATAGCAGCACCTAGGCTGTGACCCGTAACAAGGATGTTCTTGACGCCGGTCTTCGCGATCGCGTTTTGCACGCCAGAAAGCACGCCGTCTGCGGTTCTGCCCTGCGTCTCCTGGAAGCCTTGGTGGACCTTGGTGTCATCTGGGCATGCGTATCAGCTTATGAACTAAATAAATGAAAGATGAGATTGATTTACTGCTCCATTGTACGGGGAACAAGGTCTTGTTGAGTGGGACTTGAGCGAAAGCAGCGTCATTCGCGATGGAGATGCTGGACAATACGTCAGTAACTTCGGCACTGAGCTTACACGATGTAAGTGACAAACATGGAGTGCGAGTTGGTGCCTTGGTGGGCGACCACGATCTGGTTTGCGTCGGGGTCGTGTGCGATGAAGTCTGTCGGGACGCGTCAATGGCACATTCGGGATTGGAAGAGAAGATGCGCACATCCAGGGACCTCTTCGTCGTCTCCACCTGCTTGAAGAACATCCACGTTGGGCAGGTTGTCGCAGGGAGTGCCGCAAGTCCAGGACAAAACAGCTGCCGCGGAGCAGTATGATACCTAAGGAGGACATATCGTGAGTCAAGGTGAAAGGATAATCGAGGTATTCTGACCTGCGCAAATTGTGCACTACGAAGGAAGGCTGCGTTCACGGTATCATTGCTGAGGGCGACGGTCGTGGCTTTGTTCTAAGGGATGGTGGAAAGGTCAGCTCCCGCGATCGACATCGTACCCATCGTTCCTTAAAGCCTCCGCATCCAACGTCTCCATCCCGCTTTCTCCCTCTGAATCAAGGAAAGATGGGTTACTCACATCGTCGTCGTCAGATGTCGAGACCAAAGCATTCACAGCACCGTTTGACGAGGAACCTGAGGTGGTGATCTTCGCCAGGAGCTGCGACAACGCCGTGGCGGAAGTCGTCGAGTTCGCATCTTGCCTCTCCAACAGGTGCCGGACGCGGAGCTCCAGAGATGACAAGAAGCCGGGAAGAGGCGCAGCGGAGACGGCAGCGGGCCCGAACGCCATAAGGGCAGCAAGGAGCGTCGCGGGGAGCATCTTAATTAACCCCAAAAAAAGGATGGAACCGAAGTCGTGAAGCAGTAGAGAAATGCAGAGACCAGCCGGGCTCGTCAAGAGCGCAAGAAAGGGGAGCACTGCTCGAAGAGGCTGGGACTGCAGGACGGGATCAACCCAAGGTCAGTACGGCGCAAGGCAGGGCGTCGGTCGATTTTATCTGACCTCGTCATCAAGGAGAACCATCCTAGCGGCCAGACTGCTCGCTGATGGCGCGACCGCTCACACAGGCAAGCACCCAACGGACATCAAACGGGTCGCCATGCAAATCACTTGCTGTGTTGACTCGCATTCCGGGGAGTATTGCCCGAGCGAGCGTGTTGACCTGACGGTCTCTGCTATGTGCGTTGGGTACCATCTGGTAGAATTCAGAGCTACGATGCAAGACGGTAAGGGCGTTCAAAACCGGATATATGCGTCCGACAGTCCATTCGACGGTGTTGGCGGAAGCAACGAGGAGAGGCTAGACACCACGTGGCAATCCACCCGCCTGTGCGCGCGTGGGAACCCCGATCGCGATCACACTCTGATCTCAAAGCTTCATCCAAATCGGCATCCATCACGATGTAACCTGGAACCGCGGCAGGCGAATATGAGCGCTGTGCGTTGGATCTACATATCCCATGGAAGACATTATTATAGCCTATGTTATCAGTGATCTGCCTAATTTACCTCAGGATTAACTCGTCAGTTCCCCGAACGATCCATTTCGTTGAGAAGCGAGCTCGACCTTGCGCTATTCAATGGTGTAACATATCGTAACCAGGAGCCGACCTAGGCGGCTTCATGTGGCTCCGTCTCAAATTCGGCGATCGCGGCGACCCAGTCACTCTCATGACAACACGTTAAGACTAGTCGCTACAATTGGATACGTACTGCGGATCTGCGCGGATTACAACAACAGTGCTCCTGATCGCCCAATCCCATTTTGTCGCCGTCGGACCTGCTACAACATCAACCAAAACATGTCTCAAGCACACAAACCTTCGTCTTTCCGAGTATGGGCCAGCCATTCCTTCTCCTCGGCGTTGAGGAAGTGTTCGTACGCCGCGAACGATGGCAAGGCTCGAGCGAATTCTGCGCGAATGATCTGCTCGTGCGCTGAGCTGCGTGGCTTGATCGAAAACTCGAACGGCTTCGGAGTCGACATGGCGCCCTGCGATATCGGAAGTGTCAACTACTGAACGGACACTTGCAGGGAATATGGATATTCACCACTTCGTATGCCCAAGTGTCCACGACTTCCGGCGTCCCAGTCACTTCGTTCAGAAGGGGCTTAAAGTCAAAGCCCCACGCGAGTGCCATCGTGTTCACCATCTGTAAGGTCGGACTAATCGTACTGGTGCCAAACACTCGAGCCTACTACTCACGATGGCATGATCGGCGACATGTCTTCCGGGACATATCCTCTGAGAAAGGGCGTATACGTGAACTGAAGGACGAAAGCTCAGACAAGCACTGGACCGTACCCTCCCAAATCCAAAGAGCATCGTGTGCCTGAAGTCTGTATCGTCCACGCCGGGTCGCGTACCGAACTCGGACTTCAGGAAGCGCTCCGGCACAAACAGTTCCGGGCTCTCGAACACTTCGGGGTCATGATAGATGGCCCCTGGGAAATCCCCTGAAGTCAGTAAAACCTCACATCGCCGACGAGGAGTCGCTCACATTGGTTGACCAGGATGCCGCATCCCTTCGGGATCAAATATTCTCTGTACTGCGGAGGGCACGAGCGTGAGTCTCAGAAAGGACACGGAAGTCATCCAACTTACCACCTCGTCTGTCAGGGCTGCATGTGGGAGGCCCAAAGGAACTATGGGTCTGTATCGATGCGCTTCCCTGATGCATGCCTTCAGAGAGTACAGTAAGCATCGGCGATAGGCCAAAGCTTCTTGTGGAAGATACCTGAAGGTATGGCATGTGCTCAAAGTCGTCCGGGGTTGGAACTCGCTGAACGCCGACCACCAAGTCCATCTCCTCGTGCAACTTCTTTTGAACCTCCGGGTGAGCGGTCAGCAAAAGGATGAACGTCTGCAAGAAGGTGGACGTGGTGTCGCTCCCTGCTTCGAGCAAGAAGCCTCCCAAAGCACTGCAAACCACAACATCAGCCTCCATTTCCACGACAACATCCACACACACGGGTGCATCAGCTTACGCAGCCATGTCCCTCGTCAACCCGAGCTCTTCCCGCCTGCGCACAATCTGGTCCATGAAGCACTCTTCCGCGACGTCCTGGCCCCTCGCTACCCTCTCCTCGCACTCTTGCAGTAGCTCGTGCTGGAGCGTGCGCTGCTTCTCCTGGATCTGCCGACATATGCGCTTCCACGGCGCGAACCGCTCCGGAACGTACTTGAGTATGGGAATGAGGTCCACCGGCGGATGTGCTCCAGGATCGTACAGCTTGACCTCGAGATACAGGGCGCCGAACAGCTCGTGGATCTCTCGGGTATCATACCTGAAAAAACAAGAGAGGACGCGTCAGAAGGACTTACGAAATGGCAGAGGATGGTGGTGAGACCGACCTCGGTGCACGCTTCCCATAGAGAACAGACATGACAGCAGAGTTCGTCGTCCTTCTGAAGTGCCACCACGCTTTCTGGAGCCAATACGTCAGCACGAACTCGTCCGTGTCCTCGGTGCTCGGTGCGTACCTCTGGGGTATGCAACAAATCGTACATGAGCTGGAACGATTCCGCTCGCTGTATAGGCACATGGCGCGCGGCTACCTGTGGAGTCAACACCGAGTTCGCCGCCCGTCGGAGCGTCCGCCATTGATCCGCTACCGTCCGATCAGACAATGCGAGGGCTAGCGGGCGTGCAAAAGATACGCACAGTACTGCGAGACGACGAAGTTGAGACCGTCGCTGGCCATAAGATTGAAGTGGTTCGGAGGCCGGTCGACGGTCGACGCACTGCGCCGATCGAGCAGCTCGCGGGCAGCGGCGGCGCTCGAGACGACGATGAGTTCTCCAGGGCCCAGAGTCAGCTGCGCAACCAGAGTCAGTTCATGACGACGGCGGTACAGTAAGTACGACGGCGCACCGAATAGATGTCGCCATACTCCCGCGCCCACTCGGCCAACTTCAGCTGAGGGAATTGCGTCGGGAACATGTGCATGTTTCCGAGGAGCGGCACCGTCGGCGGGCCAGGAGGCAGACCAGCGCGCCGCCTCCCGATCCTGAGCGTCTTCACCACCAACCAGCAGAACGCGACCAGGGCGGCGACAGAGGTGACCGAGTGCGCTCCCATATTCCTGCCAGAGCAATGCCGAGTAAAGGAATGCAGTCGCGTGCCGCCGGCCCACACTACTAGTTCGCGATACTTATATGCATGCAGGGACGCTCATCCGGGGAAGATAGACGGCAAGGTGCATTAAGTAACCATGATAGCAACCCACGAGAAGCGTCTTCCAGCCGCGGTACCTGGGCCTGGGGCTGAATCGCAGAGCAACGCTGTCGAGTTCTCCCGATGGGTAGCCGCCGGCGTCCTCGTCGCTAAAGCGCCGCCGTAGGGGCACCTGCCTGTTTCAGTCTTCGACATATGCGTCTATAGCGTATTAGTCCGCATGGATCGCAAGCGAGCGAGCGCGTATGCATCGAATTGTCCTGATGTCGACCGCACAAGTACGTTCGACCAGCCTTTCGAGGCCTTCTGAGGGTGCAGTGTGAAGTAGTGGCGCTCGTCGAGCGCCCTCGTGCATCAGAAAGGAAGATTTTCGAGTCCATATTACTTCCTTGATGATGGTTTCAGCACGCGCTATGCGGCGCAGCCCGGGGTCCGGAGAAACTTTGGAGATGGATGCGCGCCCGCCGAGGGACTCCATGCATGGCGACAAGCGGGATGCATGCAATCATAGCAATAGTCCACCATAGTCAGGATACTTCGATATGACCTAGCGGAGGAAGCATGAAGAGAGACCGATGTTACTCTCTCGTTCTTGCCAGTGGTATGGTTTGGAACGATAACACGGAGTGCAGTACTAGCCGCGTCTCGACCCTGGCTTATAATAGGGCTCGGGCAACGTCCGCACGTTGATAGGAGGCAAACACGGTGCCACGGTATTAACTCTATTCAGACATTCTGGGGGTTGTTGTCAACATACGAAAGCAAAAACAAAAAAAGGGGGCGAACTGGTGGCGCCACAAGATAAATAAAGGGAAGAAGGGAGCTCAAATCGTCAGCTCGCCGACGGTAGCAGTCAGAAGCAGTAAGGTGCTAAGCATATAAACTCGAATATAATATATAGGAGCGACGAAGAAGAGAAACGGAGTCCAAGACTCAAAGGATCAAAGAAGAATAGTATTATATATCACCTGAACATGAACGTTGGATGGACAGGGATGGACGGATGCATATACGGGTAGTGTCAAGAAGGCAATGATCGCGATTAGGGCACAGTGAAGTGGTGGTGGAAAGTGTATGATAGGTTGGTGAGGCATGGCGTTGAGGGGGTTCGATATATGTCGGTGCGACGTGGCATATACGCGTGGCGTACTTGGGTTCATAATCGAGCATGAACGCCCCGACTCGAGCAGGTCAGAGAGGGGGACAAGAGACGTCGAGTATATGCGCCGAGTGACGTATTATCGGGAATGGGGCAGGTAAGGTACCGGTGGGGGATGTGTAATGCACAGTATAGCACAGACAAGGTTTGGTTTTTTTTCTGCTGGTGATCTTCTAGCTTTCGGATTGCGGAGACCGGTCCGTCAGTGACGCCGCGTCGCCGCAAGGGAGAAAGGCGGAGGCGCTATATGCATCGCGCCCGAGCCTGCCAGGGCGCGTCGAGTCCGACATCAGTTCTCCTTCATGCGGACGTCGCCGCCGTGCACGCTCTTGCCGCCGAAATATTCATCGTCGGCCTCTTCCTGATGCGTCTCGGAGTTGCTCCTGGACAACAACGGCCGGCGTCCCATGATCCGCGCCAAGAACGGGTCGACGGGGGAAGACGGACCGGTCGACATCCCACGCGCCCTGCCCCCCGCCGGCGAGGGTACCGGAACGGGAAGCGGGGCGAGGTTGAAGCTGGTCTGCGTCGAGGGCGCGGTGCGGGGCATATCGGCGTCCGCAGGAGAACAAGGGGAGAGGAAGGACGAAGAGGCGGAGGGTGCCGAGATGGTCGGCGTCGGGAGCGGTGGCAACGGCGCAGATGGGGGAGGCTTAGCTTGGCCGAGGGCGAGAGAGCTGAAGCGGGGTGTGCGGCGCGATCTAAATAAAGCACGTATGTCAATACCATGATGTAGAGAACGGGAAAGAATGGGCTATACGCGTACCTCAGAGCACCGCCGAGGCTGCCGCTCCGTAGCCGACCCATGAGCGAGTTGTCGCTCGTGGCGCGGGCGTTGCTGTCGCTACGCTTGCGTCCTGTGCCGAGAGCACGCTGGTCAGAGACCGGCACAGTGCCGTTCCCGTTCGTCTGAGAGGCGACCGAGCCACTGCGGCTGCGACCGACGACGGCAGTGTTGACCGCGGGGCGAGGCGCAGGGAGCTTGAACTGCGCCGCGCCCGCGAGCGACGAGCGCCTGCGGCGGAGCCGTGGCGCTGAGGTGACCGTCGCGGTGCTGCTGGTAGAGCCTGACGAGTTCGGTGGGCGCGAGGCGGGGGCAGGTGTCGGCGTCGTCGCGCGGTCGAGCGCGTCTTCGTCCATGGGGTCGTCGTCCTCGCTCGGGCGGTGGTGGCCTAGCGGCGAGCTGAGAAGGAACGCCGAGGGCGAGGAGGGCAGCTCCGGGGTGTTCTTGCGCGGGGGCGCGAGGAGGCCCGAGGAGAAGAAAGCGGAGTAGCCGGTGATCGTCGTAGTCATCGCGAACGTGGAAGACGTGCTAGAGTGGGGGATATATGCGCTGTTCGTACGGTATGGTCGCCACGAACAAGGTCGACGAAGGTTGGTGAAGACTGTGGAACGGGAGGAGGAGTAAGATGGAGAGAAACAGAGGGAACAGAAAATGCGGTTTACTGGCCGCGGGCGCGTGGCGGTTTATATGCGCGATCGGTCTCGCAGCCTCGAGGCGGAGATCGTCGAGGGGCAAGGTGGGCCACGGCGGAAAATTCGAACGTGCCCGGATTTCTTTGTTCGCTTCGAATTCAACCGTGGGAAGCGCCCCTAACACGGACATGTTGCCCGAATCGGGACATCTTCCCAGGAGAAACAAAACGTTGTCACGTGACCGCGCGTCGCATGGAGACGGCCTGGCCCTCCGCCGTGAAATCAGTCTTTGCCTCCTCGGTTCCTAGACATCTCGGCCGATTAGATCACCTCACCTCCTTGTATTCATTGTTGCTGGATGGACAGTGTGTGGACCACCCGCCTTCATGCACAATCGCGCAAAATCACGTTGCGCAGGCCAGCTTGGACTCCGTCTTTTCACCCTGGCAACCCGATTCCGCGGTCCGTTGACACGACAAGCTGTAGCCGAACGCCGTCTCTGCGACGGAGCGCTCGAGACGATCGCTTGCTGCTCCGCACCCTACGGGGCATGCAGCATTCATTCCCCCTCTCTTCACCGTCGTTTGGTGCGCTGGCAAATACATTGACCCTCAGATTCCTCGCCCGATGACGTTGCGCGCTGTTGGTGAGATTGTGTCGGGCAGATATCCGGAGACAGCGAGTCGCCGGACATGACCTCCACGAGGGGCGCTCGAGCGGCCCATCGTTGAAAACTCCAACCACCCTCGGCAAACGAACGCGCCGACGTGAGAGAGCTCCAGAGCCTATCGTATGCTAACGTCGATAAGGGTTGACTGACCATGCCGCCCTGGACGATCGAGGTATGTTGTACCTGATCATGACCTGCGCATTGCGCTGGTATGGCGCTGGTGCTGCTCAACTGTGGATCTGGGGTCTTACGCATGCCCGGCCATAGCCTAGCGGATCGTGGTACCAGAAACCGAATAACGCGCAGGTCGTATATCCACGTTCGATTTCAGCCCCATTACCGCAGCGCATGAAACAAACAAACAAGCGCTATTTCATAACTACACCCATCCTCGTTCTGCGCCAGAAAGCTCATATACTTAGACCAACCGTAGTTCGCGTTGGCGAGAGCCTCGTAGCTAGAACGAGGTGTGTTTGTCAAGTCAGATCGTAGAGTTTCATTCAAGTACGTTGCTGCTGCCATCGCACGTGGGGACCAACGGGTTGGTCCTTTTCGAATTCACGGCAACAACCAACGGTACAACATCGCGACTCCAGAGCAAAGGAGAGTTCTGATTCGCCCCTAAGGGTCAAAATCCGAGTGGTTGCGTCCACGTGATCACATAAAACCCGATCTTGTCTCTGACTTCCTAGTTCCTAGTCAGCTCGCGCAATACTGTCTGGGAACCCGATAAAAAGCAATCGCAGACGTCACGATGAGCCCACAGATAGCCGCATTATCCCAGGTAGACAGAGAGCGCTTGATCAAGGCGTCTTTCGAAGGTGAGGAGAACCCCCGGGGGGTTATGCACGATCTTACCGCTGCTCTTCACAGCCAAGGCGATGGCTTACTGCCGATACTCCAATTTCCGCGTCGGTGCCGCGCTCCTGACGTCCAAAGGTGAGATAATCAAAGGCGCGAACATCGAGAATGCTTCCTATGGTACGCGATCATCGTCCTACTGAGTGGGCAAATAGAGTAACGCTGCTGCAGGAGGAACGATCTGCGCGGAACGCACCGCGTTGGTCAAAGCGGTGGTAAGTGGCAGGATCAACCCCCCCCCCCCCCGCGCATGCTATGCTGACGCACAGATACAAGAGCGAAGGGATGCGAGACTTTGTCGCTCTCGCCGTCGTGACGTGCGTGTCCGCCTTCCCATTCCTGATCCGGAGCACCGATCGATATATCTTGTCTTTAGGGACGTGAAAAGCACCATATCGCCCTGCGGAATGTGCCGCCAAGTTATCCGCGAGTTCTGCGCCATGGACATGCCAATCTTGCTGGTTCCGGCGGACTACTACGAAAGGAAAGAGGTTTCGGCGACTGAAGCCGCCGAGTCGGTGAAGGACTGGACTATCGCCCAGCTTTTGCCCGATAGCTTCGGTCCGGAGCAGCTGGACCTGCCGCGAAGCTGAAGAAATGTAGATAAACACCCCCCACCCCCCTCTTCGGTAGTCGGTAGTAAAACTAAGAATCATCGCCGAGAATTGGTGAACGTGAAGCATGCCTCAGGAGTTGAAGCGTGCGCAGCAACCGGAATGGACAAGAGTCAAAACCTATGGCCAACGCCGGGGTCGAACCGACGACCTTGGCGTAATCTAGATATTAGCACCACGCTCTAACCAACTGAGCTAGTCGGCCATGGTAACTGGTTCGGCATTATAGATATGGACGGTGTGCAAAGGTACCCAGATGACCTGCCATCCTGAGGTCAGCGATACCATGAAGTACATACAATTGAAGATGTTATAAATTTATCGTATAATGGCTAAGACTATCCAGCCCGTTGTCCTGAGAGGGCAGTCTCGAGTTGTCTCGGCGCCTTCAGAGGCCATCGTCGCGGGGTCGAGAGTCGGGTCGGTCGCGTTCAGCCACAAGCGCTATGCATCGTCCCACTTCCGCCCAACTTTTTCCGTCCGCCTCATAACGGCGTCTCCCTCCCCTTTCTCTCCTCAAAATTCGCCGTAAAATCATGTGGAAGGAACACTACGACGTGCTCATCGTCGGTGCTGGTGTCGCAGGCTCCGCCCTTGCCCATGCGCTGTCCACCCTCTCAGCGACCCGCGCACGCCCTCTGAAGATTGCGCTGCTGGAGCGCTCCTTGGCCGAGCCGGATCGGATCGTCGGCGAGCTGCTACAACCAGGCGGTGTAAACGCGTTGAAGGAGCTGGGAATGGAGGACTGTCTGGAGGGCATCGACGCCGTCCCAGTTAAGGGGTACTGCGTGGTACGGGCTGGGGGCGACGAGACGGTGCACATACCCTACCCAGCCGGGCACGAAGGCCGCTCCTTCCACCACGGCCGCTTCATCCAAAACCTACGCGCCAAAGCCCGCGCTGCGCCGCGTGTCACCGTCCTGGAAGCGACCGTGAACGAGCTCATCGAATGCGACCTCACGCACCGCGTCCTCGGCGTCGAAGCCACACCGAAGGAGACCGGAGTCAAGGAGTCCTTCTTCGCCGACCTCGTCGTCGTCGCCGACGGCTGCTTCTCCAAGTTCCGCACCCAGGTCCTCTCCGGCTCCGCGACCCCGAAGCCCGCGACGCGCTCGCACTTCCTCGGCGCCGTCCTCACCGACGCGCCTCTCCCCCTCGCGCAGCACGGCACCGTCTGCCTCGTGAAAGACTCCGGGCCCGTCCTCCTCTACCAGATCGGGACGCACGACACGCGCATGCTCGTCGACCTCAAGGAGCCCCTTCCTGCCGACCCGAAAGCGCATGTCCTCGCGCACATCGTCCCGCAGCTTCCACCATCGCTGCACGTTCCCGTCGAGAAGGCGCTCGAGGCCGACCGACTACGGCGCATGCCCAACTCGTTCCTCCCCGGCGCGGAGCAGGGCACATCACACCAGAAGGAGGGCGCGGTGCTCCTCGGCGATGCATGGAACATGCGCCATCCGCTCACGGGCGGGGGCATGACCGTCGCGTTCAACGACGTCGTCATGCTCTCACGCCTACTCGTGTCTTTGGACGATCTGCACGACTGGTCGCGGGTGTCGCGTGCGCTGCATACGTGGCATTGGCGAAGAAAACGCCTGGCCGCGACGGTGAACATCCTTAGCGTCGCGCTTTACGATCTGTTTGGTGCTGAGGACGAGCACCTGGAAGTGCTCAGGACAGGGTGTTTCAAGTACTTTGAGCTGGGTGGCGATTGCGTAGCGGGCCCGGTCGGTCTGCTATCTGCGTACGTGTTCCACGTTATCATCACAATCGCTCCTGGCTGATCATACCACCTCATCCAGCATCACGCCTTCGCCCTTCCTTCTCTTTCGCCACTTCTTCGCGGTTGCCTTCTACTCCATCTGGGTCATGTTCACTCACCCTCGGCCGGTACCCGTCCCAGGCCAGCTCAAACCCGTCATGGCGAAACCGGGGATAGATGAGTATCCCGCGCTCCTCCTGAAGAGCGTCCGTGTTGTGCGTACACCCCTGTCCTCCGACTGATCGTCCGCCTGCTGACCTCGTGCAGTTTTGGACAGCGTGTGTCGTGTTTGGACCACTCATGTGGATAGAGCTGTTCTAGACCGGTTTCCGTCAAAGCCTACGTTGCTACGATGTTTGGAACGGTGCGAGCACAGTCATCCAGGTATTTATATGTATTGTAAACAGCGCTGAGGAGCTCGTAATACCACTAGATAGTCCGCCACGAGGTCTTCATATGGCTATTTTTCTGTTTGGATTGATGATGCGCGCCACTAGTCCGAAGGCCTTCCTAACCTACTCGAGCCAGCTCCTTATCTGCCTTCTGGCATAGTCCATCGTGTGCAACGACTTAATAAACGAGTCACTCGTCCGGATTGAAGGCGCTGCTAGCTTCGTGACTTGGATCGACACGATTGTTTTGCTTTCCCTTCGCCAACGTCAACGCAGAGTCAATTGCGATACTCAATCCCTAAGCAATATAGATCTGTAGTGGAGCAATACAGTGAACGTGTTTTATACTAAGACATACTCTTAGGAACAAAGACATCCTCCCTGACAAGGGCACAGGCTCACTGCCGATATGTGCTCGGACCGATCTCAAGATCAGGCTGTGGGGTGGTAGCGCCGGGATCCTTCCTTTCACTCATGGCATCCTCCCCATTCTCGCCACGGTCCTCAGCATCACCCCGGGTCGCGCCGCGCCGAGGCGCCTTCCACGCCTTCCACTTCTCTCCGATCTTCCCTTTCATCTCCCTCCGCCATCTGAAGAAGTGCATCCCTCTATCGGTGAACGTGACGCCAGTGATGAGCGCGAACACGAGAATCAGGCCCGCGACGCCGACAGCAATCCACTCGGTCGTACGTCGAAAGGTGCGCGAGACGCCGGCGATACCTGAGTCAACGGAGTAGGCCATGATGCTGACGAGGAAGAACATGAGCGCATAGAGCATCATAGCGAGCGGGATGGAGAGGATAAACGCGAGCAAGCGCGGGAAGACACGCAGGGCCTTGGCGCGAGCGAAGTCGGCGAACTGCGATGGTAAAAGGTCAGCGACGACATTATCCAAGTAGATGGGAGATAGAGAAGTGCAACGTACAGTGACGAGGCTGTCGTTGTCCATGAGGGATTGGTTCACCCAGAGGAGGAAGGAGCCGAGGCAGACAGAGGCAATCGAGCAGAGAATGGAGAGGATCGCTGTCGTTTGTACGACGCCGTTGATCTCTGGGATGGCGAGTACTGCGACTGTCGCTCTGTTCATGACACTACGTGAGATTTGAAATAGGGGCACGACGGAAGTCCACTTACGAGATCAACACGGTACACTGAGGTCACAAACACGAACGTTTAGCGCCAACCTGATGATGCTTCGAGGTTAACAAGGGAAGGCGCTCACGATCAGATTCGTCGCGCCCCATTCCTGGCACATGGCCGCAATAAAGCGCCGCCAGCGAGTGGAGATGATTGTTGACCCCATCTCCCGCCGATCGATCGCGACTACGCGGTAGAGGTATCCAAGCGGCACCCCTAGGAGAAGCGTGCAGATGGTTACCCATACCGCACAGGTGAACGGGTTTGAGTAATCGGGCAATTTGAGGTCAGTCTTCGTTGGATCGCGCAGCGTCTGTGCGTCCTCCTGCGCGTAATGCATACGGATGCGGTGTTCGGCTACATGGGAGTTGTAGTTCAGTAGCCAGATAGGAATGTCGTGTGGAGAGAACGCATACAAATACGGCGCATTAGCTTGGCGACATACCACACCTGCATCGCATGAGCAGATCGGGAAGCGCCCTTCTTGCTGGCCGCTAAGAAATATGACCACGGCTTCGTCAACCGAACCCTAACATTTCATACACATTGATATACATTTTACGTACCTGCTGCGATTTCGTCAAGCCTGATCATCATTGAGGAGCTGTCTTCTTCTGAGAAGAGGGAGTTTGACCCGGGGTCCATGGCACTGTCAACGCAAGACCACAGTAACGCGGTTCTCAGCCTGCTGATGGCGTGATGATCATATGATTTATCGAGAGTGCGATGCGATGGGAACTTGGACAACGCATGCCAATACGTAGCTTGTTCGCGATAGACTGGGGATTGTGAGCATGGGCACCAGTAGTCAAAAACGTAGCACGTACAAGTTTCCGCGTCTTTCGGGGCTTGCAGGCGAGGGTATTCGATTCCGCTGGTTTGTGCCAACTCAAAAGTGACCACAAGGCCTCGACGGGTGTCGTGATCCACCGAAGCCACGGTGTCTGCATCCACACACAGCTCTAGATGAGTGTGGGCGAAGCCCTGATCTCTGCGAGAGTGTGCCTCATCAATTGTCTTCGTGGACGCCGAGCGCAAGATAGGCCACAACTTGGTTTTCATGATCTTCTCGGGAGAAATAGATGAGACTATGGGAATGGCGTTCGCGTTCGGGGCCAATTCCCAGTACAGGCGGCCCTTTACGTGAACGCAGATGAACCACCGACCTCCTGACTCGTCAACGTCGAACGATGGCGCTGGAGGTGTGAAGTCCATGGCGAGCCGGTAGGGTGCTCGCGGTGCGCGGGTCCAAGGCGGTCGGGCAGGCAATGCGCGCCGAACGGGTTATATGGAGCTCCAGGGCGCCTATGCATCGAAGTTCGCGCTCGCCGGTGCAGCGTGTTGGCTATTACGGGAGCAACGTTGCCGAAGCACGGGTTCGACAGATCTTGCAACGAAAGACGTTCATATGCGACAACGATGAATTCACGAGCAGCAAGTACATTGTATGTTTGCCCAGTTAAGCCAGCTTTACAGTGGAAGGTGTCAAGGTGAGTGCGTAGACTCGTACCCAAACACCCCAAACGCTCGACCCTTGGCATTTTCGGGCTCCGCCGACTGACCAATGCGCCGCCTATGATTACGACGATACAAAGAGATAGTAGTAGATGATAGTACTCATTATACAGCGATACACGAACAGACTAGGAGGCTACGAAGAGTAGTCCATATGCAGTACTGAAAAGTCACCAAGAGCACGAGCTCAATCGTGGCTGGTCAACGACCAGTCGTCAAGATCCACAGACGGCGGCGTCTTGAAGTCGCTCGCCTTCATACCGTCCCACTGCGGACTGAACAACACCTGCAAGCTATACGTCCCCGCTTCCAGGCTTATCGACACCACGGTCACGCCCGGGTTCGGCTGGTCGGTCTGTCCCGCCGGAAGTGGCGGATCGCTCGCGAGGCGGACGGCGGGTCCAGTCGTGATGCTCGCGCCCTCGGGTGCGTCCAGGATATCCATCTTCACGACCTTTCCGGCGATCGTGAGCGTCGCGGATGTGCCCGACGAATCGACGGAGACCGTCGCGTTCGTCTGCAGCCGCCAGCTGATCGGCGCGGAGGCGGTGATGTCGTCCTGGAGCAGCACCTGCTTCCGGCCGTTGATCATGCGCACGCCGCGTTCGTAGGATGTCCTGATGACGAGCACGTCAGTCTCCGTGGTCATCCCGAACGACGACGGCAGCGACTCTCACACGTTGAAGTACGCGCTGGTGAGGTCCGCGACGAAGTACGCCGTAGAATCGCTGGGCACGTCAAACACGGTGCTAGATCCCTGCCTCGTCCCGGACGTATCATGCCTCACGCTCGGCGCCGCCTCCACGTCCTGATTCTCCCCACCCACCAGCATCACGTTCTGCGCCTCCGTCCTCTTCCTGAAATACAACCACCTCTCGTCGTCCTGGTCGTCCTTGTTAAAGTACCCGGCGGAGAGATAATCCCCCGAGCCGTACTCGCCCGCGAACCGGTACCCCATCGCGTCCAGCACGAAATCGCCCGCGTCGAGGTCGTTGTGCGTCTGGTGCCCCCGGTTCTTCCCGGCCTTGATCCCGACGTACAGCGCGTCGATATCCGTCCACGAGCTCCGCATCGAGCCCCACTGCGTCAGCGGGTCGTCGAAGAAGCGGTCGAGCGCGAGGCCGTCCCACCACGCGCCGGATACGGCGGGGTCGTACCAGAACATGCTCCACGGGTCGGCGGCGTCGCGCCGGTCGCGCTGGAAGAGCGCGTAGGCCGGCGTCTCGTAAGCGGTAGAGTAGAAGAACATCGGGTTGGCGGTCGAGGAGAACTTGTTCGGGCCGTGGTCGCCCCAGTCGAAGAGAGACGTCGCGCCCGTGGCGTACATGTGATACAACGCCGTGAGGTTGAAGTCGGGGTTGGCGGAGAGCAGGCCGTGGTGCGAGCCGGTCGCGGTCAGAAGGGCGGACGCCATCTCGGCGTGGCCCGTGGTGCCGAAGTACCAGTAGTTGGCGGTTTCGGACCAGGTGCCGTCGGACGAAGGGCCGAACGCGCAGTTCTCCTTGGCGTTGGGGAGGGTGAGCCCGATGAGGGATTCGGCGAGCCCGGTGGTGTCGTCGCCTAGGATGGCCAGGGCGCCCAGCGTGAGGCCATCGTTGCAGACGCAGTTCCAGTTCCCGGTGATGTTGTTGGCCCACCAGCCGATGCTCGAGTCGGAGAAGGCCTTCTGCCCGAGGCTGAGGCCGTATTTGATCATGGTGGACATGATCTGGCTCTTCTGGTCGGGGGTCCATAGGTCGTACAGCCAGTCGTACGCGATCGCGAACGCGGCCGTCATCTCGGCCGTGTCGAGAAAGTGCGCCGAGTTCCACTTGTCGTCGTCCGGACCGAAAGACGTGGTACCGTTCCCCGCCGCGTTCTATCAGGGAAGTCGGTCGGTATAAGATATCATCATAGAGTTCGTTCATGAATTCCATACCTGAAGTTCGGTCCACGCCCGATCTACCCATTTCGTGTCGTTGCTCATTCGATACGCATAGGCAAAGGCTTTGATGCGCATCTTGATCTCGCGCGAGTTGTCTAGGATGCCGCTGTCGCCGTCCATATGGTAAGCGACGGGCGCGAGCGAGTAGTATTGGGTGGCGTTGTTGAAGATGGACTCGTTCCAGTATGTCAGGTAAGCATCCTTCGGGATGAGATCGGGCAGCGCCTGCCATTTGTATGCTGGAGCGATGAGCCGCGGGCGGTCCGTGCGGACTACTGTAGGTTGAGGGTCGGAGGGCTGGAAGGGGTCTGACGGCCAGGAGACGGAAGAGCTGGATATGAAGGTCGGAAGGGTGAAAGCGGCAGTGTTGGTCTACAGACGGAGAAGGTCAGTTGCCGAACGAACAACAGTATGTTGAGCGGGGCTCACCGTCGACGGGTACAGCGGTATCTCGTAGAAACTGTTCGTCGCCGTCGCGAATATGCCGACTTCTTCCTTCGCGCTCACCGCTGAACTCGCAGCCGCGGGACTACCACCACCACTTCCACCACCGCCCCCATCACCAGCACCAGAAGAGGACGAGGAGCTGCCACTACTGGAGTGATGTCGCGTGCCTACGACGGCCCCGACAACCACGCCGACGATCACCAGAACGGCGACGGGGACGCCGAACTTGATCCAGGGACCAAGGCGTCTTTTGGCGGGCGAGGGGGTGATGTAACCCGTCGATTGGTAGTGGCTAGGATCACTAGAGTTGGGATGGATATTGTGATGAGATCCCTCTTGGAGGGCATCGTAGCTGGCAGAGGCCATTACCCTGCGTGGTCGTGCCCGAAAGTAAAGAACGGAAAGGCAGCAATAGTCCGGGTGCACAGTATATGCTACGGGAGGGCACGGAGCGGGTACTAGAGACCGCCGAAGCCGTTGCGATCGAGATTTCTCTGGAGGTCATGACCAGAGGCCATGGTCTTTCAACGCCGTGTGCGAAGGTGAGGAAGAGTACATAAAGGTCCGATGTGGCAGGAGGACCGGGCAGTTGGAGGGGCGGCACCGGACTGCCTTACGTTCCAGCCCGATCCGTATACGAAAATGTAAACCCAATACTTATTCTGCATCATACTTCATACCACGCAGTCGAACTTGGAATGTAGTAGAGGTCGGTCTTGATCAGTAGAACAGCACAAGCGGGTAGACGCCGACGTCCACACCTCCAAAATCCAACACCTCCGAAGTCACCGCCCATCCTCTCCCGCCTTAAAACTCCAAATCTCCATCACCGTCTTCCCCGCCCTCTTGCACGTCACCACCAACACGTCCCCCGCCCCTCCCTGTCCTCCCTTTCCTCCCTTTCCTCCCCTGCCCCTCGTATACGCAACCTTCCACACGCTCTCGCACGGCTCGCTCAGCTCCCTCACATAATTCCCCGTCCGGGTCTCGAACAACCTCACCCGCCCATCGTTCCCGGCCGTCACCAAAAACCGGTCGTCGAACTGGAGCGCGGTCACGCTCGAGTCGTGCGCCGCGACCTTGTGCTGGACCGTAAACGTCGGAGTCGGAGTCGGGGTTGAGGAGGAGGAGGAGGAGGAGGAGGATGTAGCATCACGGTGCCGATATGGGTGGGGAGATCGAGATGTAGGAGGAGGAGAATCGGGAGGAGGGGAGCAGATGGCGAAAGTGATCACCCGCCCGTCCGAGCCGCCCGTGGCGAGCGTCGTCGGGCTCAGCTGAAGCTGGCACACGAGCGCCGTGTGGCCCTGCAGCAGTGCCAAACACGCTCTGAGAGAACGAGGATGAGCGATCAAGGTAGGCGCCCGATACCGCGTCACAACGTACCCGGTCGCAGCGTCCCACACGCGCACGGTCGTGTCCAGCCCACCGCTCGCGACGCGCACGCCGTCGAACGCGACCGCATATATCTGGTGATAATGCCCGCGGAGGACGTGCAGACACTCGCCCGTGTCCACGTCCCATATCTATCACAGCTCAGTATCATCAGAATTCGCTCGCAAGAAGGAAAGAGAGGAGAGACGCGCTCACCCGCGCCGTGCAGTCGTAACTCCCGCTCACGACCCTTGCGCCGCACACGTCCAAGCACCTCACACTTCCCTGATGCCCCTCCAGCGTCCGCAACAACCTCCCACCTCCCTTCCCCTTCCTCGTATCCACGTCCCACACGCGCAACGTGCAGTCACGCGAACCCGATACCGCGACGGGCCGGCCGTGGAGGACCTTGATGCACCGGATCGTGGACGTATGGCCGGCGAGGGTGTGCAAGCAGTATCTGAAGAGAGCAGAGTGGTACGACGATCAGCCAGAGAAAGTGCGAGTGGAATGTATGCGCCTACCCGGTCCGGACGTCCCACACCTTCACCGTCTTATCGCACCCGCCCGAGACGACCAGCGCGCCGCCCTGTCCCCACCCATCGCTCGCCTGCCCCGGATCAGACGGCTTATCTCGCACCCGTCTCTTCCTCCTATCCCTCCTCTCCTCCCTTTCTCGCTCGCCCTCCCCTCCCCTCCTCCCCTCCTCCACAAACTCTCCCGGATACAAATCCAGCCCCAACCCGCCCCGCTCCTCTCCCTCCTCGTCCTCCTCCTCGTCCCTACCCCCACTCTGACTCACAAGCCACACCGCCCACACGCCGCTCGCATGCCCCACCAGCGTCCGACTCAGAACACCCGTCCGCGCGCTGAACACGTGCACCCGCGCGTTCGCGAGCCCGACGACGACCCAGCGCCCGTCGAGCGCGACGGCGGTGACGACGCCCTGATCCGGGCTCGACACCGCGCCGATGTTCACGTTCGGCGACGTCGATCCCGGTGCGGCGGGCGCGGAGACCGAGACGCGGTGCGCGCGGAGCAGGCGGCCCCCCCGGCGCCAGTTCATAACTGCTCACAAAGCACGTCGGCATCGGCACACACGGAACGTATCAAAGGGAGCGGGAGGGGGGGGGAAGGGGGGGGGAAGGAAACAAATAATATGCGTACCCGCGGTATACTCCGACCGGAAATAGCGCCTGAACGAGAAGCCGTCCCCGAGCTCGGGCACCCGTCCCCCGTCCCATCCATGCTCTTCATCTTCGTCCTCCCATTCGCCTTCCTCGCCCACCCCCTCCGCTCGAAACCCGTACCGGACGCACATCCGCCTCCACGCGCCCTCGTCCTTGACCAGCGCCCGCCACGCCCTGCTCACGCCCGCCGCGCGCGCGAGCGTCCGGTGGTCGTCGACGTATCCCAGCACGTGCAGCGCGAGCTCCGGCGGGAGGTCGCGCAGGAAGTCGCGCTTGAGGCGCGGGGCGAGCGCGGCGGAGAGGTGGAGCAGCTCAGAGGAGGCGAGGAGCTGGAGGAGGGCGGTGAGGAAGGCGAGCCGGGCGGAGGGCGGGAGGGCCGGGTAAGCTGAGAGGGCGGCGTGTAGGGGCGAGTCTGCGGGTAGAGTGGGGGTCGGGCCGGGGACGGTGTCATTCGTAGAGGCGGAGGCGGGTGGAGGGAGCGAGGAGACCTTGGGTCGGGGAGATGGTGCCGGGGTGGGTGGGGAGACGATGGGGATGTAGAGCGTCGGTGAGAGCGATATCGTGCTGGGTCCCGAGCCTGGAGTAGTAGCCTTGGAGTATGACGGGTCGTGGTACGCTTCCGCCATGTTGTGTGAGGCAGTAGGTGCTCAGACGTGTACGGGTCGTGATCGTGCAACAGTAGGTCGTCGGCGGTATCTTATAGCCAGCGGAATCGCCGATATGAAGGGCCTAGTCGAACCGCTGAAACGCGCCGCTGTCCCCGTACGTTCGGTCAAACGGGCAACTTCGGCTCGAATGAACAGAAGTGCCAATTCTCTCTCTCGGGCCGAGGGTGGGAGGATGAACGCAGAGTGGAGGCAAAGCCGCTGCCGGGCATTCACTTCCGTGCTGCTCGTGGTCGTCCTCGTGCGGTGCCCGAAACGTAAGATCGCGGAGGAGGGCGGGGTTGTGGTCCTGCCTGCCAAGCTATGGAGGATAGGAAGAGGAGAGAAAGGTGGAAGTGGATCGTGTGCGGGCGTGGTGCAGTCGGTTCAAACGACAGCGATGGGGCGTACGATGGGTGGACACAGCCACAGATGGTGAGCGGGGCCGCGTGTTCCTGCCGCGGGTACCTTGGAGCAAAACCACGACGTTCCAGAATTATCAAGTCATCGTCGCCATCCAGAAGCGTGATCTTGTCGTGGAGATTTTTGTGGCATTCAGCGGAATCATCAAATGTGCAGTCAAATAACTCGAACTAACCGCAAGTGTCAACAGAGAACCTCAGACTTGCATTCATAACTATATCGCCCACGATTCCGACCTCCCACATCGTTGGCAGGAAGTCCTTGAGGGTCCGAAGGACGGGACGGAATCTGGCAGTGATGCAAATATCTGGTTTCTGACCCACGCTCGCCGATGAATGCTTCTAATAGCCATTGCAGATGAACAGTCATTGGAATAGCAAGGTGGTCAGGAAACGCGCCCGTGTAGAATGGGCGGTGGAGTTCACCTGAACTACAGGCGCCTGGGTACACAACATTCGAAGCCTGAACTGTCTCGTACTTGCCTTTTCTTCAGGGTACTGACCCTACCAAGAATCATATTTGGGCTACGGTGCGTGGTCTACTCCATCTACGAAACAATTGTTTCTATGCATTCTCATGTTCAGGAAATGAACGAGCTACGCCCTCAACGCTATTGTACCGAACGCTCACAGTGGTCCGATTGATCTCGAAATCTTCCGCCGATGCAGTCGCGTTACACGCGGTTCCGATTTGCGACGACTGCGATGACGGCACCTCACGGCTTCCACCGCTATGGTATGTATGTGAAACCTTTCATCTATATTTCGCTACGAACATCGCGATATCTACGCACGCCGTCCTTCGAGATTGACACATGGAGTCATCGTGCCTGCACATCGCGCGCATCGAAACACAGGAATCGCTAGCTGCGCTAGCGAGCACCGCGCTCCCTCCGCGGCTCATAGAATCCTGAAGATAGGCAATGAGACCATCTAAGCAACTTCTGCTTCCAGCGGGGTTCCGTCGCTGTGCGAAGATATCTCAAATATAACCAGAGCTACTCCGCATTGCATGCGACGAACATCTTCGGTATCTACATAAGCAGGGTTGGGTTGGTAAACCGTGGCTCAGAGCCGATATGGAACTACCTCTGCTTGCTGGTATCGCCCTATGCGCGTTGGGCTACCTGATTGTTCGCCTATCGCAGACCAGTCGCAGGCGCAAAGGCTTGCCTCCCGGTCCACCCACCCTACCGCTACTCGGCAACCTACATCTGTATTCTCCCAGACTGACCTATCTGCTGTACGTCTCCCATATGGTGTCTTTTCTGGAGCAACGGCTCAGAGAACCAACAGGTATACTGACTGGGCAAAAAAATACGGCGATGTGTTCTCTGTACGTGTCCTTGCAGTGCACCGTGACGGATGGATGTAAGGCGCACTTGGCTGACTCTTCTTTCCCAGTTAATTCTTGGGCCTGTCCTCGTGGTAGTGTTGTCTAGTGCGGACGCAGTGCGAGAGATTATGGACAGGCGGAGCGCCTTGACCGCCGACAGACCTGCTTGTCATTTCGACGATATCATGCATGACGGGAAATACCTTACCATGGCTCGATATTGTGCGTTTTTGTTGAGTGATGCATGATGACGACCACCCATCCCGAACTGAGACCGATCACTAACAGCCGACGACTGGCGCGCTCTTCGTAAAGCCGCGAACTCGGTGCTAACTCCTCAATCTGCCCTCAAACACGTGGCCATTCAAAGAGCGGAATCGATTCAGTGCATGTACGACTTGCTAAAGACGCCAAAGGTGCGCACGTACTTCGTGATGGGCTCGTATGCTCATGAGCTCTCAGCGTCTATGGTGGCATTTGAGGCGCACGTCCAATTCCAGTATATTTTGTGTACTTTACGGCAAGCGCGCACCCACGTACGTTATCGCCCATAGTGTGGCGGTGTGGCATGCTCATCCCGAACAGCTCGGACTCGGCCGATTTAAATGCTGCATTTCATGCGGTAGAGGGTGTTATTGAGCTAATTACTCCCGGAAACTTCGCTCCCGTGGACATGTTCCCAATCTTGCGATACGTACCGGAACGCTGGGCGAGGTGGAAAACGAGATGCAGGGAGACTGAGAATGCGGAGCGACATGTTCATAGTCGCATGTTGCAAGAGTGCAGGGAGAGGGTTGCGAAAGGCAGGAACGCGAACATAGAGCCGTTCATGGATGTTGTTGTCAAGAGACAGCAGGAGCTGCAACTAACAGATGAGATGGTTATGTAAGGTCTCCCCTCATCGCATACGAGGTTCCGCTACTGATAATGATCAGGTGGTTGGGCGTCGTACTCATGGATGGTGGCAGTCACACGACGCCGGCATTCATGCAGTCCTTTGTGATGCTGTTAACTGCCTATCCAGATGTGCAACGCAAGCTGCATGAGGAGATAGATGCGGTAGTAGGCGGCGATCGCATACCACATTTAGATGACTTCGACCATCTGCCTTACTTGCAAGTATGTCCGCGTGGAAACTCGCTGTGGGATTCAATCATTCACTCAGGCTTCCAGGCCACCATCAAAGAGACCCACAGATACAGACCTGTTTTTCCGACGTGTATCTCTCACGCTGCTTCGCAAGAGTTGACAGTACGTGGAACGTTGTAGCACGGACCAGCTGAACATGTCTTTGGCAGTACGGAGGCTATTTTATCCCCAAAGGCTCCATGATAACAGTCAATCTCTGTATGTATAGCCTTGCTCTTTCTGAACTTGTTGCGAGTTTGCTCACCTGCGGTGATCAGGGGGCATCTATCACGACCCGGATGTTTTCGATGATCCTGAGTCATTCATCCCTGACCGATTTCTTGAATCAGAGTTCGGCGTTAGGCCGGGAGTCGACGGATCGGTATTCAAACACACAATGCCATTTGGATTTGGGCGAGTCAGTCTATTTTGTTTGAGTTCTGGAAAACTGCTCACCGACTCGTCCGATAGAGAATATGCCCGGGGCGACACGTCGCAGAACATGCTCTGGTGAGGCGAATACATTACACGTTATGGACGTGCTTATGCGTATTCTTCAGCGTATTCAGACCATGGATCTCATCTGGGGCTTTGATTTCACCTCGGAGAAATGTGTGGATATTGATTTTGATGCGTACGAGCCGGTGAGTCACACATCGGCCGGAAACTCAGAAATGATGACACACACACGTTCGAATGCCGCAGAACGTGATGATGACTCCTAAGCCATTCGAACTCGACGTTAAAGTGCGGAGTCGCACTCACGAGAAGATTATTCAGGATGAGTTTCAGGAGGCTATCCCTTCTTTCGAACCCTATGAGGAACTACTAAGCATGGAAGAAAAACAATGGTTGGAGGCTCATAGGCACACAGGATAACATGATATCTGTATCCATATTGCGGACATCTGGTCAATCCCGGTGGCAATGCATACCGTGTATTTTTTCAGTTGCTCTGTTTCATGGTGATAGACTGGTTGTCGGGAGAGTCATGAGCTCCTTGATGATTCGAGGTCAAGACTGTTTATTACTGTACACTAGCGTGTAGTGTCGCGCCCGCTACGTTGTTCGGGACGTATTTACTATTGGTTCGGGGTGAGGCGCAGAGTATTGCAGTCTCACGAACCAACCAGACCGTGACCGTGATCAAAGTCCCAAATGTATGAACGATGCCCATCGACTCGGGTCAATATTCTTCTTGCGCAGCTGTTGCACCGCAGTATCAAGCGCGTACGCGACGTCATCAGGGTTTATCATCTCTGATTCGCCGCCGAAGATAGTCTCGTAAACCACTTTCGCAATTATAGGGCCGTCCATATCTTCCATCGACCTAGTAAACGATGCAACGTGCCGCTGTAAAAACCGTTTTGCCTGTGTAGCAACGGGAGATACTGACCAGAGTGTTGCAATGACACTTTTGAAACCGGAAAATAACATCGTCGCTGCAAGATGAACGACATGATCCGGCTGGTCCTATGAGTAAAGATAACATCTGGGTTAATAGAGGTCTCCCCACGCGGACCTTGAGCGCTCACCGTGTCACCTTTTGCGGTTTCGCAGGCACTCAAAAATGCCATGAAAGCCCGAGGTATGGGAGTGGGAATGAGTCTTTCGATGGTCACCATCTCGTCCTGCATTACAAATCCACTTCGGAGTGGGTCCTCCTGGTCCTGATACCCGTGGCACGCGAGGTGCAAGACGTTTGCATGGGGTAACTCTCTAAGCAACGTTGCGGCGCTGGTCCCGCCACTCCCCGTGTCGAAGGATGTAAGCGATGTCCCTGGTGGCAAGGCGGCTTGGACAACTCTCGCCTCCTCGCGGGTTGAAGGGAGATCGTGCCATTCGTGCGTAAATGATTGGGGTACTGCTGCGACCAGTGCGCGCACATTCTGCTTATGAATGGGCTCATACGTTTCTCGTGCTGCCAGCAGAGCTTGAAGTGTCGGTATGTACGACGACACCACAAAATCGGAGCACCACTCAGTGCCAAATCCTGCAGCATGAATCGGTAGGTGTATAAATTGCCCCGTAGGGCACCACCATAGTCGCGGGCGTCGTCTTCCAGATGATGGCTGAGGTACAAGTCTATCAGTTTGAACAGCTTGTTAATCCCACAGATGTGCTAACCTTGATGTGCAACGCATTAAGGACTGGGTGAACGGCATTCATCCACAAGTGTCGCAGTATGTCATCTATCATGTTGTATCCCGAACTCCGATTCTTCATTTTTAAGAGTTTGAGACGCTGCATGGACCTCGCTTCTGACATGGCCGACCGCCAGGTGGCTCCAGACTCCACGAGCCAGGTGTATGTGATTTGAGTGAGCGGAACCCCAACGACAGTACCAGATTGCTCGATAATAACGGCGTGGCAGCCCAAGGTACTAGACACAAGCACAACTACGGGCCCCTGTTGCGCCGTCTTTGACAGTGTAGGAGAATCGTGTCGCAGAAGAAAATGCTCCATCCCAGGTATGCTGCGGACTTGATGCAACAATGAGGAGAACTCTTCACTGCGCCTCCTTCGTTGAGCTGCCTTTGCTTCTATGACTCGTGGATCCTCTGGCGTGTGGAAGTCGTTGCTAGGAATATCCAGCTGCCGTGCGATTGAAGTGAGCTGGTCACGAAGCTGATCGGGGACCCCATCGAATTGTGACCGCATCTGTAAAACATTTGTCCAGAAACTTGCGCGTCCTTGCTCGAGAATCTCGAGTGCCCTGTTGGGCAGCGAGAGGTTCAACGCGTGACATGCGCCCTTTAGAGCTACAGTCTGACCCGCGCTAAGAGAATGCAATCTGGAGCGGAGGTGGACACCTAAAAACGCCGCCCCGGGCAGAAGGGAGACCACCAGCACATATACATCCAGAAGCTGCGAAGAAACGGACTGGTCATCCGCGAATATATCGTAGACGGACTCTACTATCCGCATTATATTGGCACCGTCCTGGATTCGGGTACGCACATCCCTGTTGTTATCCATTAGGGCGTCCGTCAGGTGTTGTAATGCGATAGCAAGATCTTGGTAGGGCGTTCCAGGCTCCAGGTACAGTTGTGCGGCGTCAATGTGACATTGATACCGATCGCGACGACCCACGGCAGAGAAATGATTCATCGTAATGCGTAATGCGTGAAGCGCATCATCGGTATTGGGGAAGATGCGGAATCGAGCCAAATGACATGCGGCGAGTGTGCGCGTGCAATCTTGGCCATCTATTCGCTGCGATAGTCCGTCCGCTACCTGCCCTAACACTTCGACGGCCCTATCTATGTCTGCGATTGCCTTGTGGCTCTGACCTCGCAACAGGAGTGCTTTTGCAAGGCTGTATGCCGCCACGGGTTTGTTGACGTCACCAGCAGGCAATGAGCTCAACAGCCCTTGCGACAGCGATATAGACACTTCCAAGTCCTCCTCGGTTCTCAGTGCGTTGAACCGTATGCAGCGGTGAGAGACCACCGCGAGCGCGACATCACTGTATTCCGTATCCGATGGAGCGATAGATGCCATGGCATCTCGGTCCCATTGAAGTGCTTCGTTCAGGTCGGGCGTATCTCCAACGTCATTGAAGCGAAGAACCAATGCTTCCGCCAGGTTCCTGTAAGCATGAAACCGTCTAGGATGATCGTCGGGCACGGCTTCCACAGCCTGACGTCCCACTTCTATCGCTTCCTCCAGATCAGCTACTTCACCGCTCCAGGAGAATCGGAGGCGCAGAGTGAATCCTAGAGAGTCCAGATAGGACCAGCGATTCCCCCAACGAGGTGGTAGACAGTCCAGCGCTTTTCGACGGAGACTGATAGACTCCTCAATGTCGTTTCCATCCAAGAGAGTGAGTTGGTGGTGCAGATCGAGGATGTTTCCGATGGAGTTAAGCATAGCGAAATCCCGACGACCTTCGGAACGTTCAGTGAGAAGATATCGCCGCCCGAGGTCGAGCGCTTTTTCGAGGTCTTCAAATATTCCCGAGCTGAAGTATCTGTTCTCCAGGACCGCGATCATATACTGCAGTACCTTCACTCTATCGATGTGCGTCGTAGGACATAGCTTCATAGATTCTTCGAGAGCCGAGATAGCTTCATCAAGATTGGCCAAACCTCCGAAGGATTCCCATCTTCGATAGATATACCATCCTAGGTAGCGTAGATAACGGTGTTTCTCGTGACTTGCAGTAGGGACCAGCCATTTTAAAGCCAGCCTCTGCAGATCGATAGCGCTCTCGATGTATGAAGAGGCGCCTGTTGCCCTGAAGCGCCTGAAACTGATAGAGGCAAGAATGCTCTGAGCCATTGCTCGCAGGGGATTTCCAAGAGCACAGCAAACAACGGCCTCTCGGCACAGCGCTTCGGCCCTCTGTCTAGATTCCATGTCGTCAATGTGGGTAGCAGATCCGTCGAGAATATCGGCGTAATACACCATCACGATAGGACAGCTTCGGGAGGATGCACGACATATCGATAGAGCTCTTCGACCATGCTCTCTGGCGGTTTCTGAATCAGGTACGTTATTTGAGTACGTGAATCGTTCCTGAAAGACGTGTGCCAGTTGCGCGAGAACATGATAGCGTCTTGGTTGCCCATCAATGCATGTTGGGGTGTCGCTCTCGGGATCTTGGGTTTCATCTATCTCTGCCAGTATCTTCTCGTATAGCGCGATGCACTTCTGCGCGGCTTCGAGATCGCTCCGATGGCGAAACTGTTGGAATAGCGCCTCGGCTTCTGCCAGTAAACCTGTGGGTCGAATAGGGAATACTACCGTACGTCAAGAGGCATCGAGACTGCTATAGAAGAAAGCAAAGCGTACCTGAACAGCATCCGCACGCGCGCCGTTGATCCGATATATCTCCCAGCCATCCATCTCGCACCGCAGACATAGTGCTAATGCTCTCTAATCGAGTTCAGGTAAATCAACGGAAACAAGAGCAGTTCACGGGGTTATAGCAGGTTGCAGCTCACCGAGCCCCGGTTCACCTGCCATTACCCGAGACTCCGGAAGACGTATGTACGACTGCTGGGCCGTCCGAGGCGATTGGAGTAGTTGAAACTTGAACGATCCCGCAGATCGAGCACGACTAAATGGCCAGACAGCAATCTTACATCAGCAATTTCCGAAGCTCGGAGGCTCGCCTTGTAGGTTGGCGACGACCCTGGCGGCGAACCTCAGTGCCGGGTTCAACTGCATTGAAGTGAAAGGGGGCACCGCACTTTCGCCGAGTAGAAGTTGATTCGAGCAGGGTTTAAGTTTAGCGTTCAACACTTAAGACTATCTTGGCCTCACTGAGAGAGAAGAAGACACCCATGTACGCGCGACTGTATTATGTTAGTGTTCCATCTTATTTATGAACTTGGGCGCTGTTGCTATTCCATTAAGGACACACCTTGGATACATCTTCGAATCGAATGCTCATCATCGTTGGAGGCCGATGCATAGCTGCGTGCGTTGCTCACGCTCGTTTCCCGATCGGCATAATCCTAAGGAGGGGCACATACATGGGTGGTGTGGATTGTTGTACGTCTCCTATGGGTACGAACGACCTCGATTTGACGATGGACTATGGCAAGAGGCTGGAGAGGAGCAAAGCTACTCGCGCACTGCGAACCGGAGACACTGATATTTGCATTTGAGAACAGTTATAGACAGTTTCTAAGGCGTACCCTTGATGGCAAGCCGCACTTCAGGCCACTACACCCTGGACACGCCTCCGACGCAAGCCAACAGTAACACGTCGACAGTGCCTCCACTGTGCTCTTCCAGCCAAGCGTCGAAGTTCTTGAAGAACGACAATATGGCGCTTCCTTCTGTTGCAAGGACTTCCTTCTTTGCTGGCCACATCCCGCTCTCGAGGATACCGACATGATCTACCGTCAATGGAGGTATCTGGCCCGAGGAATTTGGCGAGTCGTTCTTGATGACAAGATCAACACTCCAGGAGTCGACGCCGTAGAACGAGGCCTCTTTGATGTGATGCCGGGTGTACTCCTGCGGAGGGTTGTCATCCAGAGACCATTTCAGGACGTGGGCGTCGAAGGCGATGGCTAGATGAGTAGTGATCAGAGCAGGCGAGCTGTGAGTACGGAGGACGTACCGGTCCATATGATGCCGGGATGGTCCACGACCAGAGTGAGGCTTCTCGTCCCTGCGGTCTCGTCCACTATTTCATTCTCGACCCGAATTCGAATGTCGTAGGGAGAAGTATGTTTCGACCCAGGTGCCTGCGTTGGGACGGCTATCTTGAACGGGGACAAGAACTGAAGGCCAGAGTGGATCAGCTTGCGTCTGACTATGAATATGACTGTTAGCTTACCGCGGAGAAGGGATAGAGGACGTCCCAGTCGGCGTTCCAATCGTGCATCACGATGCTGTGGGGAGCGGGGGCACCAGGTGGTCCCCATTGTGCTCCGATATCAGCGACGAGAGTTTCCAGTCCTGGGGCAGGGTCGGCTGCTGCGATGTGAAGATGTTCCTCGAGCGTAGTGGTCTGCACAATACCGTTCGGCAGTCAGTTACTACATAGCCAGTCGAGCGGGGAACTCACGTTCTGCATATGAATCACGAATAATCTCTTCTGGTGCATCTCATCGAATGGTTGACGTGTCACAAACAGCGCCATCGCGACCACCGTCAAGGAGAGCGTAACGATCAGAGCGTTCTTCAGAGAGCTCGCGCGAGCACCAATCCGCTCGTGTTGCACGGTCGCAAATCTTTGCACAAAGGCCGGGAAGAGGGGAAACGTGTAAGACCCGACCACGGCCACGATGGATGCCACGACGTGATCTGCCGGCGCATCGCGCCCAGTTCTCCCAGTGAGCGGAACGAAGACGTCGAGCGTCGTGGTGATAATCTGTGCGCCAGTGACCAGCGGCACCGATTGCGCAACTCCGTACACCCAGAGTGGTATGCGCGCCCCCGAGGTCTGGCTCGTCACCGACTCCAGAAGGAGTGCCAAGAAGATGGGGAGCGCATTGAGGAATAACATGGCCGCAGAGCCGATTCCTACGAGCTGGAGGGCAAGGGCCCCGCACGCGTTGAAGAGGAGCGTGGAGGTCCAGATGGTTCTCTCCGAGGATGGTCGAACGAAAAGTTGCGATACGAGCGCACCTGGAGGAGCGAAGGTGAGTGACTTGACTGAAATCTCTTCGACCACGATCACAGGCTTACCAGTAATGGCGGCTGGTCCGTAGAGCACCAAACAGGAGAATTCCCTGGAAAACCAACTCATTCCATGTCCGAGCACGAAACTCATCACGAAAGCTACGACGTTAGCCCCGACGAGAGCGCCTACAAATGCAGACGAGCTAGCCAGGATTCCACGAGCTTGTTCCTTCCAAAGGTTGAACGACGCCGACGTTCGGTAAACCAAGAGCGCGCTCGCAGCGAAAAGCGCCCCATGTAGGATACGGGCCGTTGAGAACGTGTATAGGAAAAAGTGGCCAAGATAAGAGTAGAAAACCGTATCCTTCTTCGTCGGCGCGTAGCGTTGAATGGAGGGTAAAGGCGAATCAGGGCCAGAGAGGTGCGTGAGCAGCGCAAGTGTGTTCTCGGCCATATCCTATAATCAACGTCAGTATGGTGATAACGGCGTAGGCAAAAGCGCATTTGAACATACCTGAGCAACTCCTGGCTGAATATTTTCGACCAAATCCTGTGGAAGTTCGGTGAGCATCGCGAAGCACAACTGCCACGGTGGGAAAGCTACCTTGCGCATATGGTAGAGGTAACTATTGCCAACAACTGCTATCTGGAAAGTTCAAATGAGCAAAGGGACCCAATTCGATCCTATACAACACTCGGTTGTCGGACGGCCATCGAGCGGTAGGACGCAAATATCCGGCAGAGTCGTTCTGAGACGATGTCTCCAAGACGAACGCTCCCAACGAGACGAAATGACGTACGTCAAGACCAGGAACACCGATATATTCTTCGAATTGGCGGAAATCTGTACTGTAACGCGAATTGAGTTCGTTAAGGACGACATGACATTGAATAATCCTTGACTCACTCGGATAGTAGAACACCGGAGCTGAAGATCTCGTTGGCCAGAATTGTGCCGAAAGGCCTCGGGACTTTCGAGTACGCGGCGATCATGTCCGAGGACGTAGCTTGGAAGAGCAGTGGCCGCCCAGTAGTACCGGCAGCTATGTGGCACTCAGTATATGATGGGTCCGGATAAGAGCATGATCCAACCTTCCAGGTTAATTACAGCACGAACGCTGACAAAGTAAGGTCAGCGATAATGCAAGGCGAAGCGTAGTTGACCTTACGTAGATGCTGTCGGATGTTGCGTAGAGTAAAGCTGAGATCCGTCCTGAAGGGATTCCTCCGCATGGTTGAACACTAACGAACAAGAATTCAGCTCAGCTTTATGGGCCGCGCAATCACGACTCACGGAAGACGACAGAATGTTTCACCTCCCATTCGCCTCGTCTCCATCTCTCCACCAGAACGCGTGCGCACTCAAGCATGACGCCCACCGACAACGCGTCATCCGCCGCACCAGGACTCGGCAGAGTCGAATCGAGATGCGCGTTTACGAGCACAGCGTGTTCCTTAGATTGAGGGGTGCCAGCAGAGATGCGCAGAATGACGTTCGATAGACCGACGTAGGTTTTATACAAGCGGCGCGACATCATGTCAAACCTGCATTGAACCTCATCAGTCTGACGAATCGGGCGAGGCGAACTAGCGCTACTCGCTGATTCTCACCGGTGGGAACCACTCCCTTCCTGTCGCCAAACTTCACATTCCAACGACTCTCCATCAATTCTCGCGTGCTTCACGGCCTCCTCGCACAGATGCTTGACTTCCTCCACCTTCTCGACCATCCACCGGTCCGCGAGCATGTGTTCCTTCGTTCCGACCGTCCGGTAGCCAATATCTTCACTAAGGTAGCGGGCGTGCTCCAGGATAATGGCCTCTGATATCTGCGGGGTGCCATCTTCAGAAAACGGTTGTATCACCGGTTCCGGGAGCGCGTATTGGTGCTGGTAGACATAGGCAGGGAGAAGCAATAGCGGAGAAAGCAGGAGCAAAGACGACAGCGGCCCGCGCCGAGTGGAGGATAGGAGCATCCTCCCAATGTTCTCTATCCAACGAACTCAGTCAGATAAACCGCCCCGAACGTGGTCAGGTAGACAAAGTCCGTGTAGAAAGCTTGGGAGAGACAAGCACTGACAGTACAGGCGAAGAGTCCGGAACCGGAACGCGTCACATCCGAGGTGCGGGGCACCAATGGGCACCTGACCGCGCCTGGGAGTCTGCCACGATCTACTCACTCGATACCCCGCGCATATCTTGCTGAACCGCCGGACACCACCGCACACGATTTGCAAGACAAATATAGCGGGGTTGGGGCTCAGTGCAGAGTGTCGAGTTCCAGAATGTCAAATGGGGAATTGCCTGACTCTAAATAGAGTTCTCGTGCGAACGGATTGCACAGGATCATCAAGCGATGGGAAACCTCTCCATATTAGAGTGTATTTGCAGCACAGGCAAAATGGGGCGGGACGTTGACAATGCACTGCATGTTTTAGCGGGGCTTCCCGCGGACCTCTTTGCCTACTGCGGACAACTTTAGTACCTTGCAAATACACTCTATTATGTATGCTTACTACTTCTATAGGTGAACTCGGCTCTGCGCTCTCCGAACATCGCCAATATCTTATTACCTTCATTGGGATGTCTCTCCGCGACCTCACCGGATACCGCCATAAAACACGGCGCACACTGATTGTGCTACGAACGGCTCTCATCCCCCCCCCCCGGGAACCCGCGGAGATGGTTTCTCTCATTATCGCATTCGCCGTATGCGCCGCATGCTACCTGACGGCAACACTTCTGCAGATTGGTCGTAGAGACAAAAGGTTACCACCCGGCCCACCGACCCTTCCCGTGCTCGGAAACCTACATTTGTTCTCTCCCAAATACACTTACAGGCAGTGCGTGTCTTGGCTTGTCAAGGTATTGCTGATGCTCACCTTGTCACCCAGGCTTACAGGATGGGCAAGAACACATGGTGATGTATTCTCTGTACGCAAGGCAATCACCAGATTCACGGCGCTTTGCTGAACATTCTGCGCCTCTCAGTTGATGCTCGGTTCAGACCCTATGGTTGTCTTGTCGAGCGCTAGCGCCGTACGAGAGGTCATGGAGAAAAACAGCGCCGCAACCGTCAGCAGACCTCCAAACCACTTCGATCGGACGCTCCATGATGGGAAATATCTTGCGATGGCTCCGTATTGTGAGTGATCCACGTTCATTATTGTCATTACCACTCATACTGGCCCTTAGCAAACGACTGGAAGACCGTGCGAAGGGCTGCAAACTCTGTCTTGACACCCCAGGCCGCCGCGAAGCACTTGCCCATTCAACGAGCAGAATCGTTGCAACTTCTGTATGACGTGCTTTGTACTCCCGATGTGCGTCTCTGTTTTCCTTGTGATACAGCACTGCTAACGATGGCTGTAGCGGCTATGGTGGCATCTACGTCGGGCATCCAACTCAAGCATATTTTCCGTGCTTTACGGGAAGCGCGTGCCCAGGTACGCTGTTGCCTTAACCCAGGGTTCTTTAAGGTTTTGATCTAACATTCGATCCAGATTGGACTCACCGGACATCGACGCGGTGTTCCACACGATCGAGGCAAAAGTACAGCTCTTTACCCCGGGCAACTTTGCGCCGGTGGACATCTTTCCGATCCTGAAGTACGTGCCAGAGAGATGGGCCTCGTGGAAGTCATTTCTACGAGAGACTGGCCGTCTGGAGAGAGCCGTGTACACAAGTCTTCTCCAGGAGTGTAAGGATAGGGTGTCGGATGGACGTCAGACCGGATTGGAGTCTTTCATGGACATTATTGTCAAGAGACAGGCGGAACTAGGGCTGACCGATGACATGGCTACGTGAGGTTGATGCTGCTCTGTAATTACTCGTTATTGATCAAGAGGCGCAGACTATTAGGCACTGTGCTCATGGATGGCGGTAGTGACACTACGCCTTCGTTCATGCAGTCGTTTGTGCTCATGATAACGGCTCACCCGGAAGTGCAGCGCAGGTTGCACGAGGAGATGGACGCGGTGGTGGGACGCGAGCGCGTACCTTGTTATGATGACATCGACAATCTGCCCTACCTGAAGGTATAATCTTACATTGACATCATTGGAACAGGGATTGCACTGACAATGCAATATACTAGGCGACATTGAGGGAAGTGCATAGGTTCAGACCCGTGTTTCCTATGGCTATCCCTCACGCATCTATTGACGATGTTTGGGTATGTCAAACCAGCTCCTCTCGTTCAGAGACTCAATCGCAACCCAGTATGGAGGTTACATCATCCCCAGAAATTCCACCATCGTTGTTAATTTGTGTAAGTACGCCATTAACAACCGACAAAGATCAGCGTATTGATCCGTTACTCTCCTGGCCACAAGGGGGTATATACCACGATCCGGAGGTTTTCGATCAGCCAGACGTGTTCAATCCAGACCGCTTCTTGAAGTCCGAGTTCGGAGTGAAGCCAGGCATTGATGATGCCGCCTTCAAACATTCCATGCCATTCGGGGTCGGACGGGTAAGCCCTTGGATAGCCTCTCCCAGGATCGTTTTCCGTATGCGTCGCTAATGATCGCTCCATGTCAGAGGATATGTCCCGGGCGTCATGTGGCTGACCAGACCTTGGTACGCAAGCGCTCCTACTTTTCACACTATATCTGATCAATTCCCCTAGCACATCCAAACCATGGATCTTGTTTGGGGATTCGACTTCACCTCCGACGAGGCTGTGGATATCGACGCTTACGAGCCTGTGCGTACATGTGCTATAGGTCGTACGTCAGATGGCACGTCGGAGACTCACCTGCTTGAATCCGTCTTAGTACATCATCATGTCGCCTATCCCTTTCAAATTCACCATCAAGCCACGCAGCCGGATGCAAGAAGAACTCATACGCAACGAGTATCGCGAGGCTATACCAGCCTTTGAGCCATACGAGGAACGACTCAGCGCTGACGAAAAGGCATGGATAACGAAGACTAGGCTCACGGTGGCATCTTGAAACGATTGTCCGAATCGGTGCCATGATGGTCAGGCGGATACGTAGAACATTGCATGTACACGCATATAGGGGATTGCAGGATATCAATACACACAGGAGGCAAGCGACGATGTCGACTCTACACGCAGTGCACCAATTGGTGATCGTGCACCCAGCGAAAACTCAGTCACCATGTGTAGCAAGGTATTTAGGCACCCCACCTCGTTCAAACAATCAGCGTCTTCAACTGAGTAAAATACCCCTCCCACATCGCCTTAGCCTGAGCTTTGATGGTTTCAATCTTCTTGGACGCTTGCTCCTGCGTCAGCTTTTCATCCCACATGAGCTCCTTGCCCGTCCGGAAGGCTGCGTTCTCAGCCAGCCAGTTAACCACTGCCTCTGCCTTGGCTTTGTCCTTGTTCGCCCAACGCTCCACGGCCGGGACGATCCGCTGCTTCCACGCCTCACTCGTCCGAAACGCGTCGAACGCGGCGCGCCCGAACCGGAGCTCCGCCGGCTCGAGTTTGTCGGAGAGCGCGAGGAGGATGCCGATGTCGACGAAATCCTTCTGCGTGTTCTGCTCGCGCTGCGCGGCGCCCTCGATCTTGAGCAGGAGGACGACGTGGGGCCGGAAGGTCGGGAGCGAGGTCGGGAGCGTGTCCAGGGTCAGCTTCACGACGGACTTGGCGGCGAAGACGTCCTGCTTCGGCATGTAGTCCAGCAGCCTGGAGCCGTCCAGCTCGCTGATGTCGAACTCGACGGGGTCGAGCTTGCGGGTGCGGGGCAGCTTCGGGTTTTTGGAGTAACCGACCGCGTCACTGGTTTGTTCGTATGAGCTGAGAATACTACGACGGTGCAGGCAAGAAACGCGGCAACGTACTATTGCCTGACGAGAAGGTACTTGTTTCCCGCGTCGGACGTGTCGAACACGCCACCAGGGGCGCTAATGAGGTCGTCCCGGCCATGCGGAAGATAGCCAACGCCTTTGAGGGCCGCCCATAACCCGGAGAGGTTTACGTTCTGGGGAAGTTTGATCTCAAAGTCTACATCGTGGGCCGCAGGAAGCGAAACGTCAGCCGACAGAGCACGCAAAACAGACGGGAGAGGGCGGGGAAGGGAGGGGATGGAGACTCATCTCGGTCTGCCTTTTTATGACGTTCTGGATGTTTACCACGGAGGAAGGATACTGGTTGAGCACGGGGCGCGTGAGCGCGGCGATGGCCACTCCGCCGATGATCGCGAACTCGGCGTCGATCGGGTTGGCCTGACGTTCCCGGAGCTCCTTCAGGCCTGTTGCCAACGCGCGGACGGCCGTGAAACAGTCTTCGACGTTGACAGAGATCGACATGGTGTTTGTGTGGGAGAGGGTGCGGATTGCAACTTTGGGAACGGGAAGAGGTGTTTTAAATATGTCCAACGTTCAAGGGTGACCATCATGGAGATGTGCAGGGTCGGCGCGGGGGCATCACCGACGTTTACGAAGGTAGATCTGAGGAGATGGACAACGCAAACGCTGATCTTCAGGTACTGTAATGCAAGTTGATTAGGAGCGAATAAGGTAAGAACTGTTGTAAGAAGGCACATACCAAGGGGGATCGATCGTTGGCGCAACGATCGCGAATCTGATGATCTCGCGAACACATCAGTTACTCCCGCAATTGTGCTTCCGACGCCGATGAGAAAGGTCACGATCGGACCTGAAGTCGACGCGCCAGGTCCCAAAGGAAAACACAATAACAACTTGTCATGATAAAGCGACTTCCGTTTCCAGGAACCGGCGGAACAAGAACCGGCTAGGCACACATACGTATCTTGCCTGTACTCAGCCTCTACTCACTGTCTAAGTACAAGGTGCGCACCTGTCCTTCAGGCAGGGCCAGGCACAAGCACCAACCTCACGGAGCACCTCCTCGCTCACAGCTTCCGTGCGGTCTACCGCCGTTAAGGTGCGTTTTAGAAGCGATTGAACGACGCGATGATGCACACGGGATGTAGCGGCATGCTCGCGGTCGGTCAATGCCTCTCTGCGATCGAGAGCATCGAATGCACATTGGCTATGTAAAAACGGGTAACGGATCGCAAGCACACGAACGCGCATAGGGAGGAGGTGCTCTTAGCTCTACCGAGGACCGCGCGTTCATTCGTTGCCGTCGTCGTCAGAATCGTCCGAATCGTCGGCTGTGCGTAATCGGTGCAGAAACGAGCCCTCGAGCGCGCCTGGACAGGACACGAAAAGGCGTCAGCAAAGGTCCCCAAAAAAGGGGGATACCATCCCCCCCACGAAAGCTATTTACGGCACTCACGTCCACCGACGCTACCCGGTCTGCGCCCAAGCGCGCTCACGTTGAGGCTCCCCGCGCCGCGGTAGGGAGCGGGGCTGGGACTCGGCGTGCCCGTCGACGACAGCAGCGACGCGTTCAAGGAGGAGCTGAGCGGACTCTAATGTATTATCCGGTCAGTCATAGCCTGGTGTGTTTGAATCGCGAGACCGTCGTCACCTTCCAAGGCGAGAGCGTCGTACTTGATGTGGAAGTCTGGAACGGGTTCGGAGATCCCGGAGACGTGGCGTAGGACGACGAAAACGAGCGTTGCGGCTGTGGCGACGTCTACCGAGCGTATTGAGCTATGGTATGGGGGCAGGGGGAGGGGTGCATCTCGGGTCAACGTACGCTGGGAGAAAGCAGCTTCCGCTTGCTGTTCGTAGATTGGGCTAGCCCGGAGGGACCGGCAGACGCGGACGACGGTCGGTTGAGGAACTGAATGCCTTTCGCAGCAGGGCTCGGTAGCGGGCGGGTGGCTTTTCGTGGATACTTGAGCGCGAGGATGGACTGAACCACGTTGAGGAGGAGCAGTCCAAGAAGCGCCAGCTCTGTGGAGCCAATGGGTCAGAGATAGGGCCTTGCGACGGATCGTGTACCAAAACGAGCGTACCTGCGGCACATACGCACCACTCCCCCGTCCCGACCTGCGCCTCGGGCGGCTCTGTCCATGCACGGTTCATCCTGCCGTATGCATCGTAGGTAATCTGTCTCTGACGCGTCTCCGCGCGTTTCCTGCTGAGCCAGACGACGTCGAGAGCTCGCCAGGGGCCCGGCATGGGCGAGAGGTGGACGAGCAGGAAAACGGCGAGGATGCCGAACGCGCTGTGGCGGAGGCACACGCGGGCGTCGACCGGATGGGGTCTCAAGGCATCGAGCGCAGACAGAATCGAGGTCGAGGTCATGTCGGGTCGTGAGCTGGGGGTGCAACAAATATTCGATGGTTTTGTACAGTTGGGCGCTGTAGAGCAGCTCGCGAAGCTGGGATCGCGCGGCGGGAGGGCACGTCACGTGTTCGCACCTTCAAGCTTCCAGTCCGACTTGGTACATAAACGCGACAAGCATTCAGAAAAGATATTCCTGGCTCGCCGCCAATCCGCCGAAATAACATGTAAGCGCCTTCAACTTCGAACCCATCCACGCCTCCTCCACTTCGACCCGTTCCGTTCCCGACTCCCCGCACGGCAGCAACGCCCCTATCTCTTCGAGACCCGTATTCCGGGGCAGAAAATACGCCACGTTGTGCGTGATCTTCCGCGTCAGCCGGAAGAGCTCGGCGCCGTGGACGGGCTGGATGCTCGAGAGCGAGTACGTCGGGTGGCGATCCTCCACGGGCAGGTCCTCCTCGTCCTGGTCTGTGATGTAAGCAGGCTTGGTCTTCACGGGCGACCCAGCGAGGTAGGATGGGCCACCCCAGGGTGGGCTCAGGAATACCACGTCGATCTTCCTTGGCGACGAGGGCGCAGTCGCTGTCGCCGACGACCGCACAGATGTGCCCGAAGCGTACGACTTTGCGAACGCGACGTAGTCCCCCAAGACGAATTCGATGCGGTCCGCCACGCCGTACACGGTCGCGTTGTGCCGGGCGAGCGCGAGCCTGAGCGGCGACGTGTCCATGGCGATCACTGATCACAAGGGGGGAGGGGGGGGACGAGCGAAAGCAATCACGATTCGCGTTTTAGCGGGTAAAGTCAACAACGCGTGCAGGGTTGCGAAGACGCACCCCTCTCGCACGTCTTGGCGAACGCGATCGCGTTCCCGCCCACGCCGCAGAACGCGTCCAGGACGACGTCGCAACGACACCGCTCGGCGATTTGGTCCGCGATCCGTTCAGGCGTGACGCTGTACCAGCCCTCTTCGTCCAAGAGGCAGCCACGATCGTACAGGGTGAAATAGCGATAGCGTTGCGAGAAATCTGTGTTTCGCAAAAAAAAAGACTGAGCAAAACGAACCGGATGAATGAGGAAGGGGGAGCGGGGGGAGAACTCACATTTTTGGAGCGCCTCCGGAACTTGCGATGCGTCTGTGTAGAACGGCACCAGCCCCGTCGCGCGCTTCCTTTTACGCCGCTGCGACGCGTTCTCAGCGTTCGCCGAGCCGGTTTCGTCAGGAGCCGATCTTTTCAGCGCGCTCCGAGTCGCGTCGCTCGTCGGTGCTTCGTTCGCAGTCGCGATGGTCGTAGCTCGAGCCGCAGAGCCCGATTCGCGTGCGTCGCCATCTCCAGCAATCGTGTCCCCCGGAAGAACGAGCGCAGACTCCCCTCCTCTGTCTGTAGGAAGGTACTCAAGAGAGCCCGAGTTTATGGGACTGGAGACATGGCCGTCGGAAGTGTCGTCGGTCGGGGCAGCATCTGCGCTTTTTACGACCTGCAGATAGCGCGAAACACCAGCTAGAGCGTTGTGTCGTCGGCCCATGTCATATAAGTAGGGGTGGTAAGGTGGTTTACGTAAACTCGCGTCTTTGATCCTGGCAGAAGACACAGCGTCGCATATTGTCGCGGGTATTGTACGTGATGACAGGGTAATCATGGTGTTACAGAAAGATATGGTCGAATCTTATAAAAAAGCACACCGCTACGCAACGAGCCTCTCTATTCCTCATCCTCAAATCGCAGTATCTGCGCGTCTTCGTCGACCGGCACGTTCCGATAGCCTCTCCTGGACTGGAACTGCGATGCCAATGACCCGGCCGACGAGGCCACGTACTCCCAAGCGATCCCGGCCAACCCGACCAAGAACCAAGGAACGGAAGCGAGCGTGTCGAGCAAGCCCGACTCCGATCGATATCGTCCGCCGCTGTCGCCGGGGAGACGGATGGTTCTGAGCAAGGGCGAAAGATGTCAACATCCAGACGGTGATTCGGCGGGCAAAGGACGACCACGTACCCGCGAGCCATGCCGCTGCGGCGGTAGTACCAGTACGCTACCAGGGCCGTGATCGCGAACGGCAGCAGGAAGATCGTCCACCAGAATGCCGCGCCGTGGGCCTTGAAACCAGGGCAGACGTGTCTGGCTCCATGGTGTAGTGTTTCGCCGCCCTCGCACGTCGAGTAGGGGATCTTGCGATAGGCTGTCCGATCGTACCAATAGTCCGAACCCTCCCAGCACTCGGCGTCGTCGCTGGGCAATGGTTTCAGGCCAGGTATCAGGACACATTCTCCCGCCGCGTTCATTTGGTAATTGAACTCGCTGCACGAAATTGAGTATGTTGGCGAAGGATCAGCATCAACGTTCGTACCATTCGAAATCCGCCCTTTCACAGGCGCAGTTCTTGATAATCTTGTCCTCTACCTTGGGCTGTTTCCCGACAACGCAATTTGCGTCCCGTTTCCGGCGGTGATAGAGCGTCTGGGTTCGAGTCGCATCAAGTCATCGACAAGGGAACGTATCTGCTGATTACATACTTGGCGGCCAAACAGACACCTTTCTGAGCGTTCTTCGGCGGGACTCCACAGTTCGAAATCGTCGTGCCCCGGATTTTCAAGGCTGAAAACGCCTGAAAATGAAAGAGACATCAACAACGTTCGCATCGCACACCATGCAGGAACACCCACATTGTTTGAGGGTCAAGGACGAGAAATCGATGTAAACAGCCACAGCCGCCGACGACCGGGAGTACGTCCCGAACAGGATGAACTTTCTACTCGTATCGCTCGGCACGGTGACGATGCTGTTCACCCTGAGTTTCTCCGTCCCAAAGGTATACTCTCTCCAGTTCAGTCCCTCGTCGGTGGAGAAGAGGACGTGGTCGGTCGGCTCTTCGTCGTTGGCCATGACCAGGATGGAGCCGGAGTCACCGAACTCCCACATGTGGGCGTCCTTGTGCACTTCTTCCCAGGTGAAGCCGGCGTCTCGACTGAGGAAAGTGTCGCTCTCGGTGTAGGGCGCAAGTCCTTCACCGACATTTCCGACCGCCATGAGGAGGCCAGGGACCGAAGGCGTGCTATAGGTTGCTCTAGGGTCTCGGCGCTCGGTGTAACCATGGACGTGAAGCGCGCAAGCCTTCGAATAGAACGTAAGCGCGATGCGGATATGATATGAATGTAGACATACCGCAGTGTTGCACGAGTACGGATTCCCCTGGGAATCGGTCTTGGGCGGGCTAAGAGTTTGCCAGGACCCACCTATAGCACAAAATAAGACGACGTGAGCATTTGGAAGGCGTCAACACATACCGTCGTTGTGAGATATGCGGGACTGCAGCGTCTTGCTACCCGTCACGATTGCATCGTTGGGGTTCGAAACGACATTAATCAATGCTATTCCATCCAAGCCGATCATCTTCTCGAAGTCGACGTAGCCACGGTCGTTGCGGTTCACATACTCCTGCGAGATTGTGAAGTACGTGCCGTTCGAGTTCGACTTGAGGATGCTGCCCCAAGGAGGGGAGGCAAAGTCCGACGTCGTGACGTGCATGAAGAGCGCATCAGTGCTGGACTCGAGGATCGTGTACGCCTACATGTACAAGGTAAGCTCGTGCCCTTGACCAACGGCGTATAGACTCACATGCTGATGCTCCGGGCGGGCTTTAGGAGGGAACATGCCCGTCGCGAACCTCCTGCCATCGAGCGAAACTTGCAACTCCAGCGTTTGACGAGCGGATTGATACTGTGCCGTCTTCAGCTGAGCGCGTCGAACAACAGTGACCGGGACCATACCTCAGCAACTACCAAGTACTCAGAAAACTTTGCGAAGCCAACCACCTGGTCGAACACCTTCTCCTTCTGCGTGTAATACTGCGGACCCGTGATAAGCTGGAGCGGGTTCCGATCGCCGAACGTGCGCTGGTCGCCCTTCTTGTCCCGGTACGACTCGCACACGATCTCCGTCGGGTCCGTCTTGAGCTCCCTGTCGCGCGCCCACTGGCAGTTCCGCACGTACTTTTCGATGGAGTACCACTTCCGGCCGTGGTCCCTCGAATAGTGCGCCTCCACGTGGCAGTTGCCGTTGTTGCCGTCGCAGTCCTTGTTCCCGGTCCAGATGAGCCAGTCGGACTGCGTTGGGTGGAACCGTAGCACGTCGGCGCGGAATGAGTTCGGGGGGGTCGGCGTCTTGAACGTGTTCCACGTCTTGCCCGTGTCGGTGGTATAGTAATGCTCCGTACCAGCGGTAAGGAGATATGCGCGGTCTGAGGCGTAGCGGTGCATATAGAAGACGAGGAACTTCTTGCCCTCCACGGGTTGGTCCCAAATATATCCCTCGTTGCTTGATTGCCAGACACTCCCGTCACTCAGTTTCACCAAGATCGTCTAAATCCGCGTTGAGAACACCGCGGATGGTGGGCATAGGCTAAGCTTACCGAGGAGTCCTCAAAATACGAATGCTCTTGGATGGACGCGGGGAATTCGTGCTAACACAAGATAAAAAGCTCAGCGCCTGGCCAGATTTACAACCATCTACACCTACGATCCGATGTGTTACTTCTCCCTCGGGTGGTTGGGCTGCAAGGGATGTGTCAGAGCGACGAAAGTCCGAACCCCAGACTAGCACGAACCTTGTGAGCATTCCTTCTTCACCTTCTCGTCCTTCTTGACGCCCCTGTTGCGATCACAAGTGTTCCCTGGTATGAGCCGATATCCCGACGAACCCATGTACGTCTGTTCCGGGTGGTCAGGCGGACAAACTCCAGCCGGGATCGGCTCAGGTCCGGTAGGTATACACTTATCTCCCGACCGGATGAAGTTGTAGTCGCTAACGAACACGATCAGTACCAACGCGTCGTTCGCGGATAGGAAAGACATCACCGACCATTCGTAGTCGTCGTCTTCGCACGGACAGTTCTCTTCGTGTTCTACGGGATCGTTAAACTTATCTCCGACGTAGCAGTTGGCGTCTGCCTTGCGACGCTTGTACCATTGCTATGGATGACATTCAATCTGCGTTCGCGAGGAATGTAGAATCAGGCGCTACCTTGTGACCCATGAGACACTCCTTATCCTTCTTCCGCGCATACCATTTTTCAAAGTCGTTCTCGGTACACTGCCGCGGACGCGTCGACGCAAAGTCCAAGAACACTGTCACATATCGCCCCTCGGCCGTCGCCTCGGAACGGGACAGTTGGCCGAGCAGCACGAACTTCTGCGAAGTCGAGTCCGGTACAGTCGTCAGCGCGCGCGCCTTGAGCTTGTGGGGGAGCTGAAGCTCTTTCCTAGTCAACAAAAGGGATGGCATCAGCAGCGAGCGGAATTTGGCAGGACAGTGCTTTACCAGTCTTTGCCTAGGTTCGTCGAGTATCGGACGGTGTCGACATTCTCTTCGTCGTTGACGATAACGAGGATACTGCCTTGATCGCCAAACTCGTACAAGTGCGCATCCTTGTGGATCATCTTCCACGTCACGCCGGCGTCGGTGCTGAGGAACGTATCGCACTCTTCGTACGGTTTGAGATATGACCCGACGGAGCCGACGGCCATGACGAAACCCGGCGCCGGCGACGAGAAGATCCGCCCAAAGTTGTGCGGGAGCGTTACGGAATGCAAATGGAGCGAGCATTTGTCGAGCTCGGCCGGGTTGCAGTCCACGCGGTTGCCCTCGCTGTCCTGGGAGGGAGCCCGGATGGGATCCCAGGTCCTTCCTGTGCGGAACAGGGATATCAGAGGCAGGTTGCGTTGCAGCAGAAGCGACGCGACGTTTACCATCGTCAAACGTGATCCTAGACTGTAACCGCTTCGGCATGTTCCTCGCGACCTCCTGCGCATTGCTGACAACATTCGCGATCCCGACGCCCTCCACGCCATAAAGCTGCTCGAAATCGACGTAACCCATCTCGTTCCGGTTCGTGTCCTGAAGGCTCTCCACGAAATACGTGCCGTTCGAGTTACTGACGAACAGCGTGCCGATGGTGCTCATGTCCTGCAGCACGACGTCGACCCCGAGTGAATGCGTCGTCGACTCGACAATCGTGTACGCGTTCTCCCGGAGCGTGGCCGAGCTCGCGTGCGGGAACTTGGCCTGCGCCCAGTTTTTGGTGTCCACGCTGACGTAGAGCAGCATCTCGCCGTTGTTGCCCGGACTGAGATCCTTGAGCGCGACGACGGCAAACTTGCTCACGATCGCGAACGCGATCACGCCCCGCGCGTTCTTGCCGATCCCGAGCGTCTCGACCCTGTTCTCGTTGACGAAAAAGTCGGTGCTAGAGAAAAGGCGCGAGTTGGAGAGCGACTGGCCGCCCGAGGTCGTGCTGGTGTCGAAGCCGACACAGTAGATGAGGTCTTCGTGCGCGTCGTGCTTGAAGTCCTTGCCGCTGTGAGCGAATTGGCAGCGCGTCGTCTCGGAGAGGAGCAGCTTCGGCGTATCACCGAAGGCTTCTTTCGTATAATAGGTCTACAAAGCGCATCAGGCCGTAGTCGTGAATAACAGCAGCAGCTACGCACCTCATCGTGACACACGGAGCCCCAGCCCGTGCCACGTTCGCACTTGGTGCCTTGGTAGAGGATATAGCCAAATTTCCGGCCGTCCGAATGGAAGGAAAGTGGATTCGCGACCCATGCGGGAGGAACGGGCATGCTAAACGAGCGCCAGGTCTTGCCGCGATCATCCGTTCGCCAATGCGTGGTGCCTTTCGAAAGAATGAAGGCCTGAAGGTAATGAAGAATTGAGCTCGGCGTAAAGTTTGGCACGACGCGGTAGTACGCACGTATCTGTTTTGGAATGGGTGCTCGATGATCATGCTCGCCTGCCCTGTAGGTACGCCAGCGGCGCGTTCCCAGCTCTTGCCTTCGTCTTGTGAGACATAGACATTCCCCTCGTTTGCGTCATGGTAGAACAGCGTCTATGTGCGCTCGTGAGTCGGTGTTCTATCACCAATTGGAAATTCACGATGCGCGTACGGTAGTATCGTCCAGGAAGAACAGCCGAGCGGGTAGGTTGGCAAAACGGTTGACAGAGATCTCTGGGCTCTGCGCGCCAGCCAGTGAGTACCACGAGCATAGTGCCAGTGAGCCCAACCACCACGACGTCAACCACTGCCCAAGCTTCATGATGGGAGGACAAGACACGTATACCGACTTTGCTCGCTGCGGTGCGCGCCTCCGGCGGGCGATGGTGGCGATGCAGGTCCCGTGACCTACGGAATGAAACATCGTGCGAATTTCCTCCATCTTAGGGGGCGTCACCTCGATCGCGGCGACTCTCCTCGACTTCCCCGAGTGTGCGTCGGTCGCATCGCTTCACGCGGCTCCGTCAAGGACACCCGCGGGGAACATCAGAATCTGATCCCAGACTTGCTGTGAATTCGTCGGAGGGCCGTACTTGCGCCATTACGGATGGCTCTTATCCGTCGAGTCTGCCTACAGCTTAAATCGCTCAGCTGGGCGCTTCTCAGCCCAGCGAATATCTTGTTGCACTCGGCGAATATCACTCGCCACCGTACCACGCTAGTCTCTGCCGTAATCACTGCGGAATGTGGCGCACATCTTGCAATGCACGAACGGCAAAATACTCTCGTTCCATAACCCTCGGACCGGGTGCCCCTGCTGGCTCGGCGAGGGTATTTAGTGCACGCTCTGTAGGCCCGATGTTGTACTTCTCCTTCGACGCCAACCATCTCGCCTACTCATGTCGAGCTTGCCATCCGCTTCTGTCGTTGAGAACGGCGCCGCTACTTCCAGGACGGCGGTACGCCTGACGGGCCTCGCGCTGCTCTCCTTGAGCTTCCAGACACTAGGTACTTGCGTTGCTGTCTTGTTCCGAATATCGCTCATCAAACGACAGGAATTATCTACTCCGATATCGGTACCTCTCCCCTATACGTACTCAACGGTATATGGGCTAGCGACGGACCCGTGCCGTGTACGTTTTCCTCCGTCGTAGAGGATTTGTGTAGTCGAGCTTAACGTCGTTGAATACAGCGAAGGAGGATGTTATAGGCAGCATCTCCGCTATCCTATGGTCTCTGACGCTCCTTCCCCTGGTCAAATACGTAGGCGCCTCCAACATCGAGCAGCATGACTGTCCTACTCACTTCAGAACAACCTACAGGTATTTATCTCCCTTCACTTCGGTACGAGCGAAGGTGCGGAAGTTACCGACCGTGTCACGTCTCGGTCCTCATCGAATATGAACGTGCAGGAGAGGGCGGCACATTCGCGCTTTATCAAGGTCTCTTCCCTCGCGCAAAGGAAGACCCAGACTCGGACCGCGTGCTCACCGGCGGCTCGACTGACCCGACTGCAAAGTCCGAGTGGTCCTCCATCCCCCGGTTATCGAAGCACCTCAAATGGCCTCTCCTAATATGGGTGCGTCGTCGTCGTCGCCGCCACCGCTGTTCTCGATCGCCGACACCTCCCTGAAGTGCTTGTTTGGCACCAGCTTGACAATGGCGGATGGCATCCTCACACCTGCCGTTTCCGTCACTTCGGCAATGGGCGGTATGGCCGTTGCAAAGCCATCTGTATCCTCCGATGTCATCCCTATATCAATCGTACGTCCAGTCGCGCGGCTCCCAGATACCCGAAGGCTCGACACAATCTGCAGGCATTCCTTGTCGTTCTTTTTCTCGCTCAGCCATTTGGGACTGCGAAGATATCATACGTATTTGCGCCCAGTAAGAGACCACTCTATCATATGGTCGCATAACATTCATCATCGTTTGTCTTCAGTCACCTGCATATGGTTACTCCTTCTGGTAGCCACAGGCATCGTCAATATTGTCTCGTACCCCGGTATATTCCGCGCCGTCGATCCATCTCGGGCTATCCTATGGTTCGTGCGCACTAAGAACTTCGATGCTCTCAGCGGGGTGTTGCTAGCGCTCACTGGATGCGAGGCCATGTTCGCAAAGTATGCATCATACTGTTCACTTCGTCGAAAATAATATCCTGATCACGCTTAGCTTGGGACAGTTTAACATGCTCTCAATTCAGGTATGCAACCCAGTTAGTCATCGATAACATGCTCTGATGTCTGCATAGCTTTCCTTCAGCCTCTTCGTTTATCCGTCCATCTGCATAGCCTATCTCGGCCAAGGCGCTCGACTCATCTCGGACGGAGAATCGGTGTTATCGAACGTATTCTACCAGACTATACCTGGCTCGAACAACGGTCCACTCTTCTGGTAGCTCATACCGCAGCCTCATGCACAACTGCTGACACTATTTGGTAGGATCGTCTATGTTTTCGCAATACTAGCCACAGTAGGACGACATCCACCACATTACGATATGACATGTTGATAACCTTCGTAGCTGACCGCGTCCCAAGCCATGATCTCCGCGACGTTCAGTCTAACCCAGCAGATTGTCAACCTTAGATGTCTCCCGCCGTGAGCAGGATGTCGTCCTCCTCATCGTCACCTTACCCATCCCGATTTTACAGGCTTCGTATTCGGTATACCTCCGACACAATCCAAGGACAAATATTTGTTCCCAGCGCAAACTGGCTCCGTATGTTTCTCCACGATAACGCGGTTGTCATCTCCTGACACACGAAAAGTGATGATCGCCACGATCGTGGTAGTCGCTGCATTCAAGAGCTCCACCGCTCTTACACACGCTTATGGGTACGGTACCGGCTCCTTGACTGCTTAGAAACCTTGTGCTTATCATGCCGCAGGTTCGCCGTCGCAACTGTGATGATTTCTACCAGTAAGACATCGACAAAGAAAATTCACGACACCACGCTGACCGTACACATTTGAATAGCCGTCCTCATCGCTATTCAAATGCGCTACGTCAAATACTGGCCCGCATTGATCGCCGTCGCCTTCTTCATTGCCTTCGGTTTCTTGGACGGTAGGACCCAGCGTCCATCATGGTTGGCCTTGTTCCTCATCACATGGCTCAGGACTGTTCTGGGGCGCCTCCTTGAGAAAGGTACCCGATGGTGCATGGGTGCCGCTGATGATCGGTGCAGTCTTGTACGTCCTTGCCTGCAAGTCATCCCAGAGTTAATCTGACCCTTCTTCGCAGGATGGTCATCATGGTCTTCTGGACGTGGGCGAAGGTGAGCACGAACAAAGACCGCTTCCGGGATAGATTCTGATATCACCATGCGTAGGGATTGGAAGATGAATTCGATGGCACAAATCGCCGCAACCTTCGTCACTTCATCGTTCCCGGAGAGGCTGGCGAAATCGCCCTTCATGTTGGCAATGCCCACGGTTACCAGGAAGACAATGCAATCGCGAGCGAAGAAGATCGCGGACTGTCGCCTATTCCTCACGAGTACTACTACATGGCGGATCCGGACAAAGGGAATTCGTTCAATGATTTCCCGGACGAGGAGAGGAGACAACTAGTGAGGATTCCCACGTGCGCCATATTCCACAAGCTGTCCAGTGGCAAGGGGGTGCCACACTCGTTCGTCGGTGCGTCTTGCAATGATTCTGTTACGTGCCGAACTGATTCTTGTTGCAGGTTTTGTACGACAGTGGCCGGCTCTGCCCAGGGTTGTTGTACGCATTCCGACCTGTATTCTCCGAAGCGAGTTCATCATGCTCATGCTTGATTATCCAGATATTCCTATCCGTCCGTATGCGACCTATCGCACACGTCCATCCCAATGATAAATACATTGTCACCAAAGTTTACGCCGTTGAAGGTAAAAGCTCAACCGTATCTCGTGTGTGCGAAACGTGCTGATTCATATCGATAGGATTCTACGCAGTAACATATGCGCTTGGCTTCCGCGAAGACTTCGAAGTCAAGGTGAGGAAAATCGATCTCCACTATACGTCTGCCCGACTAACCTTGGATCAAGGTCGAAGAAATCGTGAGCCGCATATGCGCTGTGGAGGCTAGGACAAATCCGGAGGGTTCTTCCTACACTGTCGATACTATCAAGCAGTACGCATCGACAGCGACACACATGTGCGCCACCTTCGCTCACGCACGATCTCTCATTCGTGACCAAATGTTGTATTGATTCTTAGCGTCCCTCATTACTATGTGATGAGCAAGAAGATCGACGGTGGCATTGCCTCAAAAGCAGTTCACTGGATACGCGCTTTCTTAATCGAAAGCTTGTACCGCCCTCTTGGTGAGCCATATTCTAAACTGGGTTTGTTCCTTGCTCATTGTGTCCTTGCAGCCTCTATGTTCCCCGAGACAGAAAATTGGATGTGCTCATCGGACGAGTACGTTCCCACGTTTACAGTTTGCTCAAGTCTGACATCGTCCATTCAGAATAATACGTGTTGGCGTGACCGCTACGATCTAACGGGTCATGTTAGTATACGCACAACATGTGCCTATAGATGTGAAATCCACTCTGTACATAGAGAATGATATACAGCTTGCGTCGATTCTTATGCACCTTCGGTCTTGCCAAAGCAAGGCAGCCATTCGTCCAGAGCCAGCTCGAATAAACCAAGACCCGAGTAGAACGGTTCCTGCGACACGGGGCTATAGAACCCGACCGTTTTGGGGAAGGTGTGGTTGGCATCGGGGACCAGGAGAACACGCAAGTCGGAAACGTGGACCATCCTGTCATGGGTGATTCCGAAGAAGTCGGTTCCTGGAGGCGGTGTGTTGCACCTGAGAGCGACGTGAGCAATCAGGGAAACCCGGGGCTAACCAAGGGAAACTCACGGAGGAACGATTACGGAGGAATTGCGATGAGGCGAATTGTCTTCGATGGAGGCGAGGCCCATAGTACGCCACGGGTCGACTAGCAAGGAGTTCCAGTCGTCAGCGGCTGAGGCAGATTTGAATGGAGCAATGCTACACTAACATTCGCCATTCGTCCAGAAGACGTTGCTCGGGTTCATGTCCCATCCACCGTATTTGTTGATATGTCCTACCTCGGGAGAAGGAGGGATATCCGCGAAAGTTTCGTTGCATTGCGCTTGGAAGAGCTCAAGGGACAGGAACGAAGTCTCAATAGAGAGCGGGTTGTTGGGATCGCCACGTTGATAGAAGCCTGCGTGAGGTATACATCAGCCATACGTAGACGGAGGTAAGGATCATAGCGTACCGTACTCGGAGCAGTACTGCCGCATCCACGAACGATCTTGCACAGGGTCGTCCGGATCGCCTTGGATAGCGTCATAGTTCGTCTCGGCGAGACCCGTTAGGAATGCCTGGAAGGCAAATTCCGTTCCATTCAAGGATGCAAGGCCGGTCTCGAGTGGGGTCATTGTGAAGTTGTTGGTTTCGAGGATGTTGCAGAAGGGTAGGAGCGAGTCTTGAAACCCCCAATACTGCGGGTAGTGGCCGTCAGCAACTTCGTTGGTTTTGGAAGGAGGCAAAAGACCATGCCTGATAGAAGTTCAACGGATCCATGAGGATACTGGCGACGCTCACGTCGCTTGCATTATGCGCCTCTTCCAACGTGAGTCCATCTGCGCCCGTCGTATTGCCACCAGGTCCACTCAACTCCGCCTTCATCAACGCGAACTTGACATCGTCCTTCAGCGTTCCGTTCGAGCCCTTCAGAACCTCGTCCACATAACGCGTTACGGCAACCCAGTCCGCACTGCAGTTGCGGGTGAGGCTACGTTCCGCGGCCTTGTAGTATGACGCCATGTCGACTTGTGCGTGTACGGGCGCTGAACTGGCCCAGACGGCGTAGATAGTCTCGGGGTTTCTTACGCGGAGGAGAGCCCTGCGAATGAGTGGGCCAATATTGGCGAGTGCCTCAGGTGCAGATAGGTGCACGTACCCTCTGACGCCAGGATATGATCCTCCAAGCCACACCCATGGCGTTGTTGAGGGATGTAAACTTGTGCCTGCCACTTTGCTACCAGCGGGCGCTTTGAAGTGATCGGCGAAGTAGACGACGTCCTCCAATGCCTGCTCCGTAGTTAGAAACTGCCATTGAGCCGCGGTCGTATTACTCTAAGAGATGAGAGCCTGTGTCAAGGTGACACACGCGAGCAAAGCGGGACCAGCCGTACGTTAACTGGGAAAGGTAACGAGTCACCGTAGTAACGGTGCTCCCACAAGATCGCAATTCCCTTGTACCTCTTTGCAGCTTGCATAGTGGCAGATAATCCATGATATTCCTACGTTTATGCATGAGATAATGACGGAGGCGACGTAAATGCAGTTGTTACCTGGAGATAGTATGGTACCAAAGGCTGCGCATCCTGTTCGCCAGAGTCAAATACTGGATATCGTCAACGATGACATTCATGGCGGGGGATCTATACATACTGAACACTGGTCCGCCCTTCTCGTAATAGGTATCGTTGATCCAATATCTGTTTTGGAACGTCCCCGAATTGTTGCCGAAATGGTCGAAAGGCATCTGAGTGCGGTAACGTTTGTACATGTGAGATCAAGCAACAGAAAGGCTCACCTGGAAGAATAGAGGATGGTTAACTGGTAGTTCCTCGTTGTTTGCCCTCACGGAGCCTTCTTTCACCCTCATCGAGGGAACCAGCCGACGTGCCAATCCAAGCCCAGCGAGGCAAGATGAGCCGAGTACGTAAAAAACAAGTAAGTTAAGCATCGCCCCAACGACGGTCGTATATGGCGAGTTTCGTTTACGACCGAGTTCCTTTTGCATCATCTACCACTCGATGATCCAGCTTATGAGGCTCGTCGATGGGGAAGATGCGCTGCCTTGCGGCTCCCCGCCAGCATCCAACGCACATGGCATGGCTTTATCTCCTGGCCGAATATAGCCACGATGTTGAGGAAGCGCATCGAACGCGGAGCTTCCTCGTCTATTTTTCACTCCATCGGCATTACTCATGGGTATCGCTGAACCAGAAAGGTCAGGCCTCTCATCATTACAACAAGCTCATCTGACCGTATGCACCTTCTAATTTCTGGTAGCTCTAACTACGAGCTCCGTAGGTCAAGGTCGATAAGCATCGCATCGGAGTTGCAAGAACCAGTAAAGATATCCAAGGTTCAAGTATCAGGGTTTCATATAAAGGTACCAGGCAACAGTGTTACAGCGCAGAAAGTGCAGAGGCTAAATCGGCGAGCTCTAGCGCGAAGGAGGACGGCAAGGAGGAAGACAGGCGCGACACGCGTACGAGCACGTGCCCGTAATCAACCGGGTAACCGGGCCGCTCAGCCGGCCCAACGTCTTCACCTTTCACCTCGTTGGGTGCTCTTCCGCCATCCAGAACTCCTGCCTGTATTGCCTCGCTCACTGTGTCTACAATTTGTCAGCTTTGATTGTCTATTTGGAAGAGGCTACAACGTTTTTACTGCATCTTACTAGCGTTGCAGAATCGCACGTCAATCAGGACCGCGCATCCGCATGCTCTGGCAATCTCTTTCTCAGGTCTGAACAGCTTGCGTACAAGGGAGTCTTCTTCGGAGAGACTGGGGCACAAACGACACGATGCGCGTCTCCCGTGTCGAGCTTCGTCTGTCTCGTTGATCCAGACCGCTGTATGTTTCAACAGAATCGAACCATTGTATCCTCTGGAGTTTATCTTCTGGCCGGCACGGGTTGCACGAGGGGCTGCGACCGGAAGTCTTGCTCGGTACCATTGTTTGGCCATACGATGGCAGCAATGAAATCTATGGCCGTCAGCGGAGATACGAATATGCTGAACGGAGTCACGACGTGATCGGTAGAGCTTCGTCGGCGAGTTGTCCAGCATGCCCGCTGACTGGACAACCCCCGTGTTGATCGTACAATACAACAGAATCTAGCGAAGCCCGAATCCGAGCTTATCGCTGTTTTGTTCGATGGCTCGCCCCAGTGGCATCTGATCGTCTGTACTTCTTGATGATGCTCGATAGAAGGCCCGAACTTCATGGAACACCAGTAACAGCCTGCAACAACCTGTGTTTTCGGCTTCTTCCCGAGTTGAGAAGGATCGTTAATGTGCGCTTGCGATATCCGTCGTTGACGCGTATCCCTTATATTTTGGCAGGTTTACTATGGATGTACCATCAATGCAATTTCGATTGCATTGATGGTTCAAAATCGTCATTTCATTGCCAATCCACCCAGAAGCTAGATCATATGGTAGCCAAAGCCATGTAGCAGCTGTATGTCAAACCTCAAATATTTTGCTACGCGGGATGCCTTGCCAGAGCGATGCCGGTAGGACGTGTCGATGACTCTGCAGATTGCACAACGGGTCCCCCAAGGCCGAGAAGCCGAGGCCGCGACCTTCTGGCGGGGAGATCCTGCAATCTGACCCTGCTTTGTCAGCATTTGAAGCGGAGCTTCAATTGCATTCATGGCACCTCCGCCAGTAATCCTTGCATAGCAAGCACAAAGTTGCAGATATCGCGTATCGGGATTGACAGACGTACCTTCTGTATAGTATAGAGTATACTTGAATATATTCAGATTTTTATCAGCTCAGATCCTCTGAGCCGAGCCGTGTCTTCATGCTAGAGCATGCTTGGATGGTTCCCCAAACGACGTTGCGCATTTTCTGGAGGCCCATCCCCTAATGCTTCGCTCTGTTCCTTTGGCACATATCATTAGATAGTACTGTATATGCACTCAATTTAATATGTAGGGATTAGGATGAGAGGGAGCCCCGCAGTGACGAGATTTCAGACCGATTGCATTGATGGTACACTATTGCATTTATGGTGCATCCATAGTAGACTTCGCTATTCATTCATTCGACAGCCCAGTGAGCACTTCGTCGGATATCTCCGGGATTTTGACAGGCATGAATTGTTTGCTGAACATGAAATACACCCAATAGAATGATCGATCACCGTTGACGTCGCGCACCGTATCCGAGCGCGCGATCCCCTCATATATTTGCCATCAATGCAGCGACGTATTGACACGCCGAATGCACATCTCGATGCGCCAAAAACGAATCGAAGGATCGTTCGAGCAAGTCTAAGCAAGTCAATGGAGCAGTATGCGCCCGTCGACCTTTTGATCGCTATCATAAGCCTCCTCGATTGCCACTCGCTCCAGTCCCTGCGAGTCCACTTCCGGCTTTACACCTGCCCCTCCGACTTCGACACTGGTCATGCCTTCCTTTACATACCTTGCGGTCGCCATTCTCGCCGCACTCGCTGCGTCGGGTTCTGTGCACGCGCACGAGCCCTCGCAGGTTCCCGGATGCGCATGGACTTGCGCGCCGTACGACAAGAACAACTATCCGCTCGACCAGAATTCGTCCGGCCCGGTCGAGAACACGCTCATCTGCCAGTATGAGGACCCAACGCTCACGTACAACCTTTGCACATTCTCTTCGGTATGCCGTTTCCGTTGATGAGCCTGCACGAATCTCGCGAAGAGCTGACTTTGGCGTCGTAGATCGACGGTTCCGTCATCAACAACAGGGGAGGTGTGTGTCCCGACCCGACATACCGGTGTACTGCGCAACGGCGCTACAAGTCGGAGGATAACTTCACCGCCGTCATGAGAAAGAAGAGGGCTGCCGGTCCCGCACCTCCCCAGACGTCTCGTCCAGATTATCTCCCAGGTCGTGCAATGGGTCAAATGCGTATCTAATCTCTACCTGCATGAAAAGAGTCAGTTGCACGTCATTCTCCGCAAAACATTCGCTCATTGAACACCTGCAGATCATGCTGGGAGGTTACTCCGTGCTGTTTATCTATACTTCTCCTTCTTCTAATCTTTTAATAATAGATGGTCATTCCGTGTCCCACTTGCTTCCAGCCACTCTTTTGATATTTTCCCTACCGCTACAGATAAACTCAGTACTCTACTACTGTCGTTACGAATCAGAGGAATACACTCGCAATATGGGTGTATATAGGTTTATTCCGCTTCCCACACACTCCCGGTTTTATGTAAAAGACATACACGGCATTGCTCGTGACTCGTGATCAATATGAGATAGCAACCTCCCTGTCTATCAGAGCATGCCACAGACATTCAGACGCAGCAGGCGTTTGCAGGAACAGCGATCGGCGACGGAAGAACATAGAAAAAGTAGCCCGAGAAAAGTTGGAAGAGGAGAAATTGCGAGGGGGAGAAGACTGGGCAACAGGTTACGGAACAGGCAAGCGGAGGATTCTGACGGATCTGAGTGGCACGAAGAAGAAACGGACAATGGGGAAGGCTCTGAGACTACGGAAACACAAGATGGGTTCGTGGCCGATATGGGATCCCTGGTCGACGACGACGCGGAGTGGACCGAGTCGAAGTGGCACGGTGAGGAAGAGCCCAACGGACATCATGAACATGCGGCACCGGCGACGCTGACAAGGCGACGAGCGAAGAGGTCAAGGGTGCCAGGCAGCTCCGAGGACGAGCCAGAGCAGAACGAGGAGAGCATTGGACGCAACGGGAGACAATACAATGCAGATCCGGTTGTTTTGCGGGCAGCGAAAAGACCGAAGATGTCCTTGAGCGTGGAGATTCCGCTACGTCGGAAGTATACAACAGTGGCGATCGGAGCAGGTCGCCACTCGCCGGTGGTGTGTACTTATTCGCTTTAACCATTTACACAAAGGTAAAATACGAGCTAGCTAGCAATGTTAACGACCGATATCCGCAGGACACTCAGCTATCTGGATCCTCTTGGGATGCTGGACGAGTTGGGAGCTTCTTCCAGATTGCCTGCCAAGGCGTCCTCTAGGCGTAAGAAGGCTCGCCAGGGCGATATCGCGCCTCAAGACAACAAACCGGGAATGGCAGCAAGCGTCACCATGGTCAGAACGGATCCCGAATCGTTTATTCTGGCGCAAACGACGTCGTCAAAGCAGAGCAGGCCTGGGACCGAATATGCGATGGCTTGAGAAAACTCGCGTCAGTAGCTGAAGCATTGGAGAGAACGATTCGGGAGAGTCTGGATGACATTGAGAGTTCGGGCGTACGCCATCATCGCGGGAGTAGAGATACGTACGATCGAATCAGGCTCACAGGTTGGTATAAGTTAATTGCCGTACCCTAGTATTCTAGACTGTTTCCAGATACGTCCGTCACCCTGTGATTGCTGCGCCGCTGGCCTGGTTCGCGGAATACCGACAGTCGAACAAACGCTCTCCGAGATGTATAGTATCAGTAACGATTTTGATAGCATGCAGTAATGTTGAGATTACAATTGCGAGCACGTAATGAGTCATGGTATCGTTTTTTAAGATGGTCCCCGGCACCATTCCCGGATACTCTGCACATCAGCATGTCACGCACCCCTGAAGAGCTCACCCCCGGTAGTAATTCGTCGGCACAAACGGCATGGGCGTTACGACCGCCTTGCGCAGTTTGTTCCGTACCTCGATTTCGACCTCCGTTCCCTTCTTGTGGTGCCCGTTTTTCACGTATCCCATGGCGATGTTCTTCCCGAGTGTCGGAGAGGGTATACCGGAGGTCACCACGCCGAGTTCCTCGCCGCTTCCCGGTGCGAGGATTTTAGCTCCGTCTATAAATTTGACGTGAGCATACAGATTAGGATCGGAGACTCGGAGACACATACGCCGGGCTGGCGCGCCCTCGACGATGAACCCAACCCGGCGACGGGGCGGGCCGTTTTCGAGGTGTTTCCTAACCCCTTCCGCGCCGATGAAGTCCCCACTCTTCCGACGTTCCTTACCTGGCCGCCAAAACCCGATATGATCAGCTTCCCATAGAGAAAGCCAGAACGAGGGCACCCACCGATGACCCATGTCAACCCGGCCTCAACGGGGGTGGTATCCTCGTCCAGGTCCGATCCATAAAGGCACATCCCTGCTTCTAGGCGAAGGCTATCCCGCGCCCCAAGTCCTGTGAGCTGAATAGGATCCTTGGAGAGCATCTGCGCAACTTCGACTGTTTGACTCGGCGGTATCGAAATCTATTGCAGTTCAATCAGCGTTATTGGAATGACCTCGGGCAGATAACTCCTTCTGATAGAAAGCTTGGGAGTACCTCGAACCCATCTTCCCCCGTATAACCTCCGCGAGCGACGTGCAAGTGAAACCCTTCGATCGGCACGAACGCGGACTTGCCGAAGGTAAGATTACGCAGGTCAAACGACGTGAGTTGCTGGAGATAGCTCGCTGCTTTCGGCCCTACGTACAACCCGGGAAGTCAGCGATGTCTCGCTCGCAGAGGCCGAACTTCGAGAAACAGAAGAGACGACACAACGTACCTTGCAACGCGAGCAGGCCCCAGCCTTCCAGCACTTCCATCTCCACCCTTCCCTTCTCTTTCGCCACCGCTCCCGCGTTCCACTCCTCGAGTTGGGTAGCGAACCACGTGAGATCCCGCTCGCGCCGCCCGGCATTGGTTACGACATAGAATGCGTCGTCGGCATGTTTGGTGAGGATTGTATCATCGATGATCCCGCCGCGTTCGTTGAGGAGAACAGAGAGTGTCGAAGAGTAAGCTTGCAGGGGGCCAAGAGAGGAAGGTGTTAGATGTTCGAGGAACGCAGTTGTGGAGCCGCCACGGAAGCTAATACGAGGCGAATCCGGTTATATTGCAGTTCTAATAGATCCGGGGAGTGCGACATACTTCGTCTGGACCATATGGCCAACGTCAAACAGACCCGCGCTGGACCGCACATGGTTATGGCTGGCGACTGAATGTGTTGAACAGGTTCGGCAATGAGCCGCCAAACGAGAGGCTGCAATTTGCTAACCTGCCCCAACGCTGCCGTACGACAGCGGCATCGCGTACCCCGCGAACGGCACCATCTTCGCGCCGTGTTCGACATGAAAGTCGTACAGTCCAGTTTTCCTGAGCTTGATCGTCCCGGAGGGTAGAGCAGACGCAAAAGAAACAGAGCAGATGTGATTTCAGCGGGTGAAAGGGGCATAGCAGGCGGTACCCCTCACCTCACCGGGGCTCGCGTCGCTCGCAATCGCAAAACAACGCCTGCTAGAGCGCACCGCTGCCGGCGTGTGGGTTTTGAGGAGGGTGCGGAGCATGGTCAACACGGAGCACGTCGGGCTCCCGGTCTCGCCGCCTGAAGCTCAACCTGGATCTTTACGTCGGGCAACGGCAAGCGGGTACAGCCACCCCCTAAACAGTGATATGGCTCGAGTAGGAGGCAAAGTGCACTCAGGCAATCAACCTCGTATCAGGTTGAAACGACAGGGATACATCTATTGCGCACAGTTACAAGGAGGGTAAGGCACGATAAGAAACAACAACGTAAACGACAGCAACCGGAGGCGAATACGAAAGCGAAAGCGAACATCGAAAGCGAAGGTGATAAGGATACAGAACTCGTCGGATTGGAAACAGTTTTTCACATAGGAGGAGACCTAGATGTGTAGCCTACGGGCTATGCGTGACATTCACGTGTATAACAGCGAACGACCCGTGTGGAATTCAATGGGTCGGCGAGGACGGCGAGGTGGGCGAATCCCAAGTGTCCTTTGCGAACGGGTCGACTGGAGATTTGCCTTCTCCAATCGTGTCCTCGTCAACAAGAGTAGAACCTTTGCAGCTCAACGAGCTGCAGCGTTATATGAGTACCGACTTGTCCTTGGCCATCGAATAACGGCTTACCGTTCCGAATGCAGAACGTTCATCCGAACGACAGACGTGTCGAGCGTTGGCAAAGGAGGCCGAACAGTAGAAGCAGACATCGACCGGACTTTACTCGGGGGCGCGAACTGGATTCTGGTAATGGTTTGGACAGAGCTGCACAGGGACCAACAGCGTTGAAATATATAAGACGGAGGAGCGGGAGGGCGCATACTCGTGGAGAGGGAGACAGAACTCTGACAGTCCTCGGTAGACTCTGGTCGAGCCTATGGCACTATACAAAGATTGAGACATGCACGCTACATGTTATTCGTAATTGATACTCACAGGCATATCATGCTCGCAGGGAGGAACATCTGGAGACTCGTTCATAACTCATGCAAGCTTGAGTAAATTGTGCCCACCAGGTTCATCACATCTAGCAACATGTCAGCTCTAAGCGATTGCCCTCAAACAGTATTCATACCGTTCAGGTTGAGGAAAGTCAGGATGACTAAAGGAATCATGGTAAAGGCGGGAATAGCAGTGCATATGATGCCCTACAAGATGCGTTGACATCAAGCAGGAGGAAGGAGGGCCGAAGGCGTACCTGCTGCCAAACCAGCTCCCAGAGTTTTCCTGGGTTCTTAGTGTTCCGTACGCCGGCCATCAACCCGAACAGTAGAGTAAAATGCGTGACTGCAATCACGAGAAGGTTGATTCGGTTATTGTCCGTGTGACGCAGCATGCATGAACCATATGATGGCTCGTAGAAAGCATCTCGTTTCGCCTGAAAAGACAGCGAACTCAGGATCCGCACCAGTCTCGTAACTAGACGAGCATACCGTGATGATACCTATATTCCTGCCATTAGCTAAGAAGACATCGGGGAAGGACACGAATACTTGCCAAAGCAAGCAAAGATAGTTTGCGTGAGCCACACTGCAGCCAGCGGTATGACCGCCCAAATGCGATATCTCCATAGTGCTACACTGCGTTCAGGTCAACAAACGAAGGCCTGGAGGGGAAAAGGAGAAGACTTACATTCTTACAGCCAGCAGAGAAGTGACGCCAATGACCGTGGTATAGCCAAATGCCTTCACGAGATTAAGTAACATGTGGACTCCTCTAGAAGCTTTCACGTACAAAGGTTATAGTTATCCAGCGCTGAACAGAGCGTCAATTGACAGGAAGAGAAGCATGGGTCGACAGAACGCACCTTGCAGTCGATCCTGACTACGTCGTTCAAGTTGATTCCTACAAGAAAGCACAGGACTAGCGCTAGGCTTGACCACCGAACCAAGAGGTATAACTAGGTAGCATCGCATCAATGCACGAAAAGCGCCGGTGTAGCCTACCACTCACGCTCGTTGTCCACCTCCACGGTCTCTGGCGCGTGTATATGCTCCAATCATAGGGTAACGATTGGCCGAAGTTGTAACTAGCCCGATATCAGCATTACCATGTGGCACCCCGATCGTGCATCTTAAACTCACCAGAAGACGCCACAAAGAAAGTGCACAAGCCTTTGAAATCCCTCTGCGCAGGCGTGATTATCAATCACAGTATCGCACAGCCTTTGCACACGATGGTAAGCTTACGGGCTTGAAGGGCGATGACCTTTGGATCGTCCCAGTGTACCATCTTCTTGACCCCCTACTGCGCTGCGCAAGATGATCAAGGGATGGTGGGTGAGGCGCTGTCGCGGTAGGACGTCGGGGGCGGGGGACTCGTGTCCGCGAGCGCTGCGACATATTAGGATTATCAAAAAAGAAGCAGAGGGTAAAAATACCGGCGCACGTCAGACCGTTCGATAGAAGGTAGGGACAGCAAAAGCGTATTCGAACGCTGGTCCGAGTTCCCCTCTGAATGGCGGCGGCGCCCGCCCGCGCCGTCTTGTAACTTTAAGCAGAGGGATGGATAGTGGAAGATGAAGAGTCCGCGAAAACGTGAAGTGCTTGTATGACAGGCTTGCGGTCCCCCGCACAGCGGCCGTATTGGTGGCGAGAGCGGAAGCCTCAAACTCCGCTCATGATCCATGGAGAACGTATCGGGCCAGAAATGAAGTTGCCGCGAACGTATTCACCAGCCATCCGGAACTCGTTCGCGAAGATGAGCATGGGAGTCGCGGGCGTTGCAAGAAGTCGAGTGGCGCGTTCTGAGCGCGCCGCGCGGAGCTGGCGCGACGCGTTCCCACAGCGGGCGGACCCAAACTTCAAAGGTGGCCGTAATAGGCCGATAGCACCGGATTTCTGGTGGGGCAAACGTCGTTCTCTTCGACGGAGCTGGGAAATCGATAGGCAGCTTCAATGAATACGCCATACAGATGCGAATTCTATAAAGACCCGGAATAGGACATGTCCGTGTCTCGGCCTGTGGTACCTTAATTAATGAAGGTGCGACTGGGATGATGTATGCGCTGTGCAAGCTTGGAGGAGCCTCTGAGGAGCATCGATACATCCTCCGGTCGCTTGCTGTTATGTATGCTGAGAACCTGATGCGCCGTCGCCGCGGGCTCTGGTCCCTGTGACAACTTGGGCTGATCTTCAATGGTCGGAAGAGGGTATCGTAGGGTGGAAAAGTCAATGCGCATTCCCATGTCATCTCTGAGAATGTGTATCCGCGGCAAGCCATCAGGGCGGCATGATAGGAAGGAAGAGAATGCCGTAGGCTTGGCGTAAAAGCGCAGAGCGTACTCACAGAGGATACGCTTGCAGACCATTTTTGCAGGTACATTGTCGAATTTCTTGGATCCATCCATTACCAGCCCTGAGCATTGGGCGTCAATTCCACCTTGAACGAGAACGAGCGTTGACGACGTTTGCGCTGCCTGAGGTTCGTGCGAAGAGATGCCCAGTTTGCACAACACTCGGCTTGCAGGAGGAATCCTCCAGAAGACTTGTTGGCTTGAGTGAACAGCGACATTCCGAAGAGATCGCATTGCAGTCTCAGGCAGAGCACGGAAAAGACGTTTGACGAGACGCAGAGACCTTTGGCGAGGCACTGTGTTAGTTACGTAATACCGCAAGTTATGTACGATAAGTGATTTATGGCTTTGTTCCTTCGTAACCGCCCTGATGATAGATCTGTCATGCTAATAGCTATTCTGACCGCGCAGCCATGTCGCCCTCATATATCGCCGCTGTTGCGCTTTCTTCACCGTGACTAACCCTCGGAGCAGGTTACATGAAGCACTGGCCGCAGAAAGCTGCTGTATCCTCCAATGCGAAGAGACCACCGGCAGAGATACCTGATACCGCTCCTGCGACGAGCAAACGTCCTCGGAAGGCCCCCCTTCAACTTCCACAGGAGATCCTCGAGGAGATCATTGACGAGGGAGAGTTCAAGGCATGGAGTCTGGTATGCAAATCGATGCTGCCCCGTGCTCGCGCCAACATGTTCCACAATCTGTACATTTGCAATGTGACCCAGGTCGACGCCCTCATTTCCCTTCCTAACAGCGAAATGGCCATCTTCGCCTACGTGCGCGTACTCAAGCTATGCCATTCCCCCGTTCTCGGCTTGCGTGAAGCCTCGTCCGCATGGGCGATGTCGTGCCTCCCCGTTCTGCTCCAGCGCATGCCCATGTTGCGATGCCTGCATTTGATCGGATTTCAGGCGCACGACTCTACCACAGCGGGCGCTATACACGCCATTCGCGTACACCCGCACCTCACCTCCATCACATTCCGCAGCTGCGAATCTCTCCCGGCATTCTTCTTCTCTATCCTCTCCGCGTTTTCTCGTATCTCTTTTCTCACGTTGGATAACGCTGGGTTCATACCTTGGGAGGTCAATCACTACAGACCCCCACCCCGGATGTTGCGCATCGATGCACTCTGCCTCAACTTCGCTAACATGCGACCAGAGCTTGCGTGGCTGAAGAGGACGCTCGAACCTGGTAGCTTGCAGGAGCTCCGATTCATTTCGCAGTATGACTACTGGACGGGCCGTGTGGACTGTGCAGCGCTGACTCCGTTTTGCGCGAGTCATCGATTGAGTCTGCGGATCCTTGAAATCAAAACATTGCTGTCGACAGATTATCGAGGTCCGCTACGAGATGCTCTCTTCCTAGAATAATCCTCATTGGACTCGTCTAGATGTGTGCACTATCGTTCAGCAATTAGTTTCTCTAGAACGTCTTTCGGTGTCAATATGCGCCGTGCGACAACCGATTGATTCGGATAAATCCCTTCAATGGGTCGGAGGTCTGGTATACTTGTTTGCCTCCTTACCTGCGACCTGTCAATGCGTGGACATCGACGTCCTTCCGCCCTACGCACTGCTTTGCCCTCCCGGGGTGCTTCCCGACCCTGGACCAGGATTCGACCATACCCGACTTAACCAGTTCCTCGGCCACTTGAAGATATTGGCAGGTCTGGTGGCGTCGCGCAGAGACGTGGTGATCGAATTATATATGGGCAGCGGGTTCGCGTTTGAGCAGAGGGATTCGATGTGCGTCGGTCGTGACGTGGCGGAAACGATGTTCGAGCAGCGCGGGTTTACGAAAGCAGCTCACCACGGTGGGCATGGTTCTCAAGCCCTCAGAGGGCGAGTTAGTAAGTCTAATTTGTTGAATCACGTTTTCGTTTGGTCTTACGAAAGCCCATCAGGTTATTCCCTCGGCATAATGATCCAGCCGCTCTACTGGATTCGGCATGGCTTCTCAATCAAGATGGAATATTTATACAGTGTACAGTTGAGCCAACTTCGAGAATAGCAACGCAGTGATGCATATTTCGAATGTTGGTGGCCAAATTCCAATCACATTTCCCGATGTGCCTTCATCCGATAAAGTGGGCATTGCAGCGATGATTGCGGGGCGCGGGGCCTCCGTTATTGATGTATGCGACGATTATGCATCTGATCGTCCGTTGACATTCGGTCGATCGAAGATCGAGATGGCGTTCGACCAGTGAGCCTGGATACATTCGGGAAAGGCGTTCGTGAGCGTTGTCGTGGGGCTCGCGTATCATGAAGGTCCTGAAGGCGCTCCTCAAAGACAATGGACTGCTTTCTTCGCACTATCGGAAGCGTGTAGAAAGCGTAGGCGATCCGGCGGTTTCCATTCAATACGAAGGTCACTGGGTTGCGGCATGTACGGAATGATCGCTTTGGTATCTGCAACGTTGTGGCTGCAGCTTTCATACATGTCATGAAGAGTTCATCAATACTGGACTTGAACAAAAAGTGCGCACCGCTGTGAGCTAGGAGGCATGTACCGCACCGAGGGGTAGAGTGCCTACGTTAGGACTATCCGATCCTCGACGATGGCAGTAATACCAACGACAGCTCCAGCCTTAGCACAAGCGGATAGACGGTGCTGGCACCTTGTCTGTAACTGAGGATAATGCATCATTCACCGAGCACGGAGGCGTGAGGACAAGTTACCGGCGTGTGCGCGCCTCGCCTCTCAGAGTGGCCTTCCGGCAGGTGCCAGTCAAGCGTTGTGCCCATCCCCTTACCTCGATTTGACCATGGATCTTCAGGACATCTGGCTAGCATCTCGAGCGCGGGTGACGCGCAAGACTTTCAAGTCTCTGCAAGAGCTGTACAACATCGCTGTTCCCCGATTAAACCAAGCCCAAAAATCACGGATCAAGGACTTGATACGCAGCAACCAGCTCGGGATGGCGAAAGCATTCCTTGAGGGTGTTGTGTCCACCACATCCCTTCCATGTATGGAAGGACAGCTGGAGTCGGATGGATCAGCAAGCTACCACAATGCGGAGGATGTAGGCAGTGATAGAGAAGTAGCGGTCTGTGGCAATTTTTATGTCCACCACATTCATCTCCACCCAGGTCTGAGATGGTTGGCTCCTTTCTGCCCAGGTGCTACACGTCTGTAATGCGTGTCTGAAAAAACAACTACGCTGCACCTGGAACCGCATCGAAGAAGGGCAAGCCAAGCGATCCTCCTGCGATCGCTGCAGCCGGATGAAGATCAAGTGCAGGACCAAGGGCGACAATGACTCACGGAATTGACGATCGGCCAGCATTGTGCGGCTATAATGTTGAGTCCTAATATTGATCACAATCGATGCGGTCCTAATGTCTCGGCCAGTCTCATCCGAACCATCTGAGCCCTGTTGTAAAGCTCCGTTGCAAGCACACACAATGTACGAAAGATTGGTGTTTACACTACTGGCAGTATTTTCATCATGCTTGTTGATCTTCTCGACCAATCCGATCCAGTGTTTCGAAGTCCTGTGTCTGTAAGTTCTCCATAGCATGCTGTCATTCGCTATGAGCTTGCCGGGTGTTTCCTAGCGGAACCTGAGTTGTCAATGCATGTCACGCGGCATTCCGAGCATGCTCAGCCTGTAGCGGGAAGAATTATCCGAGCTTAATGGCAGCCAACTGCTGCGGATCGTCAGTAACTTCAGTGTCAGCCATTGGCGGGGTCTTCGGCACCATCGCGTCGGAATGGCGGATTGCGGCGATCCGATACTGTCCAACCAAGAGTGAAGCGATCCGATACTTCATAACCAAGATTGAAGTGATCCGACCGTGAAAACACTGGTTCCGATCCTCGCGCTGGTCTCAATCGATTGTTCTTCCTCGAGCAACGCCTGCCGACAAGAAAGAGGGAGAAGTTTTTCGCTGTCGGAATTCGCATATGCGACGTACCCAGCTGTCGGAATGCCTCGTGCTCGTATGTAACTTCAATGTCGGCCGTTGGCAGGATCTTCAGCACTATTGCGTCGGAATGGTCCATTGCGGCGATTCGATACTTTCGGAACCAATATTGACGTGATCCGATACTTTCATTACCAAGATTGAAGCAATCCGACCGCGAACCCAGCTGTCGGAATGCCTCGTAATCGTCTGTAACTCCACCGTCGGCCATTGGCAGGATCTTCAGCACCGTGGCGTCGGAATGACCGATTGCGGCGATCCGATACTTTCCAACCAGAACTGAAGCGATCCGATACTTAATAACCAAGATCGAAGTGATCCGACCGTGGAAACACTGGTTCCGATCCTCGCGCTGGTCGCAACCCGTTGGTCTCTTCCTCGAGCAACACCTGCCGACAAGACAGAGGGAGACTCTTCTCACTGTCGGAATCCGCATATGCGACGTACCCAGCTGTCGGAATGCCTCGTAATTGTATGTAACTTCAACGTCGGCCGTTGGTAGGATCTTCAACACTACTGCGTCGGAATGGTCCATTGCGGCGATCCAATACCTTCGGAATCAATATTGACGTGATCCGATGCTTTCATAACCAAGATTGAAGCAATCCGACCGCGAAAGCACTGCTTCCAATCATCGCACTGGTCGCAACCCGTTGACCTTGCTTGAGCGACGCCTGCCGACTAAGACAGAGGAAAAAAAATTCTCACTGTCGAAACCCGTATATGCGACGTATCTCCGGCGGTCGGAATGCCTCGTAGACCATCCACCGAGGGTTGCTGATGCATTATGAGGGTCTGTTCGTGCACCGTCGTAAACTGTCACAGCGTTCGCCAAGGTGCTATTGCACACCGTCGGAAAGCACAGGGTACCGTCGGACGCGGCCAAAGATTCGTCAAAGCCATCAATGTGCCGTTATTGATCATTCGCATAACGTCGGAGGCTGTTATACATGGGCAGTTGTGCACATAGCAGGAGACCGCGGGGCACAGTCAGAGGCCCGTCATATCGTGGGAAAGCGTTGATGCGACGCCCGATTCTCTCCGCAATCCGAGACAGTTTTCCTGCCCTTCGACGCCATCGCCGCTGTCGGATAGTGGAAAGCAACCCAGCGTAATCTTTGCTCGATATCACCGGAGGCTTGTGCACCCCGAAAAGGAAGTGCGCTAAGGCATGCCAAGTCTCCGCCAATGCGAGTCCAATTACAGCCTGCAAATTGATTGCATGTCCGAGCGCTCACATTATTGCACGTACGTTACCACATACCGACTCTATTCCCTTTATGCAAATCGGAAGAAGACAAGGCAGTACTACGGATCGATCAATTGATTCTGTTCCGTTTCTATCTGATGGTCATCGGCATCGGAGATAAGTAAATGACGATTATTCCATGTTTCGAGCATTTAATCCTGGCGCGCTAGCGACTCGATTCTCCCTGACGTTGAGAACGCGTTCTTTATATTACCCGCCGTTACGCTTCGTCTTACTGGTCGGACGCCATCGCGGCGGGTATCGACTTCATTCTGCTGAGTTAAAGACTCGGACGGATGCGACATCGATGCTTCTCGTCATACTACGCCGAAAGGCACGGCAGCGTTCGCCATTCCCTCACCATGCACCACTGGAAAGGGCCTCTCCATTGAGTGGCCTACGCTTGCGATATCCTCTTGGAGCGGTAGGCTGGGCGATTTCGAGAAAGTCAATCGAAACTCGGTCGTCAAGTTTGATGGATGAAGTTTGCTCCTCCAAGCGAAGACCGTTCTCAGCGGTTTGCCCCCCCGCTCGCCAACTAGCAGACACGTTGGTGCTTCGTTTCGACGAAACGGGGGACGTTTGCCGACCTCGACGATGCGCTTCAGCTGGAATCGCACCGCTCTGGGTTCACATAGGGTCAGCTGCAGGAAATGCATAATGTTGATGATGCATAGCAATGGGGGGTGACCGACGCTATGCGTTATGAGATGTTCGACTTGTATGCGTAACCCGACGACGTGGCGTACGCACTACATGATGGTGTACAGGCGCTTCGTGGCGTGCACGGCGATCCAAGTCTGTGGGCGACATACGTTCACTTCGGTATATGATGCGGCGATGCTCGTATCCTGGGCAGTTGCTGGTGGGGCATGGATCGTAGAGGCAGCGAGCCAAAACAGGTCGGTGTCGTCGGAGGCGGGTGTGTGCTTCGGGGTTAGGATTCGGTCCGGGGGGAAAGTGGTTGGGCAGGTTTGCTTGGAGCTCGAGAGCGAAGTAGGCTCACGCCTTCGACTATGTAGTATGAGCGTCTTAGTTGGACTTACACCTTGCAGGGTCAAGCACGCCGGTAGATAATCAATGATTGGATTGTCGTTGAATATAGACGGAAGCATGAAAGCAACAAACAAAGGGCAAGATCTTTCGTCGCAACGTGCCCGCAATCGCACGCAACACAACGATCTCGGGGCACGAGGCAGATCTCGCCCTTGTATACATCGAATCCAATCTTGCACCCTTCCTCCTCGCTCCCTTGCGTTACCGTATGTCGCGTATGTCCGTCCCATATGTTCTCCCGCTCGCCCCGAGGATGTCGCGGGTGGACGAACGATGGGGCGACCCGACCGGATCCGGGAAACGATGAATCATTGCCGTAGCACGTGTCGCCTCCGCTATCTGACCCGGCTCTGACTGGGACTGACTCGCATCCTTTGCACGTTCGTTCGTCCATCCGCCTCAAATCCGACTGACTGGCAGCTCATCTTCGTCCGACGCCCAACGTTACTTCACCCCCCAACCTCTCGAGGCCACCTTCCTCGAGACCAAACGCCCACCGCGAACGCGCCAGGTAGATCATCGCCTGGTCCCAGTTCGCACCGAGCGAGTCGTACCGGCGGCTTGCTCACCTCGACCCCCACCGCATGAGCGCCCTCCATGCGCTCTTCCACCTCCGCGACCAGCAGCGGTTTCAGCGCCAGCTGGACGCCTCCAAGGCCGCCTTCACCGCCTCCTCCGCCGCGAAACAGGCGTCCTCGCTCAACCTCAGCTCGTCCGGCGGCCGCTCGTGGTCCAAGCCCAGCCCGCTCTCCTCGGCCAGCGGCGGATCGGGCGCGGGCGGTAGTCTCGACGTCAACGCGAGGGACTGGCTGGGGCGCACGGTGCTCCACCTCGCCTGCGCCGCCGTCGAGCCGCACGCGCTCGAGTGCGTCCGGCTCCTGCTCGCCCACCCCGGCATCAACGTCAACCTCGCCGACGCCGAGTCCCACTGGACGGCCCTCCACCGCGCCCTCTACGCCGGCAACCTCCCCGCCGCGTGCGTCCCTTCTTATTGCCCCCGCTTTCTCCCGCCACTCGCACTCACCCACGCTTTCACCCAGAATCCTACTCCTGAAGCGCGCCGACACCGACACGTCGCTCAAAGATCTCGAGGGATACACCGCCTACGACCTCTACAACGCCACGCTCGAGGGCACCAAGCCCTCCCCGCTCTCCCCCTCCTCCCATCAAGGCGCCGAGCTCTACACCTGGGGCGCGAACCGCAACGCCGCCCTCGGCCTCGGCGACGCCTCCGACCGCGCCTTCCCCGAACCCGTCCCGCTCCGCCCCGCCACCGCCGTCCCCGCCACCGCCCCGCTCGCCGCACGCTTCAGCCCGCTCGCCGTGCGCGCCGTCGGCATGTCCAAGCTGCACACCGTCGTCGTCGTCACCTCTTCCCCCCCTTCCTCCTCCACATCCTCGTCGTCGGCGGCGGCGAAAGGGGACAACGTGCGCGCGTGCGGGTTCGCGTCCACGGGAAGGCTGGGGCCGTCCCAGCCCGCGCACACGACGCAGTTCGCTCTCCAGCCCCTAGGCCCGACGCCGGCCTTCCCCCCGGGGGCGGACATCGTCGCCGTCGCGCTCGGCCAGGACCACACCCTCGCCCTCGCGCGCACGGGCGAGGTCTACTCCTGGGGCCTCAACCGCTTCTCCCAGCTCGGCTACGCCATCGACCCCTCGCCCTCCTCCGCCGCCGCCGCGGAGGAACGGGACCTGGTCCAGAGCACGCCGAAGCGGATCATGGGGCCGCTGAGGCGGGAGGCGGTGAGGGGCGTCGCGGCGTGCAAGACGGCGAGCGCGTGTTGGACGGAGCGGGAGGTGTTCACGTGGGGGACGAACCACGGGCAGTTGGGGTACGACAGGGCCGCGCAGCCGGTCCAGGTTCAGCCCCGGATCGTGACGAAGATCACGCAGCCGGTCAAGGCGATCGCGATCACCGTGCGTCCGACGCCGTGTTGACCGAATCGGAACCGACGTTTTGCAGCTGACGCGTTTTCCATGTTACACAGGACCACGCGATGGCGTGCCTGCTCGCGTCCGAAGAGCTCATCTGCATCCACAACGACCGCAGCTTCAAGATCAAGTCAGTCCCCCGCGGGGGTTTTTTTTTTTTTTTTTCCGGCCTTCATGGTTTATCCTCTGACCAAAATCCACAGCTTCCCGGCTCAATGCTTCCCGTCCGAGATGACGCCCTACCGCCCGCCGGCCGCGATCCACGTGCGGAAGGTGACCGCCTCGAATTCGGGCTCGGGCTTCGCCGTGCTCTCCTCCGCCGGCGAGGTCTTCACGTTCTCCCTCCCGCCGCCGCCGCCGCCCGGCGACCCGTCGCCGGCGGAGCTCGCGAAGCCGCGCCCGCAGCGCGCGTGGGACAGGCGCAAAAAGTTCAGCGCGGCGACGGACGTTGCGCTCGGCGCGGACGGGGCGTTGGTGTTGTGCACCGAGTCGGGGCACGTGTACGTGCGCGCGGGTGGAGGCAGCGGGGCAGGGGGAGGGGTGGGAGGAGGAGGAGGAGGAGGAGGAAAAGGGGGGAAGAGGTTTCAGCGCGTGCCGGGGTTGCAGCGCGTCGTGGCGGTGTGCGCGAACGAGACGGGCGCGTTCGGCGCGTTGAGGGCGGACGCGAGGCCGGAGCGCATCGCGTGGAAGCAGCGCGGGGTCGGGGTGGATGTGGGACGGATGATGCCGTTCGCGGCGTGGGGAGCGGTGGGGGACGTGCCGGTGGGCACGAGGACGCGGCCGTGCGCCGCGGTGCAGGACGAGGGCGACGAGGAGGAGGAGGCCAAGGTGAAGGTGATCCGGGAGGAAGATGGGGAGGAGGAGGAGGAAGACGGGAACGAGGCGGTCGAGCGGGACTTGAGGATGCTGGAGAGGCTGTGCGGGTTGTTGAGGGAGGATAGGGAGTGTCGAGAGGCGAGAGGGTGCGGCTTGTTCGCGCGCCCGGGCGAGATGGGCCGGCATGGCGCGAATCTCGAAGTGCGGGTGGAGGAGGGCGGGCTCGTGTTCCCCGCGCACGCGCTTGTCGCCGCGGCGCGCTCGGCCAGGATGGCGGCCCTCCTTCGCGCGGGCGCTGGCGAAATCGGGTCTCAGCACGTCCGGGTGCGGCTCGGCGCGACGGAGGATGGCGGCGAGGGCAAGCCCCGGCTCGCGTTTGTGGGCTGCGGTCCGCTCGCGGTGTTGGTGCTCTGGGTGTATCTGTACTCGGACGAGCTGCTCGCGGTGTGGGACTCGCGCGTGAGCTGGGCGCTGCGCGGCCGGCTGGCGGAACTCGGCGTGGACCCCATGAGAGTGAGAGGGGAGCTGGTGGGGCTGGCGAAGGTGCTGGAGTTGCCGGCGCTGGAGGAGGCGTTGGGCCCGTTGGAGAAGCGCGCGGTGAGGGTGACGATGGGGGACGACGTGCGCGCGCTGTACGAGGCTACGGCTGCGACGACGGCGGAGAAGGCGGGAGGGAGAGGGCTTGCGCGCCTGCTGGCGCCCGACGTCGTGCTCAGGCTCGCGGACCGCGACGTGCGCTGCCATTCTCTGCTCCTTCGCGCGCGCTCGCCGTTCTTCAGGAGCTTCTTCGACGAGCCGGCGTGGACGCGCGAGCGGACGGGATCCGGGGTGCTGGAGGTCGATCTGCGCCATTTGCGCTGGCGCGCGATGCGGTTTGTGTGCGCGTACGCGTGCGGGGCGGAGGACTCTGGGGCGATGTTTGACGTGCTCGAGTTCGTGGAGGGCACGGACGAGCTGGTAGATTTCATGTTCGAGGTGATCGCCGCCGCGGTGCGTTTTCTCCCTCGTCACTATTTCCCTGTGTTGCCCGCGGTTCCTGATCAACGCGCGTCTCCACAGACGGAACTGCACCTTGACAGGCTCGTGCTCCTCTGCGCGGGCACGCTTCTCCCCTTCGTCAACCTCGCCAACGCGTGCGCCGTCCTCTCCGACGCGACGTACTACTCCGTCCGGCCGCTCGTCCGGCGCGTGCAGCGCTACCTCGCGCTCCACCTCGAGACGCTGCTCGAGGGCCAGATGCTCGCAGACCTCGCGCCGGAGCTCGTCCGCGCGCTCGGTGCGTTCGTCCGCGCGGAGCAGGCGAGGCGCGCGCCCGTGACGCGGTCCGGCGCGCTCGCGGAGAAAGCGCGCGCTGTGTTCGGGGACTGGTTGGAGATGCAGGACGTGCCGAGGCCCATCGTGCCTTCTGCCCGAGCGCCGATGAAAGAGAGGGAGTCGTCGCCGCGATTGTCGCCGCCGACGCCGTATAAGGAGCAGAAGGGGAGGAAGCAAAGCCTGCAGCCGACGACGTTGCCCACACCCGTGCGTGCGCCCGCGGTCGGCGAGGGCGACGATATCTTCGCAATGGATGCGGAGCCGTCTGTGCCTGCGTTGAGCTTGGAACCGCCAGTTCTGACAAGCCCGCCGGAGCTACCTGCAGCATCGGATGGCAAACCCTCCGCACCGCGATGGAAGCCAATCACAAACGCGCCGAGGTGAGCCAGGATGCGATCCGGGGGGCAGATAACTGACCTGAGTGCGGCAGGGCGGACATGAAGTCAATCATGGCCGAGGCGGAGACGTCGTCGTCGAAGGGAAAGGCCCCGGTTGCGGGCCCCTCGCCCTCCAGGGTGCCTATTGCGGGGGGATGGCGCAAGGTATCCTCGCCCGCGACTTCGCTCGCCGTGTTAGCGCCCGAACCCCCCGTCTCGACTTTGACGTGGCGTGCAGGCGTTCCCGTCCCTGCACGCGCACCATCTGCCTTGGATACGCCGCGCGCGACGCCCCCTTCATCCGGGCTTGCGCAGACGCGGCCGGTTGTCGCATCGGGGCCGTCCACGCCGATGAAACCAGGTTTGCAGCCGCGTGCGCAGCCGTCCGCCAATGCGCAAGGGCCCACGATCAAGCCTGCGCGGCAGCCGTCGTCTTCCAACTCGTCCCCTTCCATAGCGCGGAAAGCTTCGTGCGTCCTCATTCTTTCTTGGGTAGTTTCCGTCTGACATGGCTCCATTCATATCAGTGGCGGAACGGGCAAAGCATGGACGCTCCCTCCCGTCCAGCCCGTCGCCACGCCCGCCGTCCCAGGACCGGCGCCATCCCTCGTCGCGATACAGCAGGCACAGCTCGAGCAAGGGCTGCCACAAGACAAAAACAAGAAGTCGCTGAAACAGATCCAGGAGGAGGAGCGCGCACGGCAGGAAGAAGAAGACTTCCTGCGATGGTGGGCGGCCGAGGAGGAGAGGCTACGTCTGGAGGAGCTACAGCTTCAGCAGGAGCAGCTGCTTCTCGCTCGGGACCCGGTCGATCCGCAGAAGAAGAAAGATGGGCCAAGGAAGGGAAAGCGACCTACGAAAGCACCGAAGAACCTGGATGTCCCAAATCCCGTCGAACCTCGCTCTACGGCTGAGCGGGCCGGCCCTGAGCAAGCACTTGGTGCTCCACGACCCGGCCGCGGAGGGCGCGGCGGACGACGCCATGCGAAACCAAGACATGCCCCTGAAACGTCGACGGCGCAACTGTAATAGCAAGAGCAAGGACCAGTTCTCTATATCATCATACGGTTATGTTCTATTTTATGATACATGTATAGCTACAGATGGAGTGGTGTGTTGTGTTTCGACTATCGTGTAGAAATAGACATGCAATAATGTAGATGTTCTGTCCGAGGGAATTTATTCATTCAGTCCACGTCGTCCGCAGGGACGACGGGAGCTGCCGATTGGTTCGAGGCAATCGTGCTATCCGGCGGGTGGTTGTCCTTGATGTCGAGGGAGTTGCCGTCCTCGCTTACACGAATGGACACGGTGTCTCCATCGCTGTAAGGGGAGTAAGCACGTATTCTAGGCATGAAGGGTTCATTCGAATGAGTGCTCACCGAATGGTGCCATGAAGCAGCTTGCGCGCCAGGGGGAACAGGACATCCGTACGGACGACGCGTGCAATGGCGCGTGCACCGTATACGTCGGAGTATCCCTCCTTAGCCAGCCATTCCTTCGCCGCGTCGTCGACGTCGAGCTCAATCCGCCGGTCCTTCAGGCGCTCCGCAACGTCCTTGAGCCGAAGCGAGACGACCTGGAGGATCGAGTTCTTGGACAGCTTGTTGAAGACGAGCATCGAATCGAGTCGGTTGAGCAGCTCAGGCGGGAAGAACTCGGACGTGCGTTCGAGTACCTCACGCTTGGCTTCCTCGGTGACGACGCCGTCGCCGTCCGTGGCAGACTTGTGCGCTAGGATATCGCTCCCAAGGTTGCTCGTGAGGCAGATGATGGTATTCTGAATGTTATTGTCAATACTTCGACAGGAAGTGAACGCGAGCTAGCCGCTAGTACCTTAAAGTCAACCTTGCGGCCTTGGCTGTCAGTGAGGCTTCCCTCGTCTAGCAGTTGGAGCAGGATCATCGCCACGTCCTTGTGAGCCTTCTCGAGCTCGTCCAGAAGGATGACGGCTGTGAAAGAGATGCGTGAGCGAGATGAATCGACAATTCCGAGGCTAATGCCGTACCGTACGGCTTGCGCCGAACAGCTTCAGTCAGTTGGCCTCCCTCCTCGAAGCCAACATAGCCTGGAGCAGCACCGATGAGCCGCGAGATGGTGTGCCGGTCATGATATTCTGACATGTTGATGTTGATCCTGGCTTAACAGTGAGCATGAAAAACGTCAGACGGCAGAGGCTAACTCACAATCCTCGTTTCTCGTCGTTGAAGAGGAAACCCGCAAGCGCCTTGCATAACTCCGTCTACCACAATATGATCGTTTGGTTTGACTCGAAGAAAATAATGTAAGCTTGCTCACCTTTCCGACGCCAGTAGGACCAAGGAAAAGGAAGGAGGCGACTGGACGATTTGGTGGTTGCAAACCGGCGCGTGAGATTCGGACAGCGTCACTAATAGCCTTGACGACGTGATCCTGTCCTACCACACGCTGCTTCAACGTATCTTCCATCTAATCGCAAAGTCAGCATATCAATTTCGTCCAAGGTCGACCGACACTCACAGTGACCAGTTTATCCCTCTCGCCCTTCAGCAAGTTCTGTACGGGAATGCCCGTCGCCTTGGCCACGACACGGGAGATATCGTTCGATGTCACTCGGTCATGTAACATGGGAAGCGGCCCTTCGGCGCCATCTTCGGTAGCGGACTCGCTCTCCTTCGGCAGCTGTCGTTCGAGCTCGGGAATAGTGGCAAACCGCAGCCTCGAGGCTTGCTCGAAGTTCCCCTCCCGCTGGGCTACCTCGAGTTCATGCTTAGCACGCTCGAGGCGTTGCTTAATCTCCTTCACGTTGTTCAGTCGGTCGCGCTCCGCTTGCCAGAGCTGCGTCAAGCGCGCGGCGGCCTCCTTTTTCTCGTGCAGGTCCTTCTCGACCTTCTCCCGTCGCTCGTTGCTGAACACATCGCTCTCGTTCTTCAAGCTCTCGAGCTCGATCTGGAGGGTGATGATCTCTCGATCCAGCGCCTCGAGCTCGTCGGGCTTGGATTCTTGTGCGAGGCGGAGCGCTGAAGCAGCTTCGTCCACGAGGTCGATGGCCTTGTCGGGTAGGAAGCGGTCGGAGATGTAACGAGCAGCGTAAACAGCAGCTGTCACTAGCGCGCCATCGGAGATCTCCACACCGTGGTGAACCTCGTACCGCGTCTTGAGACCACGAAGAATGGAGATAGTGGATGCCACCGATGGCTCCTCAATCGTTACTGGCTGGAACCGTCGCTCTAGGGCGGCATCTTTGCCAATCGTCTTGCGGTATTCATCGGCTATGATGCAGCATGAGCGTGACGAAGAGAGAATCAAACATGTAACATACGTGTAGTAGCGCCCACAAGCTGTAAGCCGCGAGCTAACGCGGGCTTGATCATCTGTCCGGCATCGATGCTTCCTTCGGCTTTACCGAGATTGAAGAGAGTATCTGCACTACAATTTAGCCCACAGATCGTAATGCAACCAAATAGCGGGATACTGACGAACTTCGTCAATGAAGCATATGATGTTCCCACTCTGCAGGGAGAGGATGGCATTAGAGGATGTAACCAGCAGCTGGCAAGTACGGGCGAACCTCGTCCTCGATGTCCTTGATCAGGGCCTTGAACTTTTCTTCGAACTGGCCACGAACTCCGGAGCCTGCCATTATGGCAGCCAGATCGATAGATAGAACGCGCTTCTTTTGCAAGGACTATCAATGTGGGTCAGCGAGCTGACTCCATTCGTTGAGGACGACAAGAATGCTGACCTCCGGCACTTCGCCAGCGACAATACGGCTTGCTAGTCCTTCTAGGATGGCGGTCTTTCCAACACCAGGTGGACCAATAAGCTAGTTGCGATAAGGGGTGTGAGCGGCGATCGTGATTTGCGCGAGAAGAGTCAGACACGTACGACTGGATTAGACTTCGTCCTTCGCGATAGAACTAGCGGATACATTGAGTATGCTCATTCTTCGCTTCGTGGAGGCTGAACGTACTCTGTATTGTTCTGCGGATTTCTACGTTGCGTCCGTCAATACCAGTGGCGTTCAAGCAGAGAAAACAACGAACCTTCGTCCCTTCCGATGGTGGGGTCCAGCTTGCCATTCCTCGCAAACTCGGTGAGATCCACACTCTTTACATATGTCAGACCAACCCACGACCTTAACTGAGGGACTGCGACGTACGAACTGCTTCAATGCGTCTCCCTTCTCAAACTGCTGCCCAAACATGTTGAACCCCGGCATTCCGCCCTTTCCTCCGTTGGGAGGAGGTTGCGCATACCCCCTCCGCTGGTTGACTATTCCACAGTTGGGCGTCCATGGTATGCTTGGTCGCGGCTGAAGCGCGACTGCCGCACGAAGCGGTAAGGCGCGAGGAACCGCATTCCGTAGGAGCGCGTTGCGAGATAGTGAAACGTTCGTGATTTCTGTGCGTAGCATGCAGATGAGTCGTACGTTGCAGAAAAAGCGACCAGGCGGGAGCGTATGCAAGTGTAATTGGCAAGACTATAAACGAGAGGAAAGCCGGAAATGTATGGACGTGCTAACGCACACCGGAGGGTTCTCCAGTTATTCAGGCCATTCGAGAATGATCCGAAGCTTTCAGCGTTCACGTGGTCATTCACGGTCGTGACGGCGAAGGCCGACGAGCTTGGCGCGTCGCCGAACCGCACTGTCAAATTTGCCTTTGGGTTTAATACTCTATAGGCATTGCAACACATAGCGCCGTTCATTCTGTTGCACATACGTGGGGGATGATCATAATATGATGCACAAACTCAGACGATTCGCGTTTTCTTTTGGAAATCGTCCCTGTCCGTTCCCAATAGCATGGAATTACTTGCAGTCCGTGGGTATCATTGCCTGTGAATGAACACCGATAAGTCTAGAGCGACTGTGAGAAGAGCTGCAATCGAAACTGACAGAAATGATGAACTGGTGGTTCTGCACTGTTTCGGTTACAAATGGTGAACCTGCTCCTTGCAAGCACCGCATCTACGTCTCGCCTGGACAGACAAGCCCAATCCGGTTCTCCGGGATAGGGGCCCCTGCTGCTCGTGTGCACCTGTACAGCCACGTCGTTGCGAGCGGCGAAAAGGGACGACAATGCTCCCTCCTGGCTCAGAAGGTGCTCCAGAAAGACGACACTTTGTTTGTGACTTGCTGCTGGGTGAAGCACGACATGAAAGTATTGACATGTCGGGGGCAACGAGTCGGAAACCTTCTCTAGAGCGCTTATCCAGCGCGCAGCAGATGGCGCGTCTCGGTCTGGGAGATCATAGAACGCGGATATCTTCAGCGTTAGACGTTCCAGTGCGACCAACGTCCGAAGGGCGTCGTTCAATGCTATGCAGTAGAGCTGGTCAGCATATGCTGTAATCGCGAAAGGCCTCAGCGACGTACCGTCAACCTCGTGCAGCAGCACAGTCCGGAATTCAGCGCTCCTCAGACTGGAGCTCTGCCTCACGCAAAACTTCTTCATGCTCGGGAACCTCCCGCGGGCCGTCCAGCTGACGTATCGAAGAACAACCGAGAGTTCACGAAGGCTCTCCGGCTCCAATTTCCCTTCTAACCACCAGAGCATATTGAATGTACCATCATAGCAGAGGCTCAGTGCATCGACCTCGGTTTCGCCCGCCACATTTCCCTTGAATCCGTGATTATTGAAGAGCGAGGTGTTGTCAAATATGACCTTGTTGGGGCGGTGTAACGCCGAGACGAGCGACAGACAACATGTGTGGCTGACCATGCAGTTCCGAAGACAGGGAGTTGAGACGCGGATGCGATCGAATGCTACGTATGGCGTCGTCCGTGACCCAGAGCTGCGTGTTCATGGAGGGCAGGAAGTCGATGAAATGCAGCTCGTGCAATAGCGGCATGTGTTCGAGCAGAGCTGGCAGCCACGTCATTGCCCATGCCCCGCAGTCTGATGGCTTGCGGGACCCAGGTGCTAGAGTTGGACGCGAATCGCATAGCTTCAGGATCTTCACGTATCCAAAGATAGCGGTTCCGCCGTGATGAAGGGACGTGAGGTCAACGAGCTGATTCTCGTTGCACACGTACAGCTCTTGAAAGAGATTGGCACGAGCGCGGTGAAGCGTTGACCTGCATACTAAGCTCCAGGTCTGGTATTCCCCGTAGTCGATGATCTCTTCGATTATGTCGAGCGGGATGGGGTTACTCCGGACCGTAGGCGTAGTATCCGTTCCTGCGTGGTGGGTTCCTGCGACAACATGCTCGCGGGTGAAGGCGTCTTGTGAATCAGTCCGTTTCTTCAGCCAGAATTGCATCCTTGCATCGAGCGAGAGTCATATACAGGTAAGAGCCTACTTACATAGTGACGGCGGCAACCCCATCACGAAATGGCGACCGCTGACCGTAAGTACCAGCCTCGTTGACAACCGACGGCAGCTCGGAACTGGTATGCACTAATTCAGATTATGTAATCATACTTCAACCTCTGGCTTGTCCGTCGACCAGACGGATAGTAGTAAGAAGGTGATTGAATGAACGTATAGAACCGCTTCGCTTTGTGTACACCCAGTGGAGCGGCACGTTCGCCCTTAATCCACCACAGAGTCGTCGCGTCTAGGACTAGGAAACCGGGTTGCGTACCGTGCTGCTGCTGTAAAACCATCGCCCACCGAAACAAAAGTGTCTTCGTGACGATCAACGTCTATGCGGGATGCATTGGTTGCAAAAGATAATGCGAAAAGCGAGATTAGAGGCGCATGCTTCCGAAGTCGTTTACGACGTCGCCAGTACGGACGAAGATGCTCAGTGCGTTACATCTACCTCTGCTCCTCGCCGACAAGTCTGCCTTCACCTGTGTCCGATTCTGTCGAAGACTCTGCAGGATGGCCGTCGCTGCTGCAGAAGTTACCGCAGGAGCTCGTCAACCGCATTATCATCCACGGACCCCTGATCCTGGAGCCTCGTCTGCATCACTACCTCTTCTCCTTTCTACGCGTCCCCTCCTTCAAATGCAGCGGGCTCCTCGACACGCACGACATCCTTCACCATGTCCACACGCTCTCGTTGCGCCTCATCCAACTCCGCTTCGGTCCATCCGTAGATCAGCAGTGGTGGCCGGTGATGAGACGTTAGATATCTGCCTTGGCTCCTTGACTCCATGCTCGGCCTAGAGTTTCTCCTGGACGATCTGGACGTCCAGTTACTTGGACTCTTCCCTGCCCCCTTTTTTCGATACGCTGCTAGATTCCACGCAGCGTCTCCCTGCTCTACGTCACGTAAACCTATCCAAAGCTACCTGCACCATCCGAGATTACCACCACCTTTTGTCCGCCATCCCTCGTCTCTCAAGCCTCTCATTCGACGCGTGCTACTTCCTTGAGGACGAAGGTTGACCTCCGCCGCCCACCTTGCGCATCCGCTCGCTAACCATCAGCCAGAACGGGCGGACTGGAGAGCCTTTAAAAGCCTGGGCCCTGGCGCGATCGCGCTCGTGCCCCACCTCAAAGAAATCAAGTTCGATTTCCAGGCGGTTTCGCGTTCCGTAGTGCGACCTGAGGGTGCTGAATTGCGTTCTTCTACCATATGTCCTTATATGCACCATAGGCACTACATCGACCCGTCTGTTTGCAAAGGGGAGTGAAAGGAGCCTCTCCGGGTGTCGGAGCGACACCGATCACATGTGCACAGCCTCCGCTGATCCGGAAGCGACTTGATTAAGCGAGTTGGGGTCGCTCTCGCTCTCTCGTTACGACTTGCGTGCAGCGCAACATGTACGGATCCGTCCCTCCTGAGTCAATTGCAACCAATGGACAACTGACCTCCCACAGCAAAGAAGGACGTAAAGCAAGCCAGTATTTCCTGGCTATGTCTCGAGAGCGCTCTGGGGGAGTGGCCCACCGCGCCACTCATGGCTGCGACGGAGGAAGTCAGTTCAGTGAATCAACGACCTCGTTCGTGTTGACGAGCGCCACCTGATTTCTACCTAGATGCTCTGCTTCCATGGGAGCTTACCGACCTCATAATCGATCACGGGCAGTACCACGGCCATCGAGCTTGGAGCCTCGTGTGCAAATCGACGCTTCCTCGCGCTCGCTCGCACCTGTTTCGGAGGATGCGCATTCATACAGAAAACGAGTGCACAGAGATCATAGCAGGACTTCGTGTAGGAAGTACGATTCTCCGATACGTCCAGGAGCTGTCCGTCACGAACGTTCTAACTTGGGATCCGGAATGCCTCCCGGTGCTTTTGGACGGCATGCCCCAGCTTCGGGCCCTCATCATTGACGGGTTCTATCTACCTCCCGGTCAGAACGAGGTGCCCGACCCTCTTACTCGAGCACTATCGCGTTGCAATCATCTGCGTCACGTCGGCTTGCTGCAATCCCACTTTCCCTGTTCCATTCAACTTTTCAGCGACCTCGTAGCTGCTATCCCCCTTCTTTCGAGCCTCTCGTTCGAAGACTGCTCATTCGATCAACAGGAAGAGCTCGTGCGATCCCCGCCCGTTCTCACCATCCAAAAGCTGAACGTCGAGCCGTGCGCCTTCAGTTTCAAGCCGTATTGGCTGGATCTCGCCCTACGACTCAACTGCCTCACGTACTTGACGTTCCACTTTTGCGACATCTCCCTGGCCGTCAACGTCTCATTTCTCCAGCGCCTGGCCCACACGCACTCGGAAAGTCTCCGATGCGTGCGGCTCGAGGCTGTACCTCACGCGCCAAACTCGTTACGTGGTGAGCCCATTGGCAGACTGTTTTGCGTTTCTCACCGACTCAGTATTGACGCTCTCGCTCAGATTTGATTCCTTCCCTACGTCGGATTCAGAGCTTGGAAAAACTGCACATCGACCTCGACGTGGTATCGTTCGGAGCGTCTCGGTGGCCAGTCGACGCCTTGGAGTTCTTGACCGAAGTCGGCCTTTCCAACGTGGATCTTGAGTTTCAGGCGAACATGACAGACCTCCACTCGCTTAAGCGAACTCTTGCGTCCACCGCGCAGATGCAGGCGCTTCTAGGTTGCGAGACGAAGATGACCGTTAATCTCAAGCTGTTCGTGTTGGAGTCGTTGTTGAGAGATAAGGAAACAACATTGGAGAGCGTATTTGATACCGCCGGCTATCATCTCGTGGCATCTCTCAATTGGGGACCTGGAGGGGATTCCCGGAGTGTTTGTCAATACGGTGTGTATATTGGATCTAGTGCCTTGAGATGAGACTGAGATATTATACCAAATTCCAGTAATGTCCGGGAAGGAGGTCGTGTATCAAGTCCAAAAGATATACAATTCTGCTTCTCATGAGTGTTATATTGATATGCTCTTAGGTCACGTAAACACTGTCATCTGAGCTGTATATAGCCAATGACGCTAGCTTTTGCTCCACATCAACTTGGTTCGACTTGCTGCGGGCCTATTACTGGTTTCGGGAAGCAAAGTCTACCCACAGGTGATATGACTTCCATAGTAACTTACCTCAGATACTTTGATGTCAGCTCAAAGCCTTCACTACACGTGAGCGAGGTGAAGAGTGCGAGCTCCTAGTACGTCGCTGGATGATACACTTTCACGCTTTGACTGATGGTCTCCTGACGCCGACTCTTTGATGCACGATAGCACGTATGCATTCCAGATATCTATATATGACGTCGTGAACGGGAGTTTCGTGAAGTTACGTGCAATGACACCTGCCGCTCATCAATGCCGTGATATGTGACGTAGAAGGCCGCTCGACAAGCCAGACCCAAGACTTCGATTCTCATGTGGATCGTGCTCATGTAGTGAAAAGGACGGAAAGCACGGCCGGTATCGCTCGTTCCCCGAACCAGAGACCGCTATTGAAGATGGAGTTCCAGAGCATATTTGCCTGTGTGGTTTTGCCATTTCTCTGGTTAATTCTCCGCAGATCCTCGAAAAGACGTAACCTTCCGCTTCCACCCGGCCCTCCGTCGCGTATTCCATGGATTCGAAACGCGTTTCAGATACCAAAGGAACGTCAGTGGCTCAGGTTCAACGAATGGCGCAAAACTTACGGTGAGCTTGCTACTCGTTCTCAACTCGGTCCTAACCGTCGTCTGGCCCTAGGTGACGTCGTATCCATCGAGTCGTTTGGCACAAAATATGTCATCCTTGGCTCGCTCAAGGCATGTACGGACCTCTTGGACAGAAAATCATCAAACTTCTCCGACAGACCGGAAGTTCCGATGCTGACCGACCTGTACGTGCCGGACGCATTAGACGGGTTGACAAGGCTGATAAGTCGGATATGCCCCGTGATAAGCTCTGGATGGAACTGGAACTTTGGTTTCAGAAAGTACGGCGGAGTGTGGAGGGAAGAACGAAGAACTTTCCACCAGTACATGAACATCACACAAGTAGCGCGATATCGTCCTATACAGCTTCAACAAGCGCAAAGACTTGTCCACCGATTACTGGATCGGCCCGACAAGTATGAGGAGTATGTTAGACAGTGAGCACCCCATCAGCAATCAATTATTGATAATGATTAGCTTATCTAGTGCCATAGTATGTTGGGCGCCACTATAATGGAGGTGGTCTACGGGATCAAAGTAGCGGATCACGATGACCAGTACATTATTACGGCGGAAAAAGCACTGGAGACGTAAGTTATCGCGTTGTACTGCTGGGCGCATGAATCTTATCTTGCTTCTAATCGTGCCTCCGCCAAGGCTGTCTCAAGCAGGACATCCTACGGCGTATCTTGTGAACATATTTCCTTGGCGTACGTAAAGAAGCACGCACATTCTCAAGGTACTGCTGAACCCGGTAATTCTCAGTGAAGTTTGTGCCATCATGGCTACCGGGTGCTCAATTCAAACGCCAGGCAGCGAGATGGAAGCAGATATCACACGATTTCATCACGCGCCCGCTTGAACATGTGAAGGAAAGCATGGTACGCTATTTTACGCTGTACTCCACCAACGTAGCGAGTAGCAATGACCGCATTACACTAGATAAATGGGACCGCGCGACCTTCTATAGCTCTGTCACTACTGGAAGGTCTCGGTGACGAAACGGACAAGGCCAACACTACGCGAGCAACAACGATCAGGAATGTGACATCGATTGCGTATGCGGGTGAGCTCATCATTTGTCCAATCAACCCGCCGAATATGCTGTGCTTACTTGTCATGGTTAAGGCGGAGCACATACTGTGAGTACGGGCAGCGCCGGTGGACCGCCGTCCAACATTTGATATTTCGTTACTCCGGAAGACTGTTTCGGCAATATATACGTTCTTCCTTGCCATGGCCAAGTACCCGCATGTTGTACGCCGAGCTTGGGTGCAACTCGATGAAGTTCTCGGGTATCAACGTCTTCCAAGTTAGCGACATCTGACTCAGCGCAGGAGCATGAACTAAATTTGATTATTGCAGCATTTGAGGATCAAGAGCGCCTCCCGTACATTACGGCCATATGCAGAGAAGTAATGCGATGGCAACCCGTGACACCTCTCGGTACTGTGTTCTACGTTCGCAACGGTGCTTAGCCGTGCTAACACTGTTAAATCCAGCTGTCGTTCATAGCTCCCTTTCCGATGACGAGTACGAAGGCTACTTCTTACCCAAGGGCACTATTTTCTTTGGAAATGCCTGGTAGTTGACATTGCTTGCCGCCCCATGTGTAACTTATTCTATCCTATGCAGGGCCATCCTTCATGATCCCGAGGTTTACCCAGAGCCTCATGCATTCAAGCCGGAACGTTTCCTCAAAGAGGACGGGAGCCTAGACTCCGCAATCCAGGATCCGAACGTAGCCGCGTTCGGCTTCGGAAGGGTGCGCGATATGCCTTGTCAGGCGCGAGATGGATCGTTTACATGCATCTGCAGAGGATATGCCCTGGAAGGTGGTTCAGTGGTCAATCTCTGTTCATTACGATTGCCACTGTGTTGTCCGTGTTTGATATCAAAGCACCTGTTGACGACAGGGGACGGCCAAAGGAGCTAACAGCGGATATGACCACCGGACTCTTATCGTATGTGCTACTATCCACATATTTTGTACGCAGCACTGACTCTTTCCCCCACGAGATATCCGGAGCCATTTGAATGTCACGTCGTGCCCCGCTCGGAGAAGACGAAACAGATAATCCTCGAAGCAAACTACGATGCAGAGTAATCGCTATGGAAATATCATAAGAGCATACCGCGAGAGCACTGCCCATATTATTGAGGGAGTGAACATTATGTATTCGCACTCTCATGAGGTAACTGGGTAGGTGGTGCCGGGAATCAACGCAGTGACTGCTCCGTTTGTGATCCTACATTCCGGCATACTCAGAAGCCCACACTCGGCGACGCACGTAGTGGAGTCCGCCGAAGCTGACTCTTTGATGCGTGACGCGCTTAAAGATCGCGATGACTCGTTTAGTAATTAGTGGAGGATTGACGTCCAGTACACTCTCTAATGAGGCCTGCGGGAGGATCATCCTTTCGCTGTTCTAAGTGTTGCAGTAGCCCGCCGTGATTTGCCGTCTGGATCCCGCAAGTCTATCGATTACACGACTCAGGGGATACGTACTTGTAATTTCTGACTCAGGTGTCGGGCTATCCATCGCACACAGCGTGAAGCGCAAGTATGGAAAGGCGTACTGAAGAGGAAGACAGGAGAGGACAGAGTGCGACATGATGGCGCGCCCACTACCCTTTCCCTTGAATGGTGCTAGAGGATGCTTATGTTTTAACTCATATGCTTTACATATATTCGCCCCGTAGCGTTGCTTATGCTCACACTTGTGGGCCTCATAGCTAGCATGCGCATTGTTTTTTCTTGCAATGTGGACACACACCGTCGTTTCTGAGGGGAGATCAGAGGAGAGGAATACTTATTCACCTGCCTCGGTCCAGTATCGACGAGGTATTTCAAAATGTATGGATAACGGGAAACTTCTCGTGCAACGAAGAGTAGGCAATGAGGTGGAATGGGACTGGGGCCTGTCACTTATGGTGTCATGCACCAATGTATACCGTGGCAATGAGAATTCAGGTCCTTGTGCTAAAGTTGCGTGCAAGACAGGTTGTACGTAATCTATTCACAGGCTGCCTCATGTCTCACGCCCATGACAGGTTTGGCTCCTGTTGTTTCTTCCCAAAGTACAGCACCGGCATCGCAGCATCCCCGCGCAGTATACTAAATTTGAAACAGTCGGTTGCAGCGACATACCGTGAGGATGCTTCTTATCATATGTTGTATAGCCAGCAGATCCAGAGCCGACCACTCTCCGCTTTGGTCCATCTGGAAACTGCTTGATACCGACTGGGGCGGTCTGTTACACTTCTCTTATAACCTACTCATTCAATTCAGAAATAGCATACATAATCATTGACTCTTAAGAATGGTTCTGCTGCCGCGGGTTCATGGAAGCATCGGGAAGCAAAGCTTATAGGCAGGTGATACCTCCGTCGTGATGAAGTCTCCTACGGCTCTATTTACATGGGGCTGACGGCAGAGAGGGCGAACTCCCGGCAAGTCGTAGTCTGGAAGCTTATACGCATTGATTCCTCACTTACTTCGACCTTCAGGGAAGGTTGCTCTTAGCTGTTCTTACGATGTGCTTATATCACCGGATGTACGGATAACAATGTACGAACGTTCATGAAGGCAAGACATGTTTCGACAAGCCAGGGGGATCAGCTAACTCCGGACTTGCATGGCGTGAGCAGGATTAGCCGCGTGATAACGAAACCCGCTACTCCAGATGGATTATGGAACGATGTTCAACAGGTTAGACCATAGACTTCGATTCCCATGCAGATCCCGCCCTAGATGTGTTCTTACATGAAAAGGATCGAGAACTACCAGGTGTCTTTCATCTTTCAGACGAGAGACCTCCTTCGACATGCAAGTCCCAACCCTTCTCGCTTTCGCGGCCTTGGTAGTTCCCTGGATCTTGCTACATCGTCATCGATCATCGAATCGCCGTAACCTACCCCTTCCGCCCGGCCCTCCATCGTGTATCCCATGGATTCGAAACGCATTCCAGATGCCGAGTCAACGCCAGTGGCTCACTTTCAACAAGTGGTGCAAGGTCTATGGTGGGTTCGCTGCTTGCGGTCCTACCCGATATTTAATGGGCGTAGGCAACATCGTGTCCGTCGAGGCATTTGGCACTCGATATGTCATCCTCGGTTCGCTCAAGGCGTGCACGGATCTCTTCGACAGAAGATCGTCCAACTTCTCAGATAGACCGGAGATCCCGATGCTCAATGACCTGTACGTATTTTACGAACACCTTCAACGAATCGACAATGCTCATGTTTACCGCACCCGATGGTCAGTTCTGGATGGGGCTGGAACTTTGCCTTCAGAAAGTACGGTGCGATGTGGAGAGAAGAGCGAAGAACGTTCCATCAGTACATGAACAGTACTCAAATAGCGCAATATCGTCCCGTTCAGCTCCGAGAAGTGCGATGCCTAGTGCACCGTTTACTGTCCCGGCCTGATAAGTACGAGGACTACGTGAGGCAGTGAGTACATTCATAGTGATCTTTGTTGATGAAAAGTGGCTGATATGGTGTCATAGTATGTTGGGCGCCACCATAATGGACGTTGTATATGGTATCAAGGTGGCAGATCACGACGACCAGTATATCAAAACAGCGGAGAAAGCACTGGAGACGTGAGTGATCATTGCTTTGATGAGCGCATGATCTCACCCCTGGTTTCATTTTCGCAAAGTTTGGCTCGCGCAGGGCATCCGACGGCGTATCTAGTGAACACCTTCCCATGGTGTACGTACAGAAGCATGCGCTCGTACCAGTAATCTACCACTGATCCCGTTTACACAGTGAAACATGTACCATCATGGCTGCCGGGTGCACAGTTCAAACGTCAGGCGGAGATATGGAAGCGGATATCTGACGAGTTCATTATGCGCCCGCTTGAATTCGTGAAGAAAAGCATGGTGCGCCACTTTACACTGTGCCTGCTGTTTCGGTAGTTCTGATCATTTCAATCCAGATAAACGGGACAGCACGACCTTCTATCGCCTTATCATTGCTGGAAGATCTCGATGGCGAAGCGGAGAAGACCAGAGTTGCGCGAGAAACCATAATTAGAAATGTTACGGCCATCGCGTATGCGGGTGAGCTTACCGTCTGTCAAAACACCCCCACGGAATGCGCTGATTTCAGGATGTGAAAGGTGGAGCAGACACCGTGAGAGCACACTGCTTTTATCAGCATCGTTTAGTTACTTACATCCCACGGAAGACTGTCTCCGCGATATACACGTTCTTCCTAGCTATGGCCAAGCACCCGCATGTTGTACACCGCGCTTGGCAGCAGCTCGACGAAGTGCTCGGTGACCATCGACTCCCAAGTAAGCAATTTCTCGATGACAAAATATCAAAGACTTGATGAGACGATCTCAGCCTTTGAGGATCAAGAACGTCTGCCGTACATTACCGCCATATGCAAGGAGGTGATGAGGTGGCAATCTGTAGCACCGCTCGGTAATCATCGATGTTTCTGTCAAGATGCCCAGCATTACTCACCTCCAAGTTAGCTGCCGTACATAGTTCCGTTGACGACGACGAATACGAGGGCTACTTCTTGCCCAAAGGCACGATTTTCTTTGGAAACGCCTGGTACGCGACTTTTTCTCAGTCTTCCGCGTCACGGATACTGACCGTGGTATAGGGCCATACTACACGATCCAGAGGTGTACCCTGAACCAGATGCGTTCAAACCGGAGCGCTTCCTGAAAGAGGACGGTAGCTTTGACACCACTGTCCAGGATCCGAACGTAGCTGCGTTCGGTTTCGGAAGGGTAGGTCGCGAGTTCTGTACGCGCAGAATGAGATCGATAATACAGCTTGACAGAGAATATGCCCTGGTAGGTGGTTCAGCGGACAGTCTCTGTTCATCTCGGTGGCCACCGTATTGTCCGTCTTCGATATCAAGGCGCCGGTGGATGAGACCGGCAAACCGACGGAGTTGAAAACAGACATGACCACGGGTGTTCTGTCGTAAGTGCTGAGCGCTGCCATCGACTCATCTGGAATCAGGGCGTTGACGGACTCGAACACAGGTATCCAGAGCCGTTTGAATGCCGAGTCGTGCCACGTTCGGACAGAGCGAGGCAGTTGATCCTGGAGGCGACTAGTGACACGGAGTAAGATAGGGCTCATTCAGTTTCAACAGGTGTGATACGTGCTGCGCAGCGAATTCCACTCGCTACAGGGCACACTCTCTAAATCTAAAACCACAATTCTCTTTGGATGTACATTATCTTTAAATCTGTGGCGGCGATTTCTGTGAATTTTGAGTGTAGATTATTTTATTCGACTAGCAAGACCCGTGGGACCTGTTGAAACTGAATGAGCCCTATCTTAGTATTACGCACGGAAGAGCCAATCGCGATGCCATCGTATTTTTGATGGGTTCAAAGCTGCAGAATTTATTAAACACTCTATCGATATATCCAATATGCTGTAGCACTCAGCGCTGAGGGTTGAGGCTTGCATGGACAGTGGGTTTTGAGTGGAGGCACGAAGGATCACAATGAAGGGGGTAGTAAAAGCCAAAAAATTCCGACACGGGGAATCGAACCCCGGGCTATCGCGCACGTGATTCACTGAATCTCATTGAATCTCGTGAGAGGCGATAATGTTGGCCACTACACCATATCGGACCTGCGTTAAAATCCAAAGTTAATAAATATATCTAGAGAGTCCTGTAGCGGCTGGAATGGTGTCGCGACCCGACGCCTCTCGACCATTAACGCCTTGAAGGCGGCCTTGCGCAAGGTTCATATACACTGGTCGAATCATGCTTGAATTTGAAGAGTTTCTGCTTGGTTCGCCGACGCCGACGGCGCAAAACTGCCGGAATTTGTTGTCGAGTCCACAGGCACACAAATTACATGCTGGATCCCATCGAAATCGGGTCAGGTACGTCCGAATAACGAATATATATCCACTGACCTGTGCCGATGAGTGCACATCTACATTGAAGAGATTCGAAATCCACTGGCGAGACGCCAAATGCAGCACGGCAACCCGAGGCAGGGTGTCCGTCGACGGCTTCACCTGCCCGTCTAGAATCGTATTGCGCGATCTGCAAAGCATGAAAAGTGGCGGTCGGGAATGTTGCGAGGGTGTTCGAACGTCAGTGTCCACACTACGGATGTTTGAGTTCTCGACGCTCGAACTTACCGGTTAGACTCCAATTCCATGAGTGCATCGACTTAGTCAAATGCGAGCTCATATGTGCATGCTGCAGACGATGATTCCCTGATGGACTTGGGTATCTAGGCACAGCTCGGCGAGATCACCCTGGAGATAGACAGACAAGATTTGCGGAAGAAGAAAGCGGAAGTACTTCCTATCGAGGTGCCCACCGAATCTACCGAGGTTAACGCTCGGAGGGCATCGCGTGAGGTACTTCCGTATAGACCGTTTCTATTCATCCAACTTACTACCCCAGTTTTACTGGAGACCAATGATATTCTCGCCCCAACTATGTCGAATCGTACGTGATTCATTGAATCTCATTGAATCCCATGAGAGGCGATAATGTTACAGCCGTTTTCAAAAATCATGAGCGCGGCACCAGAAACGAGACGCGCGTCGTGAACGACCCCAAAGCTGGGTTTGCCGCCAGCACATCGTGTTCGACGACGAACTCTACGATGATGCGTCCCAGGACAGCATTGAAACGATCAAAATACGCATGAGGAGCTCTAAGGATGATTCTTGAGAGTGGTAAACATGATATTGAAAGGGATTAACGAGCAATTCCCAGTAGCAGGCAAGGACAGTGTCAGCGATTGTAAACCGTAATTATGGACGCTACGTCCAGCAAACCTGGACACAGTCCAGCCTCTGTATGATCAAATACGTGTCCCAGATGTCTGCTGATGTTTTCTACAACGAGATATTTGGGAACTGATCATCGACTCGTCGGAGAGCATTGGGTAAGACCCTTATATTAGGGTTACTGCCAGCGGCACACAGGGGCAGCCATTGTACAAGGGTACTGCGCCAAATCAAGGTGTAACCTGCTATCAAGGAGATCCCATAGGCGAGTGGAAGTTGACAGAATGGGTGAAAGACAATCCGCCGGGAGCATCAAGTTGAGGGAACCAGAAACCCCCAGAGACATTGCACATCGTATCTCGAGCTCAAGATCGGGCTAACCTTCGGCTCTCCTATGCTCGGGCACTCCTCAGACAACAACAGCGATACGATCCCGTCGAGATGCTTGAGCTGGCTGACCTCCTGAGCTCGCCGGCTGGCGGTGTGTAAGGGTTAGGGTTAAAACCCTTACAGATCCAAAATACCGAGTAACCAAGATGACCAAGATGGGCCTGGTCCCCCCTGAGGTTGAGGTTTAGGTTGAGGATAAGAGTAATGTAACGTGAAGGTTAACTGGGACACTCTAGTCGAGTGGCTAGGTTGGTGCGAGTCCAGCCTGTTCCAGTTTTCATCCGAACGTTACACGGTGACCCCACTTTAGGGTCGTTCACGACGCGCGTCTCGTTTCTGGTGCCGTGCTCATGATTTTTGAAAACGGCTGTAGCCACTACACCATATCGGACTGATGTTGAGGACGTCCAACAAATATATACCAAGACCCATCTTCGTCGTGGCGCGTCATGCAGGGCGGGCCCCGATTCGCCCCCTTGGCCCCTAACTTGTCGTCGACCATGGTCAACCATTAGCCTCGTTCGGTTTCTTCCTTTGAATTGTATTTGGACGCTCTCCGCGCAACTCATAAGCGCACGTTATATGAAGACGCCTTCCCGTCCATATAGGCCCCCTCCAGTCGCGGTCACCAGCATCTGATAGCCAGTCGCTCACTATGGCCCAAAGTCTGCTCGCAAACATACGCGAAGCTTTGCTGCTCAGGCCGGTACGCGACCCGTATGCGCCGCACGATGGACTGGCAATGGAAGGTCCGTGCTATTGTGCCCACCGCCCGCTGCGACGACGCGCTCAACCCCAACAGGCTTCTACACGCACATCCACGCTCCTTCGTCCACCGGCGACCCGCACACGCTCATCGTCATCTTCTGCGCCGTGCGCACCGCGACCGACCCGTCGAAACGGGTCATCGTCTACGTCGCCTACCTCCCCTCGCACGTCCCCCCAGACTCTCCCCGCGCGCCCGAGCACGGCTTCGTACGCGAGATGTACGCCCCCGCCTGGGAGATCACCCGGTCCGATCCCGCCCAGAGCGGCGCCGTCGCCTCCTGGTCCGTCTCCGTGCCCGCCCTCGACGCCTCGATGCACGTCGCCCCCGACTCGCAACGCCTCTCCGTCCGCATGCCCGGCCCCGCGTCCTCCGCAGCCGACGAAGCGTGGCACCTCACCGTCGACATCGCGTCCCGCACGCCCTGGACGCGCTCGTCCGCCGTCGCCGGCCCCGAAGGCGCGCTCGAGAACCTCGGCGCGCTCCTCCCGCTCCACTGGCACGTCTTCTCGACCTGCTCCGACGCGCGCTGGCGTCTGACCACCACCGCCCTCGCCCCCACCGGGCATCGCGCCGCCGCGACGTACCACGAGCTGAGCGGACGCGGGATGGCGCACATGGAGAAGAACCACGGCTCGGGTTTCCCGACGGGCTGGCTGTGGGCTCACTGCCTCGGCGGCGGACGCGACGGGTCGGAAGGGTCCGCGCGCGCGCCCGTGAGGCTCGCGTTGGCGGGAGGCCGCATCGTCGGCGTCGACGCGCTCATGCTCGGCTTCCGCGACGACGAGCGCCGAATGGGACTTTGGACCTCCCCGGTGCGATCTTTTTTATTCCCGCTCGACCCCGGCGTCCGACCGGCTCTCTCTCGTCTGATTAACCTCGATGCCCATGCAGCGCCGTCGTCCTGGGAGGCCGGATCGCCCCCGGTCTGTCCATCCAACGCAGCTGGCGCAGACGGTGGATGAAGGTCTCGGTCTGGAACGCGACGCAACGGCTCGACGTGGAGATGACCGCGCCCCACGTATGTATAGGACACGGCTGTCATTTTTTGTTTATGTATTTCTTACCGTTACCCGCTCTTGTGTTTCGACCGCTCCTCGACTGATTCGCGCAGGACTCGTTTCTGACCCTCCCGGGCCCGCTCGCCGCGGGCTTCGACCCGACGCTCTGCCACGAGTCGTTCCGGGCCCGGTTCGACATCCGGCTGTACGCGCGCCCGCCGTGGAGGTGGGCGTGGACGCCGCTCGCGCGGTACGAGGTCGAGGAGGGCGCGATCGAGTTTGGCGGGACGTACGTCGGCGAGGACGAGGGGTAAGGGCGAGAATATGTAGGTGGAATGAATGCCGCACGTGTGTGTGTGTGCGTGCGATTACGCAAAACGGTATTCGTACGACTAATGGGAAGGGGGGGTACAGTAGGGATGAATAGTCATCTGTCCGAGGTCTATAACTTAGCCACTTGTAACGACCGTGGCGTCGGATGTACGCCAGCAAACGGGAACCAAAAAAAAAAAAAACAAGGAGATATCGATCGTTTATGCGGCAACGAACGTGAAGGTCTAAGATGGAAAGAATCAAGTCAGACGGCGGGATCGGTGTGCACGGGAATGCGGAGCGGGGAACGGGGGACGTACGAGCACGGTGACCGGCGACGCGTAGCGGTTGGCGAACGCGGTCGAGTCGCCGCCGGCGTAGAGCGCGCTGCTCTGCGTCCAGAGTGCGGTCGTCGGCTCCGCGCCGTCGGCGTTGATCCAATGCGGGACGAGCCGGCCCGTACTCGAGTCGTAGCTCCACTGGGGGGGCGATCAAGGAAGAAAGGGAAAGGAGCGCGCGGTGTCAGGGTCGTCGTGCGAGGTTTAAAGAAAGAAACGCGACGGCTTACGACGGCCGATTCGGAGTAGCGCGAGATGCCGCTCACGGTGGTGTACGAGTTGCCGACGGTCTGCGGTGCGGATCCGGGGGCGGCTGTCGGGAGGTCAGGGCACGGTCGCGACGGGCGTGGCGGGCGGAGGGATGCTTACTCTCTGCGGTGCCGGTGATGTAGAGGTAGCTGCGACGCGGCGTGAGCGGAGAGTAGGAGAAACGTACGCCGCTGTGCTTACTTGTAGGACCCCGAGGCTATCCTGGGCGTGGTGGAATCTCGGCCTTGGACCAAGCCGAGGAGGGTGTAGGTGGACAAGCCGGATTGCTGTTCGATACAGGGGGGTGTTATACATGGCATGTGTCGCGGGAGGCGGTTCCGACTTACCCCGATGTAGATGTTGAGCCGGGATGCGGAGGTGGCGCCGACGGGCATGTAGAAGGTGACGGGCATGGCGGAGGCGATCGGTGCCTCGTATTTGGTCAGGTCGCCGTTGAGCGCGTTCTTGGAGATGTAGCCGAGGGTGGTGCCGTCCGAAGCCTTGTCGACGCGGATGTAGCCGCTGTAGGTCACCGAGGGCGTCGGCGAGGACGCGGAGCGGGCGACGGGGGTACCGCGTCGGTCTGAGGGTGGCGGGGTGTGAGTGGGTATCGACGAGCGCAGGACAGTCAACACGTACGGGGCGGGTTGAGGGGAAGGCCGCGGGAGAGACGTTGGGCGTTGGTGAGGCGCTCGGTCGAGCGGACTGTTGGGCTGGGGGCGACGGAGCGGGGGAAGGCGAGCTCGCAGGACAGCTCCGTGGAGCAGACGGGCTCAGAGGGAGCCGCGACGGCGACGCCGGCAAGGAGCAGAACGAATGAGACGATGCCGGAGGCGCGCATGGTTTCTCAGTCAGGGAAATGAGTGAAAAGGGCCCGGGCTAGCAAAATGGGAGGGGAAGCGTGAAGACCACAGCGATACGGAAGGGTGCGCTCCTCCGTGCGCGTATTTGAGGCGCGCGCGGCGCGTTCGAGGTACCGATGGTCTATCTTGAAGCTGTTGAAGATGCGCGCGCGCCCCGGGCGATCGGGAAGTCTAGACACCTGGATCCACAGAGAGTCCGTTGGAGATGAATGGTCCTAATTGCTGGATATACATCTCCATACGGGTTCGTACAAGAGACTATACCGTGCGTGCACCATAAGTACACCGAGTGCTGCGTTAGAGAGTTAGCTGGTCGAAACCGGCGCAGCCGCAAAGAGATCAGTTGCAGACGGTGGTCGTGGAGGTGACCTCCACGACCAAGGTCGGAAGGCGCGCGTCGGCAAGGCACAAGGGCATGGTGGGAACCAATCCCGACGTGATCGACGCCAAGTGGGTGCCTCGACATCCGGTGTTTGGCAGCGCCGACGACAAGACGCCCGCGCCGTGCCTGACTTGCGGCCCACGAAGATCTCAGCGGACGTCGGTGGACGATCTAAGTATCTTCTACGCCGGTTCTCAAAGGCTCGATCTCCTCGGTTCTGTCGAATCTCCCGTGAGCGTCCTGTTGGAAACAGACGTACGCATAAAACGGAGTGTCTCCACGCGCGTAAACGGATGAATCGCAAGGACCTAACAGAATCGATATCTAGGCCAAGCATGCACGACATCTCCTCGAAGGACCCGACTTCATCGTGGGCGCTTGTATGTCTTTCTCATGGCGTCATCGGTACGGCGGTACAGTAGCGCGTAGCAACTTCGAGTCGTTCGCCGTCGGGCACTGCACACCGCTCACCGATCCACGCCCGTGGAGCTCGCTTATAAGCTGTGCTAGACTCAATCTCTCACCGTCGCATCCACCCATACTCATTCCTGTACCTCCGTGATGACACTGGACTCCCAACACCTTCCCTCGACCCCCGACAACGCCAGCATCACCGCGAGCAACACAGTAGTCTCCGGGACAGACAATCCCGCGAGCACGCGTTCCTCCTGGCTCAAGTCGCCTGAGAACGAACCGGGGCCTGACTACACCACCTGGGAGGACCTCGCGGGCCCGCTCCCGGAGTGGTGGGAGAAACGGCTGACCAAGGCCGGCAGGGTCTACTTCGTCGACCACAAGAACCAGATCACGACCTGGGACGACCCGCGCGCCATGAGGATCGCGGAGGGGCAGAGGGCGAGGAGTAAGAGCCACGAGATGTGAGGGGGTGGGGGGCGTTTTCAAGTTCGCTGCTTTGTGAGTTGATGCAACTGGAGACGAGCCCATGGATCGTGATCGTTCACTCTCTCTCCCTCTCTCTCTCGTAGCTCTTCTCTTCTTCAGGTAGCCGGGAAACTGCATTTGGACACGTATAGCTATTCGAATCCGGACCAGATACGTGTACCATATAATGACGACAATCCGGACTCGGACATGGCTGGGAATACAAGCATAACTCCTCGAGGAACCTGATGGCTGCCGTATGATCCGCTTCCAAAGCGCCATGACCTTTCTGCATGCAAACCGGAAAATAACCTTGAGCTCACCGAACTCCCTGAGGGGGGTGAAAGCTCGGTACACCATGATGTACTCACATGGTCGTCTCCAGTCTGCTGACTGTATGAGAGGCTCGCACGGGAAGCAAGCGTGTTGTCTATCGCATCATGCAGGCCAACACTTTCTCGATCGTCTTTCCTTCCTTCTCCAGCCTCGCCTTCGCGTCCCAGCTCAGAAGCCCGTGAAGCTCTGGCCGCGACGTCGGGGCCAGCTCTGAACGAAACGCGGATAAAGCCTCGACGACGTGCGCCGCTTCGATTCGCAAGCGACTGGGACTGCTGAAGTGTTGCTAGCGCCACGCGGGCATGCATGAAGATCATCCTCCAGAACGCCGACGCACACCCTGCACCTCACTATTGTCGGTGACTCGCGGACGTTTGACAGGTAACTGCGCCATGCGCTCGCCATGACATAGAAAAAGTGATGGATACAGAAAGTGAAAAGAGTGACGGATGACTCGATTGTGAAACTCGTTGCCGGTATGGTACGCCCTGAACAAAATTTTTACTGTAGTCGCAGTGCATTTATCCTGGTCATCACAGCCATGTCATCCACCGTGCCTGGCATGACTCTTTACTGCCGCGTATAAGTGAGCATACGGCTTCAAGCTACCTCGGACTCGGACTCCGGCGCTCGATGGTGTGCTGCAAGCAGAGTTTACACCACCATGACAGCTGTGGCACGCGCATCATGCTTGGATTGACTGTACCAATCGTGAGCATGCGGCTTCAAGCTACCGACTCCAGCGCTCGATGGTGTGCTGCAAGCAAAGTTTACGCCACCATCACAGATGTGGCGCGCCCAGCATGCTTGGATTGGCTGTACCAATGGCCACGTTCACAGAATAGGATATAACCTGTCAACATTCTGTCAGCCATCGGCTTCCATACCGGGCGCACTACATGATATTACCTGCGGGCCGGGGGCAAAATGGAGTGTTCGCTAGGTATGACACCCATAAGCCCTTGCTGTTCGTCAGCCTCGTGGGAGGTCTTGTTCACGACTACATATACAGAGTCAGCGCATCAAGACCGTGTCACATCCTGCTGAGATCCGAGACATGGCTCAAGACTCGCATAATCAAGGACATCTCCTCATTCATCCCTTTGGCGGTTGGGGTAGGTTCATTCGAAATTTCTGCTGCTGAGCAGGTGATAATCAGATTTTAAAGGCCATATCAAGCCTCAGTGCAACTTTGCGGCGCGCATTGCAAAAGCCAAGAATACGGGGGTCACTTTCCTCATATCGCCAACTTACTACAACAAGACTCAGCAGGAGCTCTCGCGCCACTTTGAGAGCGGGGACGAACGATCCAAGCTTATCAGGTCGCTGCCGTTGCCGCATGGGTTTATACTAACAGTGGCGCTGATCATACATCTCTTCCCAGACTTATCGGCCTCAGAGAGGACGTTACAGTGTCAAGCATCGAGAGAGGAGACCCCGTATTTGCGGAGGTGTACACGTCTATTGTGGAGACGGGCTCCCTGACGTGTTCCGTCTCGAAGACGGTATTTGACGGTCTGTCTCAGCCAGATACCGCTATCGTCGACGTAAGTGACGTGGTTCCTTCTCTGGATGAGTTACACCTCACAGTTGGCCATCGTTCCCAGTTTTACGGTTACGGTCCGCTTCAAGTAATTCGTAGTGCGAGTCGTACACCGGTGAAAGTCCTCGTTTGGAATGGCGGGGCTCTGTCATTCATACTCCGAGTGTTTGGTCCGATAACCGAGAAAGGGATTGATCATTGGCAGGAGATGGTCGGAACAAAGGCCGCAGTAACCGGGATGGATTTTGTCGAGGCCGCAAACGACGTGAATCATTTTATTTTCTCATTGAGAAGTGATTAACTCCCCATCCAGATCCTGACGGGAGACCATGGGACTATCGTTGAAGTTCCCGGAATGCCAAAGATGTATGACTGGGAGTTTTTCCCTCAGCCGGTATGCAATGCTCTACATGCATATTCGTCCGTGCTCATGCTGATATGGTCTTTCCTGTAGTTACCACCTTATCCAATGGGGCTTGTAGCTATTCAGATGTATCAGTGAGTTCTAGGATTGCTTCAATTACCACAACTGATGCACCGATTGTATCTTAGACTGCTGCGCGCATGCGATGGTGGGTTACATAATCAACGAGACGGCAGTTACTAAACAGCCGTGGATGAAGGTGTTATACATATCACAGCAGAAGAATACGAACCCGTATACGCCGCTGCCTTCGATAAGTGGTTGGGGCCAGAACGAAAAAGCTATGTTCTTGGACCTTTGCTCGCGGATTCCAAGGGCGAAGCAGCTAAAGCCGGCGAACTGGTTCAATCCGCTAAAGCGAAGGAAATTCAAGAGTTTCTGAACAAGAACCTGGACACTCATGGTGTCAGGTCCGTCCTCTATGTGAGTTAGATTCCACGCTGATGTACAACTCGTACTTACTAACAACTCAGGTTTCATTCGGATCGACATCGTGGCCCGCCGAACCTGAGAAATTATGGGCTTTCCTGGACGTTGCCATGGAGCTCAATATCCCCTTTGTACGTGGAATGGTGAATTATTGACCCACAAACAGAGTAATCGATCCCTTCAGATCCTGAGTCATAACTCTCCTCAAGCCGTGATTCCACCCGACTTCGTTACAAAGGCCGAGACTTCCGGGTTGGGCATTCTCTCAAAATGGTCGCCACAGCAAGTTATCTTAGACCATGAGGTTGGACTTGATAATCCTCGATTTCCTTCCTCTCAATCTCATTCTCATGCTTACATAGGCTACCGGATGGTTCCTGTCTCATTGCGGGCACAATTCGTGTTTGGAGTCGCGTGAGTCTTAGACGTGTGCGATCTTGCAACCAATGCTCATGGATAGCACTTACAGTGAGCTCTGGTGTTCCCATGTGCGGAGATCCCCTTTCAGTCGTCACTGGTGGATGCTGACATACGATCCAGAATCGGGTGGCCGTATGCGATCGACCATGTAACAGGCGCGGTGCATGTCAGCACCGTGCTCAACGTTGGATATGAGCTCCTCGAAGTGCGAAGCGGGACGATGGGCCTTAAAACCGTATACCGAACCGGCATTGCACCAGAAGGCACTGTGGACGCCGTCAGACGCGAGGCAAGAGAAGTCTTGCAGCTCGCGAAAGGACGCGATGGCGAGGCCAAGAGGCAGAATGCTCTGAAGCTCAAGGCGAAGCTGGCTGAAGCTTGGACGGAACACGGGCCCGCTTTCAAGGCATTCCAGCAACTTCTCGCTGATCTGAGTGCAGCTTGATGTCAGGTCTAGTCAACGGCTTTAGACAAATTTTAACGTTAGTAGACAGCGTCAGAAGAATCCGAGCTAGGACTTCGTTGTGAAGATATATCTGTATACACGTACTAGAGCTGTTCGTTCAAATGTGTGCTACGCGGAACTCTAGTTATCTTCGACACGCGTACCAAGGTCGCGATATACTAGATTTATTATCCGCCTCTACTTCTTGATCAAAAGGCAACGAATGATAGAACTTGAAAATCAAGGTCACCAAGACGCAGTTCACGATCTGCAAGAACGAGCGTCGGTTGCACGAAGAATGTCGATATAGTGGATAACCTTTCTTCTAGAGCCACCAGATGTGCAGTCAAGGAGCGGTGTTACGAGCTGTAGGGCAACGCTGGCATGAGCGGTACCTGGCGCAATTGTCAACCTCAACATGTCGATACCAACGAAGCAACGCCGGAGCTTCTTACTATACATTGCCGCTTTGCCAATGAATAGACCGGGTAAAGCCGAGGAAGCCTCACAAGGTTGCATCAGTCGAACTCCGGCATCGCGAAAGATGGTCTCCAGGCTTCTGAAATCCAGGGCAATGGTTGTGACAACCATCCGCACACTGAGATGTTCATAGCTCAGGAGAGCGTTCAGTTGTGCCGCTGCGGCGATACTTGCATGGAGTATGCCATCTGACTGCATGAGTGGTTCCAGGCGCAGCTCCACGTCGGATAGCCCAGATTCTTCGACGAACTGGAGGGCGTGTTCAAGCCAAACGGCAGCTCCTTGATAAAGCCTTGGTTCAGTATCAATCTGCAATTCGCGCAGCGCCAGGAGCTGCCTCAGAGTAGGGATCAACTCTAATATGCACTTCAGTGCGAGCCTGCGAGACGAAAAATGGAAACATACGGCACAGATCGCAGTCGAAGACGAACCCAACTCGAAGACGACGAATACTAGTTGAATGGCTGTAAGCCAGCTGCTTCAAAAGCGGTAGATCTGCGTGCTCGGCTCTTCCGACTAAATCAAAGGAGATCTCCTGGAGACTTTGAGGAATCAGAGCGGCGATGAGCCAGTAGTATATCGATTTAGGGTCGAGTCCGCTCCGTCCCATGGTCAACTTTTTGATATTTAAAGTCGGCCGAATCAAGGAAGGATCGGTCAGTGACCCCTTGGAACCTTCAATTGATAAACTCGATAACCGGGGTGTAGAGGCGAGGATATCGTGGAAACAATTGATAGGGTGGAAGGCATAATGGTGCAAGACAACGTGTTGCAGGTTCTCGTGAGATCTAAACGAGTCGAGAACGTGACGAGGAACTTGTTGTAGGGGATTCGCGTGTTGGCCGATGAACGAGAGGGTCGTTAAATGAGGCATGACCTTCAAAAACGTCGAAAGGGACTGGATGGCCCACATTTTCCAGGGTGGCGAGTTATAGAGCTCGAGCCTTCGAACATGCTGTCCGATAGCGCTCGCACCATCACCTAACACGAGAAATCGTTCGCATTTGCGAGCTCCGGATATTCGGAGGCGATAAAACATATGAGAGCGAGCACGATGGGAAGTCCATTTGCAGACCAGACTCCAGGTTCGACGCTCCCTCTGTTCTCCCAAGTCGATTATGAACTCAACAAGTTCTAGCGGCAAGCTCACTGAAACGAGGATATAAGATATATAGGCATCAGTGACTTAAAGAGGTGTACTAACGTTCACCGTATTGAACGTCACAGCCGTCCGGCGAGCGCGACAGAGGTGTCATGGAGTTGGGTGCACGAGGACGAGAGCGTACTGCCGGAGTGCTCCTCTTCAAGTACCAAACTGCGGGACCAGCGTGCCGGTTCTTAATGGGCGGCGGGCAAATATCAGAAACTCGTTTACCAAGTTGGGCTTGTAGCTCTGTCAGATCGGCTTCGTCCTAAGTAATGACTGTCAGCGATCGCCGCAATATCAACACGCATGGCGCTTCTTAACCAATGGAGGTAGAGCCGGGCACATACATGATTTGAAACGCATTCGAGATTCTGACCTGACCCGAGCCTAGCGGAAGAATGGAAACCGGAAATGTGCGATAGCAAATGAGCGGATGATCGACTTCGAGCACACATCGTAATCCAAGAATGATACCCAGAAAGGAATTGGAGATCGCGAGGCCGGTTGTTCACGACGGCGTTTGTGGATTTGAACCGCTGCATTGGAGAGATGGGACTATCATCACGGGAGTATCAACACCCACAGGCATCATGTGGGGTCACGGCGTCTAACCTTCAGAATTCGAGAATCTCGCAATAAAGATACACGTGTATGAATACAGAGTGAGATATAGAGTACATACTAGGGAAGCGTGATAAGTCGACTCGCGTCTACGAACTTGCGATCAGCTTTTCGGCGCTGCAATATCTGGCTCCATGCACGTTTCCTTCAGCCTCTTGTCTTCGTATTCCATCTCCTTGACTCGCCGGCGAATCTCCCTTCGCCTCTCGAAGCCGTATTCTCGGGCCTCGCGGCGCGCCTCCGCAAGGTTGGCAGCCGCAGCAAGATGTCGCTTCTCCGTCATTTGCATAGGGTTCCACACAAAGATCGGCCCAAGGCCAATGACCAGGGACTGTTCTCCAGGGGGTCAGATCGTGCGTCGTCTGGTGATGAAGAGACGCACCACGAGCCCGCCGGCGATGATCACCTTGTCTTTCCATGCGTCGTCCGCATCCCAGCTCCAGTCCCGTCCACCTCCGTGCCTCGCAGCGAATTCATCGCCCCACTGGTCCTTCCTCTCCGCCCTGTACGTGCGCTGATAGTACGCCCGCCGCCGCTCCAGTTCTGCAGCCATGTCCGGGGAGCGCCACATGCGGGTGTGCGAGTCGTGCAAGGGTCTACGTCCGCGTAGGACGTCATATGCAGACGATATAGATTGGAAGCGGTGATGTCGTTCGGAAGACGGAAGATGACGGCAAGAAGGCGAATCCGGATGGTGAGCGCGGACCAGGTCGTAGTCTAAGATCGACGTGCGTATGAGCACTGTTTGGGCAGGTAGTATAAAGCCACGTACACCTTTCTTTGATCTCTTTCTGAGACGCTCCCGGGGATAAGTGAAATATTTGATGAGGTGTGGGGTTCGGATGGCTAGGGTATGGATAAGCAGCCGACGTAGAGGCCGCTCGCGAGCATGATAGCACAATAGCGCTACAGACAGCCGAGTTCGTCGCCAGCAACGGCATACTGTCGCCCTAATCCTTGAAGGTTGCAGTCATGGAGGTTAACGCCAAAGGAGCGATAAGTCAGAACTGACGTAATCTAGCCCTACTTTAAGGTTAGAGTCATCGACACTCGCTCCAGCCCATCGACTTGCTTGCTCCCCCTGCCCATGTTCTCTGAAAACGTTTGACGACCCAGGCGCCGAGCGTTCGTTGCAGTGCATCCACGGAGGATCCTCGGGCTGACTGGTTACATAGAAGACAGCATCAGCTTGGTTCCAGTCGTACAGGGTCGCGGTCCTCCAACACTCGGTTGTTCTGCTAGTCGTCGCGCGTCCGGCACCATGTTCTTCATTGTATGTATCGCAACATGAAATGCGAAGAATCCATCTCCTATTTGCGGCCTTTACACAGAAAGAACTGGAGCACACGATTCTTCTGCACCCGTCCTACTTCGGCCCGCGAATGCTGCAGTACCTCGAGTCCAAGCTTCACGCCGACGTTGAAGGCACTTGCTCCGGAAAATATGGCTATATCATCTCGGTCGTGACGTTGATGGACATCGGGCGAGGGACTATATTGCCGGGGAGCGGCCAGGCGGAGTTCGTGGCGCGGTATCGTGCTATCGTGTTCAAGCCGTTCAAGGGCGAGGTGGTAGACGGCATCGTCAACAACGTGAACAAGGTGCGACACCCCACCCCTTTTCGATGCTGGCTGAAGAGAATCAACGTCGACATGACCCGTAGATGGGCTTCTTCTGCGAAGTCGGGCCGGTGACATGTTTCGTGTCGCAGCAGGTGCGCCCGGCATCGTCGCTCTCGCCAGAGGTTGTTTGACGCCTTCCTTTCAGCTCATCCATCCAGACATGAAGTTCGATCCCAGCTCAAACACACCATCTTTCGCGTCAGAAGATCAGGCATGCACTACACTCCCCGCCGTCCGCTGTCTATCCATGCTCAATTGCCCTCTGTTTCACAGGTCATAGAAAAGGGCACACACGTCCGGCTAAAGATCGTCGGTACTCGAGTGGACGCTACCGAAATCGTGAGTCATCGACCCATTGCCCGTTCCAGTGCCCGGGGCCTAAGCTTACCCTCCCCTGTGTCTAGTTCGCGATCGGAACAATAAAAGAGGATCACCTCGGTGTTATCGATTGAAACTTCGCCCACCGATGTTGCCTGTCTTCACGAACCTACTGTATCCCTACCTATTTGCTATTTTGCGCTATGTCGACTGTCGAAAATGTTGCTCAGGACAGTCCCGAAACACGGATCAAGTGGTGAAAATATTGTATGCTACATTCGCATTGAGACTACGTGGGGTATATACGATATACGCGGACAGTTCGAGAGGTACGACAACGGGAGATAACGACGGAGAGTTGAGGGCGCTGTGTAGTCTACAACAGGTCCAGACCATGCGAGACAGGAGTGGTATGCAATCATTGCGAATGCGGGGACTATGAAGCAGATGGATAAAGATAAGTGCGTAGACTCGATGCGGATGCGATATTAGGTGCGTTCTTATGTGCTTGAGACGTGCAGAAAGAATGTCAACGAGATTCGAGTCCGTGTGATGACGAGTCTCTAAAGAGACTGAGCGAAACAGGGGGAAGAGGTCCATACCGGCCTTATAATAAGGCGGCCATAGCAGCGACGATAATGACGGAGATCGTGACATGGCTCGTGGATAGTCTGCCTCCAGCTGACTTCTTCGTCGTCGAGGTGGTGGTGGAAGCCGTACTGCTCGCGGAGACGGTCGCAGTGCCCGTGGCGCTGGCGCTCGGCACCTCGCCCCCGTTCCATTCCGCGCGGATGATGCTCGCGGCCTGTTCCGCGAGACCGTAGACCGGCATCTGCAGATGGGCGGCAAACTCGATCGGGAACACCGACGCGTCGACGACGCGGACGTTGCCGAGGCCGTATACCTTGAGATCCGCGTTGACGACGCCGCCCTGGGACAGCGGGAGCATGGCGCACGAGCACGAGGGATGGTACTCCGTTCCGGACGAAGAAGCGACGTACGCGTCCCAGTCGGCGTCGGAGGAGACCGAGTCGCCCGGCATGAGCTCAGACATCATCGCAGTCGAGAGCGGCGCTGCGTTGCCGAGCTTACGCGCGAGCTTGAGGCCCTCGCGGAGCATCACCGTGTCAGCGTAATGCGAGAGATACTGCGGGTCGATGACGGGCTTGTCGAACGGATCGGACGAGTTGATGTAGACACGGCCTTGAGAGAAGGGGTGCTGGAGCGCGGCTTGGATCGCGATCGACTGAGATCCGCCGACGGCGGTACCGGTAAGGGAGAGCAAGAGCTCGATCTGGCCAACGGCGGAGGTGAGGAGGGAGTTTACGTTCACGTTGTAGATGGCCTTGTAGCCCTCGATCACGGTCGCGTCCGTCGACGGCACAAGGTTGGACGCAGCGGAGGAGAGGTTGGCGGCGATCTCGGATTGGAAGGTGGAGGCGAAGTCGGGGCCGACAAGGTCTGTAACGTTGGCGTAGGCCGTGGCGGAGTTGATGAACGAGAGGAAGGGCGACGATGTGCCGCCGGGCAGGTTCGTGATGTTGCTCTGGTGCAGCGAGGCGGCTGTATCGGCGGAGGTTTTCCAAATCACGGAAGAGCTGAGATGGTCTTGCAGGTGCTGGCCGACACCGGGCAGTTCATGCTGAACCTCGACGCCGGCTGCATCGAGGACGTCCTTTGGCCCGACGCCGCTCAACTGCAATATTTGCGGGCTGCCGATGGCGCCTCCAGCAACGATCACTTCACGCCTGACGCTGACGGTCTTCCTGTCTCCGTCTCTGGTCGCAGCATATTCGACGCCGTTCGCCGTCATGTTGCCTTCAGAGTTTGTGCCATTGAAGATTAGCCGGGTGACGGTCGCGTTAGCGAGGATGTCGAGGTTAGACCGGGGTGGGAGAGGATCGATGTAGGCGGACCGCGCGTACGAACGCGTCCAGTTGGCGGGATTGATGGTGGAAGTAGCGACAAATGCACCCCAGCCTTCGCCGGAGTTAGCGTCTGGGCTTCGAGGAATGCCGATAGCCTCCAGGGTGGTTGTCCAGTTGCCGACCACGGGGACGATGCTGTGATGACGCTCATCAGATACGCGTTCGAAATCGTTACGGAGTGACTCACTATCCGGGGTACGAGACCTGCACTGGTCCACTGGTCCCGTGCGCGTCCATGCTGTATTGGATCGAGCCCTCCTGCTGAATCTCGTCGCTAGGCGGGTGGAAGTCCTCGCTCTTCTTCATCGCGTTGAAGAGACTGGCCCAGGTCCAAGGGGTGGATCCAGTTCCGGAGATGAGGTTCGACCAAGCGTTGACCTCGAGTTCGGAAGGGCGAACGGCGTAGAGACCGTTGACCGCGGACGAGCCACCGAGTACTTTGCCGCGGGACCACGAGAGAGCCCGGTTGTTCGCGGACGGCTGAGGGACGGTAGTGTATCCCCAGTCGTAAGAGGTGCCGAGAAGGGAGGAGTAGTACGCATTACCGGGAACGTCTGTGGAACACAGGAGGGTCAGACCGAGTAAACGAGACTAAGAGAGCCGTGGATACATACCAATAGAGCTCTTCACGGCATCGCCGGTGTCCCCTGCCTCCAAGACGAGGACGGTCGCGTTCGCGTCCTCCGAAAGGCGAGCAGCGAGCACGAGGCCGGCCGTCCCTCCGCCAGCAATGACGTAGTCGTATTCCGAGGCGATTTGTCCATTATAGACAATATTCCGTGCACGCAGTTCACGTACTTCGCGTTCATGTGATTCGTGAGGATGTACGTCGCGATGACCGCCTGTCCAACCACGGACGGAGGCGGCGAGGGAGACCGCGGCGAGTACGAGCTTGAAGTTGGCGGATAGCATGTAGGTGGGCGATCACTCGAGGCGGAACTCAAGAGGGTCCTGCCCCGAACAAACGGAGAATTAGTGGATGATGGGTGAGTGTGTGTTGGAATTAGCAGCTCACCGAGGGGAAAGAAAGAGAGTTTTATGAGCCCTCGGGCTCGGGCGGGGGATTGAGGGTATGGTGTGCGCCGCTCGCGAGGAGTTGACGGACGGGGTTGATTGACCGTCCTCGACCGGGTGTCGACCATCCGAGGCCGACCCCGAACATCATCGGCCCGGGACGAGGCCAACGCCAGATCATCTCCGGCAGGCGTCGGCGATCCTCGGCACGGTCCTGACAAGTGGGTCAGGTGACGCCCCATTTCTGAGCTAAAGCAGTGACAATGGCAGTGACATTGAACCGGCCACTCACTGCCTATGGCTCTTGGCATGGCACAGCCTCAAGCACATCGGGCGATCTTACGTCGGGTGATTATATACTAACCAGTGACCCATCCTCCCCTGTCACGACGATCGTCTGCCACGCACCATCACGACTCGACAGTGCTTAGCTTCAGTCGTTCCATGCAACAATGCCCGAAAACAGCAACCCTCAACCTAGCGGAGGTTAGTGTACAGTGACTTGGCTTGCGGCACAACTGGATTAACATTTATCGAAGTTTGTTTACCGACGGAACTCGTTGAGCGTATAATCCACCACTGCGATAGAGAAACACTTCAGACTTGGAGCTTGGTCTGCACGTCGACGCTTCACCTCCCCCGCTCGCACCTTTTCTGGAGGCTCCGCGTTTACGGGCACGAACGCTTACAGCAGCTTCTCGCGCTGTCGGACGGCGGGAGGGGGATAGGTTACCATGTCCGGATGCTCATGCTTCAAAGCTTGGATCACACATCATCCCGGATGGTTGACTCATCTACGGGGCCGTGGGTCATTGAACAACTACCGACGATCCTGCGTATTATGCCTCAGCTCACGACTCTCGTCCTGGCCGGATTCCACGCTCACCAATTGCGCGCTGTTCCGGAGTCTTTGCTCGAATCCCTTCGACTTCATACGAGCTTACGACACGTTGCGCTCTGCAATTTTGACTGCCGTGTTATCGAATGCTACCACGCCGTCTTGGCATCGTTTCCTCGGCTCTCGCGGCTGTCGATCGAGAACGTTATCGGACGCGTGGATGACATTTCTCTCATACGCCCTTCTCTCCGCATCAAACGATTAACCCTCGGCCGACACGGCCCCGGCGCTGGCCGGCCCGTATACGACTGGCTCGAGAATGCCCTGGCGCCAGATTGCCTCGAAGATGTCTCGTTTGCATTCAGCGCACACGTGGAGCAAGCGGATCTTCCCTTCATCTCCAGGTTGGCCACCAACCATTCAAAGAGCCTCCGTCATCTCAACGTCGAGTTCCTACACGACACGGACTTCCGAAGTGAGTTCACCGTCAAACATCGCGGCGGAATTTGAGCGTGAAAACCTGTGGCAGGATTTTCCTCCGTTGTACGCCAGCTGCCGCTCCTTCGAACGCTTCAGATCGACATCAGAGTCGTATGGCCCTCCAGAGCGCCCACGTGGCCGGATTACATCCTCCATATAGTGGACGACGCCCGCGTTCCCAACCTAAGTCTTCAAGTGACGGCCAAGCTAACGCGGCGCGGGGCCCTCGAGGAGACTCTACGTGCGGCCGCGGATGTTTACTCACGGCTAGGCAGAAGTTCCGCGGCGGTGCGCCTGACTTGCACCAAGCATTGCTTAGGAACAAAAACGCCGGAAGACTTGATGCGGGATGCCGGACTTCGCTGCGTTGGTGTTGATAGTGTGCACAGTGATCCAAAGACCTTACTCGCTGCAGTTCCCGCGAGAGCGGGATCTCTTTTCGGTGAGGAAACTCTACATATCAGGTATTGCGGAAGCTCAGATACGCACCAGTTATACCTGGCCAGGATCACGTTTTTCAGGTACATACTGCTCCTCTGATTGAGGACTGGGTCATCTCTCAAGACTCAGATATTTCGCATTACATTGAACTTTTCTGTATAGCTAACTCATCGTCGTAAGTAGACGCTGAAACGATCTCGAGGATGCCGCCGTATCGTGTGATGTTCTGAATTTTGGACTTGAGAACGCGCGAAGGGAATGCCACTTAGCAGTGGCGAACGTAATGATATCCACCGCAGTTTCAGCAGTTGTGTATATTGAGGGTGACCTCAGTACAGGGACTGCTCCACGGACACAAACTGCCTTTAGATCACTGGGTTAATCTTGGCTCAATTCCCATCGAATTTGATGTATCGGTACTAACCCTAACCTGATTGCCGAAAGGCAGTGCGAAGGCATCGCGACCACCTGCTGACTCTCGAGCGCGCGGGCGACTTGATATCTCCTTCGAGAGTCGTGTTCTGTTCCTCGTCTTTGCTCTCGAACTACCCTACAAACCTGTGACCTGATCGTCTTTACAACGATCACTGTATCGGGCATACCACGCTCACGTCTGTGACATCAGTCTCCAGTGAGCAGCGACAAGACGTGCCACGCTAGAGTAAAAAGATCTAATAGTGGTTTAGATCAACCGTTGCAATGTCCCGCTTTGTACGACCGTCGAAATACCGGTGAGTAACGGCTTCATTCAGGAACAACTACACCAGAGTCATCGACCGCAGTCATGTGTTCGGACAGCCCGGCAAGAAAGAGTACGGTATCGACAACGTGAAGGTATCTGGGAGCGCGTGGGACACCAACTTGATATCTGCCTCGGGGGTAAGTGACCTCCACCTATCGCCTTTGTCGTCCTAACTGCAATTGCGCAGCAATACATCAGTGTGAACTGGAACTCGTCCGGCGGAGGCGCCTTTGCCATCCTTCCTCTCCCTTCCCCATTCACGCCGATCCCCGGCTTTCCGGTCAAGCTTCCTGACATCGTTCCGCTGGCGCGCAGTCACAGTGCGACCGTCCTAGACACGGACTGGTCGCCGCATAACGACTCCATCGTCGCGTCTGGAGGAGAGGACGGGAAAGTCTGCGTGTGGAAGGTCGAATCGGGGACGTTCGAAGGCTGGGGTCAAGAAGGATGGGTGCCGCAAGACTTCGATCCGGTCGCTCGCATTGAAGCATCCCCGCGCAAGATTGGCCAGGTTCTCTTCCACCCCACTGCATCCCACGTGCTTGCGAGCGCGTCGGGTGAGCATACGGTCAAGCTATGGGACTTGGGTAACCCCGAAAGCCCGAAGAGCGTCCTCGGTGGTCATAACGATGCCATCCAATCCATGACGTTCAACGCTGTCGGCACGTTGCTCGCCACCACTTGTCGCGATCGCAAAATCAGGCTCTTCGACCCTCGAGTCGGCGGAGAAGCAGTCAGGATCGCTGATGGTCACGGAGGGGTCAAAGGTGCTCGGGTGACATGGCTGGGCGATAACGACCGCATTGCGACCACGGGTTTCAGCAAGATGAGCGATAGGCAGCTGTCACTGTGGGAGACTGGAGGGCTTGGTAACATCAAGGCTATTACCATCGACCAGTCGGCCGGAGTTATCATGCCTTTCTGGAGCGATAACGGGATCATATTCCTAGGTGCGTGGATCCATCAGCATTGGATCTTTCTCGAGCTGATTGTGTTTCACATAGCTGGCAAGGGGTGCGCTGCTTTTGACATTCCTGCAATAATCTATCTGATCCTCTTTCAGTGACGGAAACATACGATACTACGAATACGAGTCGGACTCGCTTCACGCGTTGGCTGAGCACAAGTCATCCGAGCCCCAACGCGGCATGTGCTTCTTACCCAGGCGCGCGCTCAACGTCCAGGAATGCGAAATAGCGCGTGCTTACAAAGTCGTCGGGTCGTACATCGAGCCGATCGCCTTCATCGTCCCACGCAAGGCACGTCCTATCGACTTAGCGCCGATGCATGCTTACCATCCCCCGCAGGCTGATTCGTTCCAATCGGACATCTTCCCGCCAGCTCCTTCGAGCGAACCGTCTCTCACGGCGGGAGAATTCTTCTCCGGGAAGACGCCCGCGCTGAAGCTGGTCAGCCTGGATACTGGTGTCGTCTCGACCACCGCATCGTCTGCGGGCTCCGTTCCCGCCCCAGCACCGACCAAGACCGCATCTGCTCCCGAACCCGCTCCCGCGCCGGCGCCTCAGCCTCAGCCACCCGTCGCACGAAAGTCGGAACCGGAGGTTACTTTCATCACGCCGTCCGCCCCTAGTCCCTCCACACCCGCGGTGGCATCACCTATGGCGCACAAATCGGTGCCAGCCGAGTCGAGCGGAGGCGCGAGCACGGCAGAGATCAAAGCGCTTAAAGAAGAGAATGCGGCGCTTCACAGCGAACTGCGAGAAGCGAGGGAAAAGATCCGCAACCTCGAACTTCAGGTCGAGGGCATCCGAGCCAATGCTCGGAAAGCCGCTGAAGCGCTTCTGCAAGGATGATGACGCTAGACCCCACCCGGGACGATCGATCACCCGAAAACGGCTCCTTGCGGTGTGGATCAAATATTTGCGCCTGGTATTGTTCGGGGATAGAGCCGGGATCTTCATGAGCCTGTGGCAAAGTGGACGATGATAGCGCAGAAACGCCCTGTATACTGGATGTAGGATGGAATCGCGCAACCGAGAGATGCTGTGCTAAGTTCACCGGGGCACGTCGGAGGATGAGGTAAGGCACATTGAGCTTTCAGGACTCCCCCGACCTTGTGCGGTCTCATCGGCGTTAGTATATGAAAATGGTGCAATGGTGTAGTAACGCGCGCGTCAGTCAATTTGCCGGTGACTACTAGGGCCGAAGTGGCTGTCTATTCAGCAGCCGCGCAACCCACTGGCTCTGTGAACCTTTTCGGACATTTTCGCCTCCGCCCATCCTTCTCAACCGAACAATGTAACACGATACCGCTTCGTCGTAGCTCCATGATCCTTCAGGTCAGTCATGCCATATCCATCGTATCCGTAGTCTGACTTTTCGAGTCGTATGTGTAGATGGGCGTTGGTGCCTCTAACCGGCCCGGCTTGCTTTTGAGTTTGCTTGGATCCTGCTTGCTCGGAGTGTGCATATTTGTGCAGGTTTCCGACCATTTCGCATGCTGCTGCCGATTTCGCAGCTACGAGGAGGCTTACTGACTGACCGCCGAGCTAGCGGATCAGGGTCAGGTAAACGCATGAAGGTTAAACAAGGATAACCTACCCGAACGAACGGTAGGTACACCGTCTCAGATGGCGGCGCGGGCTTACCGATTGTAGCAGAAAACATACGCATTAACTACCTGCTGTGTCGGATAGCTGAGAAAAAAAACGCCTCATGACCAAGAGTTTATTGCATCGCTCACGTCAAAAAACACGATTGGCCGCATCAGTCGGCGTCACTACGACGGATAGCCCTACAGAGCAGGTTTGCAACTTCCGTAGCACACGGTCGTTGACGACCATGTCTTTGCGCGCCGCCGATGGGTCGACGGATGTACCCACTAGTGGGTAACCGTTGCAACTTCAAGCTTAACCGACCTTGCCTGTTGAGTCAACAATGACTCCCAATAACAGACTGCTCAGGGCTGATACCCGCAGGCTGAGCAGCAGCGACATCATTCCGCGGTTAGCAACGCACACCATGCACGTTGCTTCGGTTCATCGAGATTCATTTCTCTGCTTGTATGCAGGGCTGTAGGCCTAACCATTGCACATGCGTCTGCCTGTGTGGCGCGCGTACCTGACTACAGTATGCACCGCAGATTGACACCGTGTACGCACGGTATCGTGTCCGGGAGAGGCATAGTCCTGCATTTGGTGCGAGGCATTTATCCTCTGGTTTTTGCATCGCACCGGCTGATGTGGATATAAAGCTTTCACTGTTACCAGCAGCATGGAGTGTTCGCAGAAGAGTCCACTCAAGGAACTTGCTACGACGCTTTTGATCTTATTCTCGATGCTCAACGTCAAATCTACATTTTTGGTTACGACTCTGACGCTGATCACCTTCGTCAAGGCTGGGGGATCGTCGCTACCTCCGAAAACTAACCTTCCGATTGTCAATCGCTTCATTGCTCCTGACGGGTTCAATCGATCGTACGGGCAGGTCATTCGCATGTAGCACCTTGCCTGAACGGCCATACAGGACAGTCTTAGCAGGAGGTGTCTTTCCTGGGCCCCTGATCGCGGCTAACAAGGTAAGATCAACTGTCAAGAACCTATCAATATATTCATGATACAGTTGAAGGGCGACGAATTTGCCATCAACGTGCAAGATCAACTGCACGATCCTACAATGAACCAGACCACCAGTATCGTGAGCCCATCTTGTATTTATCAGGGAGGGGAAACAGACGGAAAGCCCGTTCACAGCATTGGCATGGCATCCAGCAACGCGGTGGGACTAACTGGGCGGATGGCCCTGCCTTCGTAACTCAATGCCCTATCGCACCCGGTATGAAGTCACAAATATAGCTTACCCTTTACTCAACAGAAATATAGGTCATTCCTTCCTCTATCGATTCAATAGCTTTGATCAAACAGGGACCTACTGGTACCATTCTCACGAAACTTTGCAGTACTGCGATGGTCTAAGAGGTGAGCAGCCAGCACAATGCATGACCCCAGCTTCTAGCTCCCGCTCAATGACCATCGTCAGGTCCTTTAGTAATCTATAACCCCGACGATCCTCAGAAACATTTGTACGATGTTGATGATGGTGAGCTTGTCAGTGACTACTCAATCATGCTAGTTTACTGACGATATCATCATAGAATCGACCATCATTACTCTCGCGGATTGGTAACTCTTTCGAGATCAGCGTCCTGTACAGACTTAATCTTGGTTCTCTCTCACAGGTACCATCAGGTTTCGCTCCAAGTGCAGGGTCCTTTGTGAGTTCTGTAACATGAAGTGATGCGCAACGCTCACCCTACTATCCCAGCAATGAGTCATCTACCCTGATTAATGGTAAGGGAAGGTTCGCTGGTGGCCCAAACGTCGACTTAGCTGTCATCAACGTTGAAAACGGAAAACGGTATGGACTGAGAACAACCGACTATAAAAACGTCATTAAACGACGAACCCTCGTAGCTACCGTTTCCGGCTCGTTTCGATCAGGTAAACGCGACTTGCTCGCATAGCTATATGCTAAAGGGCGCGACAGCTGTGAACCAGCATACAATTTCTCGATCAACAGTCATTCCATGACCGTACGTGTATTCCAGCCTCTCATCCATGACATGTTGTCCAACCTTTTACGCGATACTTCAGGTCATCGAGGCGGATGGCAATAGCGTAAACCCTGTCACTGTTGGCTCGCTGCAGATTTTCCCTGGTAAAACATCATTCTGACTCTCCACTGTTATGTATCTATTCACGTTACGGTGCTCAGGTCAACGGTACTCGTTCGTGGCAAGTTCAGCTCACTCATTACATGGGTGATGCTCTATTGATGTATCCGCTGGCAGCTCACGGCCAATCAACCCGTAGACAATTACTGTACGTACACCCACTGGTCTGCGACTTCATGCAAGCCAACTGTCACTCTAGGGATCCGCGCTCAGCCCAACGTCGCCATGGATTCTAGCTTCAACAATGGCTTGAATAGTGCTATCTTGCGCTACGCTGGGGCAAATAATGCGGAGCCAACGCAAGCCCATCCCTCGCCAGGCATACCACTTCTGGAAACGAACTTGCATGTATGTACACTAGGTAGTACACTTATACTCTGCTGAGACCGCCCCTAGCCCACGCAAAATCCAGCTGCTGTTAGTATCCATTGTACTCATCGATATTAAGCTGACATTCTCATAGCCTCAAAACAGTCACGGGGAGGCCGATGTCGTGATCAATCTCAACTTCCTCTTTAATGCGGTATACTCTGACCAGCTCTGAAATCAACGCACTACTAACAACGCATTCAACTCAACGCATTCCAGACTTCAGGCCATTTTACGGTCAACGGTGCTTCGTTTCTCCCGGTTCGACCATTCGTGCCTGTTCTTTTGCAAATCCTTAGCGGGGCGAAGACTGCGCAGCAGCTCCTCCCTCCTGGAAGTGTGATGCCTTTGCCACGAAATAAAGTTATCCAGGTGTCCATGCCAGGGAAGAATGTGTTTGCAGCGGGAGGACCAGTACGTCTACGATGCCCCATGAGCTTCGCGCGATCTCTGAATGAACGATAAATAGCATCCACTCCACTTGCACGGAGTAAGTCGTCGTGGTTTCTTCAGTGAAGCACAGACTAAGAGCTAATGCCGCGATAGCATGCATTCTCTGTTATCCGAAGCGCCGGTAGCAATGTGACCAATATCATGAATCCAGTCAGGCGAGACGTTGTCAGTATCGGCGACGACTCAGACGACGTTCTCATACGCTTCACGACCGTAAGTGTGTCTGAAGCGGCGAGAGTACACAACTCACGAATAGGCAGGACAACCCAGGCCCGTGGATCCTACATTGTCATATCGACGATCATCTTAACCGTGGGTTCGCAGTCGGTATGTCTTCTTCTACAACGTCACACGAGTAGTGCTAAATCTGACTACGCTGTACGGTTCACTAGTCTTCGCGGAAGACATCCCAGACATACCAAAAGTTGATCAAGTTCCACGTCAGTGATGCTCGGTACAATCTAACCGCGAGACGATCCTCTGAATAGATGCATTTAGAATCTTGGAAGGAGCTCTGTCCCATCTACGACGCATTACCGGATAGCCAATTGTAGATCTTCGAGGACATTTGGGTGGTGCGGCCCAGCTATGACGCAAGCCCCGAGATAAGATGCTTTTGGGCGATGTACGATATCTCTTGATTCTCGTAGTTAATCCATTATCTAGCTAATGAGAGTCGAAATTTTATGCGAAGACCTGATACACTGCGCTCGATGAAATCGCGGAGGAAGAGACATATTGATGGTAAATCGAACGTGTAGCATCGGCCTTGGTCCATGTAAGACAATAAGGCATGCCGCTTTCAAGCTATGTTTATGTCGGATAGGAGTCGCCTGAACGCCTGATAGGCTGGGCCGTGTTCCGCCCAAGCCTCAGCTAGCTGCTGCTTGATCTTCTGGGCGTTTTGTCTCTTGATGACGCCATCGGGTCCTCTCGCGAGCTCTAAGGTATTCTTCGCCTCGCGCCGGACTGCATCCACCGTCCCGTCTGGCGCTTTTCCGGTCCGATACACCGTCTTCAGGCCCATTTCCCCGCTCCGAACCTCGAGAAGTTCGTATCCGACGTTCAGCACGCAGCTGACGTGTAAGGCATTCGTCGCTTGATCAATCGCATAGGGCCACGCAATGCTGGATTACTCGTTAATCATTCACTTCCAGAGAGTGCATATATCATCCACTTACAGCGGGATCCCAGAGCTTACTATGGATGGATAATGAGATTGGAACGTAAACGTCCTGACCGAGTCTGAGCTTACATGACTCCAGACACGAGTTCTGACCGCAATGAGAGACGAACCACCCAGTTGCCTGCGTTTATGTGAGTCGTGTTGGAGGGCGCAAGTCCCCACGTAGATGGTCTAACCTGATGGTCGAGAATGACTTGCTGGGGCGACCACTTGGCAAAGATACCCAGACCAGAACTCTCTGCTTTCGCGATGACATCGGGCGGAACCACAGCTTGGGGAGAACCATGGCTCATGATCTGTAGACGACCATTTATTGGCGCACACGTGTCGATACCAGTTTTTCACGTACGAAGGGTATCTTCATATCCATCACGACCTCCAAGAAAGCCCATAATTTCGCTGGCTCGGCAGGCCAGGCAAAGGAGCCAAACGAGATCCAGGATACGAGCAAACCACGTCACATGCCGCAAAGACAATTGAGGCAAAGGCTCACGTAAAGCAACGAATTGGCGCCGTGGCTTTTCAAGGCCGCGTCCAAGAAATCTTGAATATTTTTGGCCTTGGTTGATTGCACGAGCTCCCCGGTCTTCGCGATATCACCTTTGAAGTCGGGAAGGATCGGGCCCAATACATAGCTTTTCTTCTCCCTGCCAAACCACTTTTCGAAGGCAGCCGTATACACAGGCTCATACGCCTCCGCCGTAATGTGAATGATGCCTTATGAATGTAATCATGACGTCGGAATCAAATTCATCAATGACATCGAGATCGTACCATCACACGCGCATAGGAGCCTAGAGTATCGAATGAGATCCATATCCAAGCGGGTCCCCCGGGATGTGACTCACTGATACATCGCAACACTAACAAGCCCCATAGGGTACGAGGGTAACTGTATGTACATCAGGTAAGCAAAACTGTGAGCGCCCCAGACATATGATGCGCACGGGTTGAGGGAACAGCTCCCAATCGTAGAGCTTGGGCATACCGGGAATCTCCGTGACGGTTCCATGACCCCCGGTCAGTATCTGAGGAGCGCGTCAGCGCGTTTCCGAGTAGTTGGACGTGCCAGAACGTACATCATCGGCCGCTTCGACGAAGTTCTTCCCGGTTTCTGCAGCTCTAGTCCCGACGACGGTTTGCCAGTGCTCAATTCCTTCTTCGGAAATTGGGCCAAATACTCGAAGCAAGTACGACACGGCTCCCACGTTCCAGACGAGCACCTTCACAGTTTTGCGACTGTTTCGGCGGATCGCCTGAAGCGGCCCGATTCCGTAGAACTGTTGACGTGTAGACGGTCAGCCGGCTTCAGCAAAGGATTGCTCCGTACTTACATCTATGACAGCCGAATCCGGGTGTGTAAGACCTTCGAACAAGGTATTCGACACGGAACACCTAAGAGAGCCCGTCTCGACCATCGATTGGTATACGTCCTCGAAAAGGCGATCTCCTTGTTCGATGCTGGATACTGTGACGTCCTCCTTGAGGCCAATAAGTCTGGCGGTGCGAGACATTTGAGTGTATTTCTTATTGAATGTGGTACGGGCGAACCTGATGAGCTTAGACTCGTCGGCTCCGTTTTCGAATTGACGCGACAACTCCTGCTGGGTCTGCTTGTAATACGTCGGCGATATAAGGAAGGTGACGTTCGTGCCATTTTCTTTGGCAACGCGCGCTGCGAAATTACACAAGGGCCTGATATGCCCTACACCGTGGGCTCTGTCAGCGTAGATCCGACACTCAGGAGATCGACGCACCCCAGCCGCCAAAGCAATGAAGAAGGATATGATGACCTTCAGGCTCCGAGTCTTGAACGGTGGCCATTGGTGACGAAGCGACTGTTTGCGGCGATGATGCATCTGAAGGAATATGGACAGAGCTTATATACACGCGTGAAGATGAGCGGTGCCGAACTTTTCGGCGTGCACAACTAATTCGCCTGACGTCGCAGAAAAGCAAGAGATATGTCGTGCGCCCTAAATGTCAGCGGATATGGCATCACACCGTCCGTTAGAGGACGTTCTAATAATGACCATGTTCATAGGGCTCGGCAACTTGCGCGGCGTACCAAATGCAGTCGAACTCTATCCAATGCACACCATAAAATACCAGGGCCCCAGCCGGCGGAGCCAAACACCAACCATTAGAGGTTGTGCTTCGTGTTGCAGCTACGTAGAGCAGACGGATCGACGTTACCAAGAGCGCCCGTCGCTCTCAGGAATGCTAGATGGTGATCATAGAAGCTATGACGGGCGGAGGTCAGTGTATATGGTACCATCAGAGGTTCTCTGCAGAGCACTTGTGCCGTCGGAGGGTCTAGTTGTAGAAGAATGTTGAGATATCTCTTGGAGCCCGCACGACCTAGAACGACACGTGTCAAATTCAATGAATACGTCCTGCAACAGTACTGAGGGATATTTAAGGCAGGCCAACGACAGCTTATGACCGGGGCATGTCGGACCAAGCTCAAGCTACAACCAAGAGATTAAGAATGTATGACTGCATAGGACAAATGTCAATAATAAAATAGATGTACGGCCCACTTCACGATGAAATTAAAGATACTTGGTTACTTCTTGCGTTTCACAGCTATGTCACGGTCACTCAAAAATAGGACGAGGCAGCGATGGTAATACAAACACACCGGCGCCTTTTGTCGACATCTTCTTTGACTTGGACTTGCCAGCATCTCCGGCATCTTCCCCGTCCTCGTCGTTCTCGTCCCGTGCGCGTTTTCCCTTCGATGGTACCAAGGGCTTCTCCGAAGCGTAGCTCGGATAAGCTTTCGCTGCTTCTATACCTTCCGGTCCAACGGGGGCGCCCGGATTTGCTTCGCAATCGGGACAAAACCATTCGCCGTCTGGAACAGCTTGAAGTGGTGGGTCAAGGCACTGGAGGTGGTAAGGGTGATCGCACTAATATGACGTCTGAATACACTACATGGGCGATGTTTCGAAAGCACGTCACCTTTTCGCACTCTAAGAGGGGCACGTCCTCCCCTTTGTCGTCATTGCAAACGACGCATACTTCTGGTGGGTCCACTTCCTCTGGGTGTCGAGGAAGTTCCGAAAGCTTCTCGTTCGAACGAGCCAGGAATAGCGTCGTGTTCTGGCCAGCTGCAATTCTGTGGTGCGAGCGCAATGAATACCAAATTTATCGAAGAGTACATTCCATACGCTCACTGGAAGACGTCAACGCCTTCTAGGGGGACGTGCTTCGTCGGCTTAGTAGCACTCTTTGGTTGATCGGAACCAAGACCAAGTTCACCTATGCATGCCACTGTTAGCGCAGATCTCAAGTGACACGCAACGGGTCTCATACCGTTGCCCGCATTCTGTCCATAAGCAATCGTCATGACCGTACCGTCCTCTTCCGGACAGAGCGCGAAGTGGGTGACACCTCCAGATGCAGCGTGTGTGATCTTGCACCCCCTTATAGTCATCATTAGTTGGCGAAGCGGGAAATGAGATGCGGAAAACACGTACATGATGTCCTGCATGTACCGGAAAGTGGAATATGGTTGGCCTCCTGATCCGTCCCCGGTGTTCTTCCACTGCCGTTTGACAGATGTTAGGGGGGGGGGAGTTGTTTGATAGCCAAATATGAGCGTACCTTCCCTGCCATCCAATACATTCCTTGTTTGTCGATAACAACTGTGCTTGTTGGTCCTGCGGATATCGCTGAGCCCATGGTGATTTCATTCGGCCCAGCGTACTAAGGTCAATGGCATGAGCTTACGCACGATAATACGAGAATAAGTACGTACCTGCGGAACTACTTTGGGGACCATGACATCCTGCTGATTACCCAAGCCCAATCTGCAATAACCATTGTACCCCCAAACATACACCAGTCTGAGGCCAGGCTGCGATCAGCGGAAGTTGCAGCCCAGACGTACCGCACGCACCCCTGTGAGTCCAACGCAACACTGTGCTGCTGTCCACACGAGACGTCCACAATCTTCCTGTCGTCCAGTCCGCGAACAAGTAAGGGTTCAGAGACAACTTCGAAGGCGGTCTTTCCAGCGCTGACGATATGCTCGCCGGTCCGACCGTTGCCAAGCTGACCGTGTTCGCCGGAGCCACATGCATACACTAGGCGGTGCAGGTAAGTCAGACGGGGGGAGACAGATGCCGCAGCCTGTAGCTCACCTCGTCCGCTCGCTGTCAGTAATAGCGAAAACGATATGCCAGCCGCAGCCTTGACAAATCGTTCTTTGACATCATCCTTCACAGGCGCTTTGATGTTCCTGAACGATGATATCTCTGGACACGGCGCGTGTCCGCACTGGAGGATATCGGCGTATGAGCGACGACCGAGACGAAAGGTCGGGAAAGCCGACGCGGACCTCACCTGCCCATTCACGTTCAAGCCCGCGCTCCACGCGTTCCCGTCGCTCCCGACCAATATGGTGTGCCCCCTCCCACACGCAGCCCATACAAGCTTCGTGCCTTCTGCTGCACCCAGTTGGGCTGCCGTAACCTTCCTTGGCGCGTTCTCGCTTACGGCCTCCAGCTTCGATATACCGAGCGCGCTGTGTTGGTTTCGTCCAAAGAGCCAGGCATTGCCTTCCGCGTCGATCGCGATGAAGTGGCAGCCGGCGCAGGAAGCGTGAACGGAGACGACGTGAACGTTGGAGAGTGAGCGGAGAATGTGCGGCTCCAGTAAATCTGGGTGGTCGTCGTTCCCTTCGGACTTTCCGCCTTTATCCTTCCGCCCGAGCTTCGGCCTGGACGCGATAATCAGTTTATCGCCATCTGAGAGAATGAAGCACCGAAGGAAGCGAGTTTGCGCACCAATCTGTCCCCCCACAAATGAGGACTATTGCGTGAACACCTCAGTTCAGTATGGACCCTATCAGTGATGTGACTTGATTAGCTCACCTTTGCCCCAGGCTTTATCTTGTTCGGTCATGAGCTAGTCCCGGCTATTTACAGTATCTTCTCGATACCAACGCGGTGGGCAAGAGCAATGCGCGGGCGGGGGTGGCTGTGTTCACGCTTTCGCCGGTAACCGGTAACCTCCGGTCCTTCCTCGAGTTCGATATCGTCTTGTTTACCGACTCTCAACCTCATGGTGGCTAATGATCACTCTATATATCACATCTTACTTGATTATGGGTCTGCTATGTATGTCAGAACTCCCATGTTGAGACTCCTGATCCCGTGGACAATTGCGCGATCTGTTCTTCTCATCCACCGCAATTCGCCTCGAATCCGAGTCTTATCCTACGGTCACTGACGGTATCATGCATCCAGGAATATACGCGTATCAAACCTTCATTACGGCTTGATATGTCAAGGAGCAGATATTCTATACTCTACTTTACCCGTGCACCTATCAGAGTCAGGCCATCCACGCCTCGGAAGGTTCATCCGAGATTATCTCCACCACCAAAGTCGGATGGCATACGCAAGACATTGACGACATTCCAACCCGAGGAGCCCGGGCGCTTTCAAAGCCGTCTGACATGTCCTATGTCACCTTTTGCTAGATCAACGAGATCGGATCTGCCCGCCCAACCCGGTCACCCAATCACGACGAGTGCTCATGCACCTGGAAAACCTCCAATTTGGAGCTCCATGAGGCTCCTAGCCCTCGTTTGACACTCGCATATACGTCTCCGGTCGTAATTTGACGTTGGGCGTTTAATGTCGGACATCAAGAAGGTCAAAGATGTAGCGCGCTCGTCCCTCGGTGCACCAGCTGGCCTACAAACACGCCACCCAAGACGTATGCGGTGCCTACAAAAACCGCCGCTTTCTGGGGACGGCATGCTAGCAGACCCGTCTTCATTTCGTCGTTGCTACCCCCTAGATTGTCTGATGCAAATTCGCTCTCTCTTCCTGGGTGAGTTTACCCATGATATGCTGCTGAACCTCCACCTTGACCGTTTCCCAAGCTCTCGCAGCCTTCTCTAACGCATTGGTGTCCGTGACCGCCTTCCCTTCTATGAGGACGGGAACCGCGCCAACACATGACCAGGTCAAGCGCGGCCTGCAGGCGATGACGTCGGACCCCAATCTGATTGCGCAAATACGTTCCATCTGGGCCAGCCAGCAGGAAGACCTTCGCCGTTGGAAGGTGGAGGGCAAGCGCGACGTCGTTGGCTCGCTCCTAAACGACACGATCGATGCTATCATCGGTCCAGAGGACGGCATTCTCGCGGGGCTTGCGAACAGCTTCGCCGCTCAGGTTGACGGGCTCAAGCGGTTCCCCGAGGACGATCATCCCTTCCAGTGGCCCTCTGACACTGACCAGCGTGGTACGCCTGCTCCATGCTGCTGTATACGTCTCACATTCCGACTTCCCGTCTCTAGGTCCATGTCCAGGTTTGAACACGCTCGCAAATCACGGGTACATCTCAAGAAATGGCATAGTTACAGCCGGCGAGGTCATAGCCGGTACCGCTGAGCTGTTCAACATGGGTGTCGATGTTGCTGCTTTCCTCCTCGCTGGTTCCGTTGCTCTCGATGGCGACATACCTACCCTCAGGTTTTCCATCGGTGGGGCGGATGGTCGCACCAACAGCCTCGGAAAGCTGGGTGGTCTTCTCGGAACCGAAACCGGCCTTGATGGTCACGGTCGCTTCAACGAGGGCGATGTGAGCGCTACTAGGTGAGCTCCCATCTCTTGCTCATCGTGTGGCTCTAGCTCATCCCTCATTCTGCCAGATGTGACTTCTATCTCTGCGACGGCGACAATCATAACATGCAACCCGAGCTCTTTGCGCAAATGCGCGAACAAGCGAAGGCGCATGGAAATCAGTACAACGTGAGGGCCATGGCGAAACATTTCTACTCGCGTTACCAAGACAGCGTCACCAATAACCCCAACTTCTACTTCGTACCACCAAGTGCGATCGTCGTCGTCGGTGCGACCTACTTCATCCCTGCCTTCTTCAGCAACGCCACCATCGGCGCCGGAGGAGTCGCGAATGAGGCCAGTATTGCTTCATTCGAGGGCGCGCACTTCAATTCGGATGGTACCATCACCTACGTACCGGAACGAAGTATGTTGGCTGTGATTTACATCAGATTTACGATGCTGATTCTATACAGTTCCTCCTCAGGGCTGGTATCGCCGTGGTGTCCCTATGACCCTCGTCGAGCTCATCGCTGGCTTCCTCGCCGTCTATGGTCCGAATCCAGTACTCTTCGGTGCGCACGCCGGCTCAACGGACAAATTTATCCCTGGCCCGGCCTCTTACCCACCTCTGCGCAAGACCTCAACGGCCTGGGTTGCTTCCTCTACAATGCTCTCTACGCCGATTTCTTCGGCGAATTCTACAATATTGTCGGCGCCGTCGAGGGCGGCGTCAACGCACTCCTCGGCCTTCTGGACCCCGCACTTTCCGATTTCATCGGCTGCACGCCCAACTTCCCGGACGAGACGGACCCGAACTCGTATGGCGGCGCCTTGTCCTATATTAAGGCAACCAGTGGTGCACCTGGAGCGCCGAAGTCTGCCCCGTGTCAGCTTGGCCCTAATAGCGAGTGCGTCTCCGAATCGAACTCATATGGGATGTCGGAGAGTGACTATGTTGGTAACCGGTACGAGTTCACCGGTACTGAGGATGCGTCGGGAAACCCTTTGCCTTCAGGCGCTGGGTAGGCTCAGCATGCCTGACGCTCTTTTCGTGTACATTGCAACGTGTTACCTTATCGGAGCTCTCCGTCCGCTACGGGCCTGCACCCATGCCAGCGACGAAGTGTGGGCAACGCCGTGAGAGTGCGTGTCCATGTGCGAGGCACGACAGCGTATAACGCTGCGACCTGTCTCTGATCTGAGCTTCGAACTCACCGAACTCTACGTTTGTCCCCTAACGTGTGCTTCATGGTCTCCGACATCTTCCCTATCGGCCCTGGCACGATGGAGATCTTCGATGTGAACGTCAATCATGATGAGCTCCAGAGAGAGATTGACGCACTAGACAACGCACGCCGTGCCTTGAATAAAAAGAGCGGGCCATATCTCAGTATCATGAGCTCATACGGAGGTTGAGTAGCAAATGCGGGGAATACGCTCGCCTGCCCTCCTCCTATTTCATGAGAGACGCTGGCATCTCGATCAAGCCAGACGATTCCTTCTACGGTGGTTTCGGAGATGTCTACCGCGGCAGCGACAAGCTTGAGCGCAAACTCGCAATCAAGCGTCTTCGATGGCACATGGCCCCTGACCCGGAGAGTCGCAAACGACTGGTAAAAGTGGGCGTACTGCCCACATTGCTGACATTATGCTGACGGACGACGTGAACGGCTAGAAATTCTGCATGGAAGCAGTGCTGTGGTAAAATGCTTCTCAGCCAAACATCATGGCATGCTCGGGCATAGCCCGGATATCAGAGTTAGAAAGCAGTAAATTTCCTTTCTGCTTAGTGAGTCACTGGTTGGAAAATGGCAACGTCATAGAATTTTTGAAGAAGGAACCGTCCGCGAACCGTTTGAACTTGGTAAGTACCCTACAATCATGATAGGCGCCATATACTCACGGCATGATTGTTACTTAGGTACGTGACGTGGTCAAGGCGTCGGAATACTTGCACGATATAGGTATTGTCCACGGCGATTTGAAGGTGAGTACTGTGGACTCGTATATACTCAGTTGACTGTACACCGACACACCATCACAGGGGTGCGACTTCTATTTAGTACTACTAGAGCCGCTGCACTGATTCACATAACAGGAACAATGTACTCATCAACAGCGTTGGCCGAGCATGTCTATGCGATTTTGGGTTGACGTCTGTTTACGCCGAAGTGTCGCTGAAATCGTCATCGAGCAACGCCGGCGGGAATATGCGCTATCAGGCACCAGAATTATTTTTCGATGCTCGACTCTCACCATCAACCGACGTCTACGCCCTAGGTATTCTTATCTGGGCGGTATGTTAATATACTGTATTCATTCCGCTTTCTATCATAATTTCCAGATAATGTCTGTGAGACTCCCCTACAAACATATTCACCCCTAAATAGCCGTGATCTTTCAGGTTGCCCAGGGCTTGAGACCGCAGAGACCACCTGGGGACGAGGTGACAGACGAGCTCTGGAACCTGATGGAGCTTTGCTGGAGCGAGATCAGCAACGCGCGTCCAACCAGCTTCGATGTATTCGTATTCTTGAAATCGTTGGAAGTCGCAAACTCGCCGGTCGTCGAAGGGTCAAAAACCGGCCGACAAGATAGCCGTCGCAGCGTCGAGAATGGTGAGGGATTCCGGTCCGAGACTCAGGTAGCGTCTAGCATATAGCTGTCCGGTTCGGATACTGACATGCAATCGGGGCGGTTGGAAATCTGCCTGCTCGAAATACAAGGGACGACGACTGCAACGAAACGCTCGGCGTGGTAGATGAGGCAATTGTTCGTCTCGGTTCACAGATGTCCGGGACATCCCAGCCCAGCAATCGAGAATGCATGCAGGTGTGGCACCCGCCATCCACCATGTGATTGGAAAACATGCTAAGGGGTATCCAGGAGGCTTCGTCTCTATGGACGACTCACACCCCTCCATATAGCAGGGCCATAAGCATCCTACCTCGTGAGCTCTTGGCACTGTCTAGGATGCGATGAACATGTTCCGAAGGCCTCGTAGACAGCGCGCTGCCAGAGAACACAGATGACCTGTCATTCAACGCGAATCAAATATTCGATGTTCTTGAAGTGCGTAAAACGTGCTGGAGGGTGCGCGGTCGAGATGGGGAATTTGTATGTGAGTACCGTCTCGCGTTTTATCATTTGGTACACCACTGATAATACGTAGGTGCCCCGCCCGACCGCTTCCAGAGATTGCATCGCTGTCAGGTCAAGGAATCGTGTTAGTCAGAAGATAGTGCACCGTGAGCTCCGCTAAACCATTCATACAGACATGTCCGAAGACCAAAATCTCCGATTGCATCAAGGAGACCTCGTAGACAGGCTTCCCAGCCCTGCGATCAACGTCGGTACGGCGGTAAATTGGGTCGGAGTCATCGCGTCTGACGGTGTGATCGGATGTACGCATCATCCCGCGAAGAAATACCCATGCTTATTTGAGATGCGGGTGTAGACGTACCGATGTCAAGCTTGCAAGATCTGCCTGTATGGCCCAATGCCCGATAGGAGGCCATCACGAGGGTGAAACGAGGTCGTCCGTTCATGGACCCCGTATGTATAAGACCACATGACAAAGACCCAGCGTCTACTCGTCAAGAGGATGTTTCCACGAGCAGAGTGGTCACATACCTTCGCAAAACTCTTCAGAATGTAAACAATACATCGAATCTCATGTCCGCGGCGCCACCTATTGTACACAACCTCGTGCTAAACAGCATCCGGGACTGTAAAGAGGTTCAACCGGTCTTTTTGATGGGGCATGATATATGACTTACTCGTGCTAAGCTTTTGGTCAACGTGCGCCCGCGATCGTTCACCTGTGCTAATCCTCTGACACCACTGAATCCAGAAGAGGTTGAACATGAAGCCGACGGCATCGCGGCGAATGAAATTCGGAGCAGTTCCACGGAAGTGCTATGAGAAATCGAGACGCGCTCCGGAAACGTGCTGCTCAGAATGGCGCCGTATGGCGACGTTTACCTTTAAGCATCCTGTGAAACCGTGGCGATGAAATCGCTACGCGGCGGCACGCTTCAGCCGCGTCATTGGTGTCCTCCGAGCCAAACTGCCGCTAGTAAGGATCCCACGAAGCATCATTGGCAAGCGTACCATGACTGTTGTACGGCTATGAGCACGCTCATCCTCCTTCCAGGATCAATCCAAAAGCAAATCGTGAATCAATAATATCAGCCCACAGTCAGTCAGGCTGAATATTGATCCGTACCGGCGCGGCCGCGGAATCAGTTTGGTGAAGTGACGACGAAGCACCTGAGACGCTGAGACTTGCCACCACGTGTGTGCAGGCATCACCTGGAGGCGCCAGGTGGTTTTCCGAAGCTGGCGCAGGCCACGCACCATCTTGTACACCTGGTGGTCATCCATGGCGCCATAAGCCGCGTGCGGATCCTCAGAATGGGGCATGCTCCGACCGTATAAAGAGCGCAAGGATCACGCTCGCCGCCAAGGTCACCGATGCTGCGAGTGTTGCAGTTGTCCCGCATGCCCTCCACAGAGCCTCCAGGGTGTTCTGATACACTGCAACCGATATCGAATGAGTTGCCTGCAGGTGCGTACCCAAACGAGTCGCGTCCGATAGCAACGTGTAAAGATTTGCACAGTTGGAACGCGGCAGACACCTAGCTTGTCATTCCCTCGTTCGCTGGGGGCGAAACTTTCAAGGGCCCTGAGTTCTGACTCGGGTAAGAGTGCGGACTCGTTGGACACTGTCGCCTCCAAAGGAAAGGAGTCGAACAAAACACTGATTGGTGGGTCGTTGGCCTCTCTGGTTGTGGCGGTGCGGGGGAAAATACCGCAGACTGTTCCGGGGGTGGGGCCGCCGGTGCTCGCCGGTGTGTTCGCGTGCTTCATTCCCCTTGCATTGTGACTTTTCGTCAAGCATACCACCTCATACCACCGGATCTTGTCGTTTTGTTTCGCGTTCATGACTCGAACCTACGAGATCTGTCCGGCAGAGCCTAATGTCAGGTACCAGTGCCGAGCGTACCTGACGGTTTGACCGGGGTCATGCGTCACTCTGACGCGATGCGGCGTCTAGCTCGGACGAGTTACCATTTAGCCCCTGCGCAAGGGCCGGATCTCCCTCAAATTTTGCTCTTCTTCTCCGCTTTTTCAGCCCATCGAAACGCGACGACGAACACCTTCACTGATACCACCATGACATACGACTCTACAGACAACGACGCCGGTCGGTCTGCTTCGCGAGGACGGGAAGGACGGGATGGATACGTGAGTTGCTTTACTCCTGTTCGCTGCCGTTGCGCCCGTTAATCGACGCGCTTCACTAGCGTTCCTCAGGACGAGGAGGTGTTGGCAACATCGTTCGGTCTCCCTCGAATACTGGCGAGCGCCTCATGAGCCCCAGCCGTGAACCCTACAGCGAAGGAATCTCAATCATACGAGGCAGGAATGCCGTTCCCGTACGTTTCATATAGAGTATTCGATCTCGACGTTTGTTGACGTCGTCACCAGGTGTCTACAGGACGGGGCGGAGCCGGGAACATCTTGAATCGGTCGCGTAGCAATGGAGGAGAGGATATAGCCGGTCAACAGCAGGTACGTGCAAACTCACCGCCTGGCCGGGCCCCCACGATCGAGAGGTGCTGACCAGTTCACCTCTTTCAGATGTCACAGGTTGAAAAGTCCTTTGTGAACGATAGCGAGAGCGAGACCGTCGCCTCTTATGGACTCTCTCGCGCCCCGACCGAGCCCCAGCAAGAGCACGGACTGACCCAAGATCAGCTGCAAGCAACTGCAGCCGGGGCGTACTCCACCGGTCGCGGCGGCGCCGGCAACATCGTAGGTCGGAATCAGACCAGCCCTTCGCACTCGCCTGCGCATTCGCACTCCCGCTCGCGCGAGCGCACCGGTGGCGGCATCTTCAACCGAGGAGCCCGATCCAAGTCACGAGAGCCGACATCGCCTAGTGCCCGGCGATCTCGTTCTCGGGAGGCCGTCAGTGGGTTGTGGGACCGTCTCACGCACCCGCACATGAATGCGCCTACGCACGCGCCTGAAGACGTCAATGATGCCTCCGCGCAGGAATCGAGCAATGAGCCGCAGGTCGTGAACCGCGGCCGACCTGTGGACGTTCCCATTGCCATCGCCGAGTGAAAAGGGACTATGAACTGCGTGGATTGAAACTGTATGCCGAAGTAATAGGATGGATCTGTAGTTTATGTCTGCGCTGTAATCTTATGACTGGCATATCTCTTTTCGTGTTGGTGCTATCTCTTACATGCGGCGATATTCATGACTCAGCAAGGCAAATGTTTTGCATGTGTTTCCCGAGGTTCTCCTCATCACTTTGTTCTCTGCTGCCAATACTTAAGCTCCATAAACTCGGAAGTGAATCCAGACCGCTCCAATGCGGAAGTTAATCCTCGCCCGATCGGGCTGACAGATATAAGTGTTAGCGATTTCCACGGCCTGACAGTGGCCCCGTTGTGCCTGAACTCGAGGTGCGAACCCTTCGGCTCGAAGCCGAATGGGCAGCTGTGTACGATATGGTGGACCAGTCCACTCGTTTCACTTCCAGGTCGGCTCAGGCAGGTTCGGATGACAATTGCACGAGTCAAGATACGTGCTTTACTCGCGGACGACATCACTAACTCGAGACGATCATCCATCATACGAGGTCCATCGGAAGCTAGCTAAATGCGCCAGGACCGACAGCGGAGGTTCTTCATGTCCGACATAGGACAGCCCGTTCCTGGCCAGTTATCTGTGGGGTGCAGTTGCGGACGAGCATAAAGAGCGCGATCCTTCGTATGCTATCCTCTGGCTCTGCTGTCCAGTCGGCTTCCAGCGATCGTCGTCATGTCCGCGATACTCCGCATCCTTGTCACTGTTTTATTGGCCACCTTCATCCACGCCACGCCGATAGTACCTCAGGTATGCCGAACGTTCAAGCGCTGAAAGCTCATGTTCCTCATCATCGTCGATTTAGGTACTTTTAGGACCAGAGGAACCCACATTGTCGTGTGCGACCCGCGACTCTGCTGACTACTGCACCGGGACGATCTCGACGTCGGAGGACGGCCAGCATTTATGCGGTGACCCTCGACTTGGGCCCCTGAACATCACCGCGCTCGGGGCGCTCGTTGCCGACTACGACCCTATGGCCGGGCTTTGCCCGCGCAAATTCCTCGAGCAATACGCGGAGATCAAGATGAAGGATGGCAAGCCCGAGTACCGTTGGAGGTACCCGGCCAAGGATGGCTTCCAGCTCGACCCTTGGGGCAACCCTATCACGAGCCCGCAGGTGCTCCCGAAGGGGCTCAAGGTTGACCGTTTCGGAAGCGAGAAGGGCCGGTTCATCTCGCCTGCGTCGACGCCGTTCACGCAGCGCGCAATCCCACCAGACAGCCTCAATCGCCTCATCGGTATCGAGGAGCAAGAGTCCGTACACGGGTACTACCAGTACGTGGTGGAGAAGAGCTTCACCGTCGTCTCCGGCCCCACTGGTGCTGCGTTCGGACAGCCGGGACAGGGTACGCAATATCAGTTGCCGGTCACGGTGAAGGCGTTAGTTGACGCAGGCTACTTGCGCCGCGTCCCCATAACATTACCGACAAGCAAAGATCCCGTCTACTAGCGTTGATATTATCGCACCTTATAGTCTTTACTCGGCGTACATAGTCAGCTCTCGTCCTGTACTCACTTTACTTATACATCATCGTGAATAGATATTAACTTGGTGCGACGGGGGCCGGTGCGCCCGAGTTACGCAATGCGATACTCTCGACTGCGCGACACGAATATAGCCGCTGCGCCCTTCTGCCTCATCCCCCGAGATGTCCAACCTCAAAGCTCACAACCCCTTTCGAACGCCAGCCGTGACGCCAAATCCTACGGGCGAATCCTCATCGCACGCAACGTCTGTCCCGGTTTCTCTTCAAGGTCAGGCTGCTACGGCGCTGCAGGCTGGAGGTTCCAGTCAGTCGACGTTCTCGCCTCCCCCAGGGCCCCCACCCTCCTCTCAGCCAGGACCAATCCAGGAAAGATCTTCTAGTACTCCGTCTGTTCTCGATGCCGAACCTCCTCCGGCGTACACACCGACTCCGAATCCGTACGAAGGTGAAAGCACTGTAGAGCTTGGACCCAGGAGGCCGTTTCAGCAGGCACCTCCACCTCTTCAGATCATCTCCCCTCAGGGTACCGGGATACCAACGGCAAGCCTTCGCACCGGAGGGAGCTGGGCGAGTTATCCTGGACAGGACAGACTCGATCGCGCGAACACCACGCCGTCTCGAAGACCACCACCGCCCCGCCATCCCTCAATTCAAGTCTCGCCTTCCCCCGCTCCCGCCCCTATCTCCACACAAGCACCCCTGTCCGACTTCGCTCGCGACTTCTATGCGGCAGGTGGTGGCCAAGTCGGCGCATCATCCTCTGCTTCCCATCCGACTCCACCCTCGTCGTCTTCACCTGCCCTGTCTAGCCGATACGCGCCGCCTCCCGGGCCGCCGCCTCGTTCGCCGTCTACACCAGGTTCAAGACCTTTATCGTATCCGCCCGCATCGCCCACACCGTCGGGATCCGGATCAGGAGTTCCTGACGATGGGAGACCGACCAGGACGCCGGTCCCCGGGCACCCGCTGTTGAGGAACGGAGAGATGCTGGTTTATCCAGCAGGATACGAGTGCCCTAAGTGTGAGTCCACTTCTGAACCGTGTCATGCAGCTACCCCTCATGCTCTCATTTACGTATAGGTCATAATACCGGCTTCAAGTACTATGATCCCTCGCACCCCTGTCGTAAATGCTGGGAGAAATACTCTCGGCCGTACAGCGGCGCCGTTGCATACGCCCCCACGAATTTCTCTGCGACACCCACCCCATCCACGTCGGGCAAGAGCTTCCAGCGACCGTTGCCGAAACTACGCCCAGCCGGCCCGGGCAGCGACCTCGGCCGTTCGCGGACGCAATCGTATGGTCGAAGGCCGGACTACCCCGGCGTTGCCAGCCAACACAGCTACTCGCGCAGCGATCCCCCTACAAATTGGTTCCAACCCCCGGGTATCCAGGTCGCGGGTGTGCCGGGGAACGCGGCGCCGGGATCGTTGGTGGTATGTGGCGCTGTTGTCCTTGATGGGCACTTTGGCTGATATTGTGTCCAGGTTAGTCCAGGAGACCCGCGGATAGGCGGGCAGCTCTGTTGGCGCTGCCACGGAAGCGGTACCACCTCCTTCTTGATCTTCGACCAGCAGACCTGCTTCGAATGCGGTGGTATAGGTAGGGTTTTCAGGTAGTTATGTAATGATCAACATTGCATCTCCTATATTTGTCAATGGTTACGTTGACTCCCGGTGCATTCTCAACGTACTCGCAAATGTGCTAGCCCTTATTAACATGTTTTAAAATAGCATAGAACTGTAACAAGGTAGGACACGCACGTAGCTTCGTAGGCCGTAATATAATACAGATACGGTGTTCGACACACTGTAAAACGTCTTCGATATACGTTAGGGTGAACGTACGGTGTGCAACCCGCGAGCTCTCTCAGACGACAGAGTGACTTAGACGGCCGGGCGGAGGCTCGGTCGTCTGTCGTCCGACCAGGAATCGGGAGATTCCTTAGTCGTTCTGAAGGGTCGTCCGCAGCGGATAGCTTCCGCGGCGTCTTCTGTGATTCGGAAGAGTACTAGAGAGTACCCTGAGGCCCGTACTCGTCAATCTCCGGCGACTGCTGGCGAAGATACGAGATGGGCAACGTAGTATATTTCTGAGGTAAAAAGACAAAGAGACCCAGTTGCGCGCCCGTCTGCCAGCTGTACGACGCTCCTTCCCACGGTCGCTCGCGCCTACTCTACGCTGACGCAGGACCCCTGTTTATAGGGTAGGATGTCGGAATATAGGTTGACCTCAAACAGGTCATTTTGTCGGCGAGGATCAGCCGGATTTTGTCGTCAAGTATCCCGACGTCGGGCCTGCGGCCCCAGGTTTGTCGAGAGCCCTATTCCGACATCGTGGAAAAGCGGCTGTGGTGGAGCGTATACCCCCGGACGCCGAAATCAAGCCTCTATTGGCAGTTCCAGCTTCGGCATGACCCCGATGCGAAGCTTAGGAGTATCATACAATTTCGTATGAATTAGGTCGAATGTTACACGGTCTACATCGATGAGGAAAAAGTATAGTATTTCGAGAATAGTATATGATCAGCGATTAGCCTTCCTCCGAGCCTCGATGAGAAAGTTGACCGCGACGAGGTAGGTAGTAGGTAGGTAGTATTACTCGGCGCGGTCCCAATACCGGAACAGCCGGTTCCCGAGGCCTCGCTTGAGGATTGGCTGAGCATACAGAGTGGCCCACACAGCAGCTGCCTCAGCATCAAGATCCAGAGTTCGGCTGTCCGGGCTGATCTGAGGGGCACCTGGAAGAACACGAAGGAATTGACCGGAACATATGTTTACGTGCGGGAATCAAGCAAACAGCAGGACTTTGGAGGAGGAGAAAATGGGTGAGCACGATACTGTAACAGCAATTTTTCGCCGCTGACGCGGATGAACGTGGCGCAAAATGCCAAAACGAGATCACTCAGTGCGGCTCAAACGCACCGCTCGCGACCGCGCTTCACTCTGAGCCGAAGCAGGTCCCCATCCGCTCACCACTCTCACCGCGATGTCGTCGGGTCATCCTGGCTCGAACGGCATATAGTCTATCCATGCCCCAGGGTGGAAAACAGGCTGTTTTCCGCCCGTCTCAGATTTGGTTGATTACAGCCTACATGCATAGATTAGCAAGATATCAGTGGTCAGGAACCATCCCCACAGATTTTGAATCACTGCGCAGCCGGCCATAAAATGGTTATGGTCTGGAGGGTGCAGAGCCATTTGTGAGCCCGATACAGCAGTTATGGGGTGAGTAACCCTCTCTAAAAATCGCCCCAGGTCACCTCCATACGGCACGCATTTTTGCCCGATTTATGAACCGCTTTACCGTGGGAAATGGGAATGCGCCGAGTTTTTTAAANCGAAAAAAATATAAGGCAAGTGCGCCGAGTGATTATAAAATCAACGGCTGCACCGGAGGTTGCGCCGAGATAACAAGCACTGTGGAGCCGATTAAGATCGACGCAGAAAAAAAAGNTGGTATTTTTACATCCAATATTCATCCCA